AAGACTGCCGATTTAAACACCGCCATTATCAGTCGTTTGATAACGACGTTGGCGGAGGGAACACTAGTCGAGGCGCTCATAATCAAAGTCAGCCTTATCTCGGTCAGTGGCTGAATGTCACGCTCGAGAGACCCCCTTCCCATTCCTCAGGTACCGCAATCCGTAATCCTTCGAAAACTGAATAATCATACTCAGTGCACATGTTAGAAATAATTCCTGGAGTTACAAGAAGATCGGCCATGCCGATCTCTTTGTGGCAATTCAACAAGGTTAGTAAACCCCTGGAACCCTACTCAGATTGACTTGTATCGGGAGCGAATTTCTCCCGATTTCCTTCGTTCTTTGTGGAAGTAATAGTTCAGAAGCACATAGTCTCATGTGTAACATTTGTACATTTATTGACAGGGAAATGCGAGACCTGGAGGCGTGTCAGTCGCTTCTGGGGTCAGGCGCTTAATGCGTCGCTTCTGGGGTCGCACTAGTAAAGTTCGGTGCGGGGACTCATCTGGGCGTGGACGTCGTCAGGGGAACAACCCGCCCGTATTGCCAGTGGTCGGCCGTTGCTCGTAGAGGGGCTCCAGTACTGCGCAATCATACCTGTCGCTCCATAGCGCTGCCGGTGTGGCCTCACCAGCATCGTCATGGGAGAACGGTACCTGCTTTTCCTCCTCTACGCCACGTGTCTTCGCGTCTTCTAAGCCGAGAAGGCATGTGGTGGCAGAAAGTGTTTGCTATGCCTGGAGACGCCGGCGTCTGTCCAGAATCAGAGTTCCGCTCATCAGGACATGTCAAGTTGCTACCAGATCGGACAAGCATGCCCGTCTTCAGCTGGTGCAGCCTTGGCGTCGGTCGGCTCTCAGTATCTTCGTCTTTTCTTGGCTGCGCGATCAGGCATATTGCTCGGCGTAATGCTTTGCATGTGCTCAAAGGGCCCTGCGCGCACTGGACATTTGGACCACCTGATCTTTGTCATCGCAGCGTCGTGAGCCCAGTCTCCTGCAGTACAAGTAGCTGATTGTGAGCTGCGAGAGTTCGAGCGATTCTCATGTACGTCCAGGGACAAGTCGTTCTAACCCCTTCGGATATAATGCTGCCTGCAGAAAGGTTGAATCCCGGGAACGACGACAAGTGCGGATCTCGCCGGTATGTACTCTCGCGACCGGCCAGCCCTGTATATCCCGTCTCCAATGTCCATCGCTTGCTTCTCCTCCAACATGTCTCGTGTTTGGCACCTAGACTGTGTATGCACGTTTCCTTTCGCCTGCCGATAATTAACATTATCGCAGTACAGGAAAGTACATGAAATGAATGGATCCTACGGCGGCCCTGTCGGCGGGCGCCTTGCTGTCCGAACACTGGGGTTGCTGTCGCTGCCACAAATGCAGGTCGGCAGCTACGCATGATCATGACGTCCTTCCTCTCTGGCGCCCTGGTGGAAACATGCAAACTCATCATCTGCACCGCGCGGCGCCTCCTCCCAACTGTTGTCTGGTGCTGTAGTGAGGGCGCAGACAGACACAGCAGCAGCAGCGGGAGGCGCCCACGGCATCGATGGTGGACAGAGCCCGATCTGAAACCCCAAGTAACCATTCCTTTGATGCCTGCGCGGCGCGAGAGACGGGCTGGCCGATCTCTCCTTGCGACCTGAGGCATCCCGGGGCCCGAGGCGTGCGGCACACGTCCATACGCATCAACGAAGTTTGCTCGCACGGACATCTCGGGCGCGGACGCTGGGAGCGGCCGGCCTGTGTTATTTACTTACTCGCGTTCCCTACAGGCTACAGCAGACGCGGACTGTTCTGCACACGCACAGCAGCTCGATGGTCGTACCGAGCCATCGAGCTGGAGCAGATGCTCCAGCCGCTACAGCCGCTACATGACAGGGAGATGATGAACCTGAGGGAGAAACACCTGCGGCTGGCTGTTCCACCGGTGGCATGAGGTGATGTATTTACTTCTCCTGATGTACCGGGTTCGACGTGAGTCCGCGTTCGGAGGGTCGTTCATTCGGATATCGCTGATGACACACTTACAAGCGGCACGCCCGCTCGGGCAGTGTGGGCGATAGACTCGCGTCTCACAATCACGAGAGCGTACGTACTGCACATCGCCTTCTGGGGCGTCTGCGCGTCGGGCGGGAGGCTCGCGTTGGTCATGACTGCGAAACGTATATAAACACAGCCGGGAGGGAGAGATACAACACACACAGCTACATACACGCTTTCTTCGCCGCCGCCCACGGCTTACCTCGGCGAACTTGGGAGATCATCTGTTATATGTAACTTGCGACACTGGGGGAAGTTTTCGAATACGCATGTACCAACCACGCCTGCGAGGGACTCATCGCGTTAGATGCGCAGGAGAACCGCGGATGGCTTGGAGCCCCCAAAAGGCCGGCGTAGTTGCGCTCCCAGATAACTTTCCCCGCAACGATCGCTGGTCAGCTGGGGCGCAGCAACATCTACATACTACGGCACGGCTTTGAACGTTGAAAATCTCTCCGCATCATCTACAGTGCATCTCGCAGCCATCTCATGGTGAGATCCATAGGCCTTCAGCGGCATGACCAATTACCACCTAGCTCCACCAAGAGTCCGCGTTGTTCGCTTACATCACGCGCAGAGATTGTTTCCAACGATCGCGGTGTGACTCATGTCTCATTATGCTACTACAGTACACGTACATCCTCAAAGAGCGGTGGTCTTAGTCCCAAGTCCGTTCGATCCTCCCAAGCTCCACATCCGGTCCTCAGCGCGCGCACACACACATCTCAAGCGGGCATAGGCAGCGCGTGCGCCCGCCAACTCTCCTGCTCGAGCGTGCTGCCCCCATGCGCGGCCCAGCCCCAGTTCGCGACGCGGCGGCGCCGGTTCTCGACGTCGGCGCCGACGGCGGGGGCGACGCGCGGCTTCCCGCTCGAGTTCTTGCGCCCGGGGCGCCGGCGGCGCGTCTTCTGCGCGTCCGCGTTTGACTTGGCGATTGGTGCGGGGGTGGGCGTGGGGAGCGGGGCGGTAGTAGATGGAGGTGATGATGGCGCGGAAGAGCCAGAGGGCGCGGCCTTCGCCTTTGGGGGCCTGCGCGTCATGAACGGGATGTGCGCGTCGATCTGCGTGCGCTGGGAGGGTGTCAAGGGCGCGGGGCATGATGATAGCGCGAGCAGCTCGGTGAGTGTGTATGTGTTGGGTATCTTCGAGGCGAGGGGTATATTTGCGGGGCGAGGAGACGGCATCGGGGAGATGTCTGTACGGGCGCGATCTCCGTCAGTCTCCGCTTCGCGACTCGTCTTGCGTGCGCACGACGTACCTAGGTGACGCTTGCCCGTACGGGAAGGCGAGCGCGGGGTGCGCGGCATAGGCGAGACGGAGCGCGTGCGCGGCCCAGTGGAGCGAGCGACGGGCGAGAGTGATCCGTGCTCAGGGAAGGAGCTCGAGGAAGTCGAGGAGGCAGACGCGCCGCGTCGGTGAACAGGCACGTACAAGCCGTTTGTATGATCCCCGGGGAGAGAGAGCGCGGCCGTGTTCGGGCTGGACTCGCGCTGAGTGTTGGTGCTGACGGAGGGAATAGCGATGGGGCTCGACATGGTTTGATAGGTGTTCAAGAGAGTCGGGGTGATGGAGATGAGACTCGAAGACGTCCTTGATACTCGACTGCGACTGAGGCGGCGGGATGGGGAGGAGGCTGCGAGGTGCGCATGCCCTTTATAGGAGCTGCGAATCATCCGGAATGCAGGTGAGTGCCAGCGGAACGCGGATGTGCGTGTAAGCGTATTCGAGGCGACGTGGCGTGGTGGGAGGACTGCGGTGCTGCGAGTCCACCCGAGCGCCACAGAACGGACAAGACTTGTCCAGACATCGCTGGCAGTGTCCCGACCATTCGCGGACGAGTGCGAATGTTCGAGAGCCTCCGTCGCTTTAGGAAGGTGCCTAGACAATGTGGCTGTGCTTCCTGGCCAGGAGGTATCCGGATAGCAAGCAACCTGGGCGCTACGTCCACAAGCTGACGTTGGCTGTGTCAGCTGCTTATCTGGACTTCGAACGATACTCAGAAGTCCTGGTACAAGCCTGAGCGATGAGTAGGAAAGCCTCGGCCAACGTGTCCCAAGATCAGATCAGCTCACCTGGCATACTACCGTGCTGCAAGGGCAGAGTTGGTCAGCACCGCACGTTTCGTTTTGCTGACGCATGCAATGGTAACGGCGGCACCAAGGGGGATGTGCAAGCGGAGACCTACGATTGCATTGCGAGATGAGAACACGGAAAGTATGAACACTATGTCGAGGGTCGTACAATAGATCTACTCGTATATGTCGTCAACAGAGGATACCGAGGTGCAGCGCAGTGCCAAGAAACACCACCCAACCACATCATCCCAAACCGTTTGGTCCCGTAGCGCCTCATCTCCGCATAATGTCCACCAGCGTATGGGCCCCTTCGACTCCCTTCGCGGAGGGCCATATCACGATCGCAACGCGTCCGAACCGGTGCAGAGGGGAAAAGGTTCCTCACCAATGGTTACATCATAGCTTCGAGAGCACAAGGCCGATGACGACGACAAGAATCGTCGACGGCGGCGTGACGACGCAGTACGACCAGAAGATCGTCTTGCTGATCAGCCGCTCGAACGCGTCCCCAGACGCGGCCTGCGTGATCTGCGCGAGCGTCAGCGCCGGCGGCGACGCGACCAGCAGCACGTTCGACACCACGAATACCGGGCTACAAACGCAAAAAGTATCTCAGAAGACCGTCTCAGCAGGCACGAGGAAAGAAAGCGGGCACGCACTCGTCGAACACCCGCTGCCAGTCGTACTTCGCGGACAGCGCCAGGAGCGGCAGCAGCACGAGCGGCGTGATGATCATCCGCGACATGATCGCGACCACGACCGTCTTCGTCTCCCCCGGCCGTGCGCCCTTGCGCGCTGACGCGCTGGAGCCGCCCTCCGCGCGCCGCACCGACTTCATCGAGAACATGTCCCTCACGCTCTCCAGCAGCGACGCACGCGACGCGCTCCGCTCCACCTGCCGCTGGTGCTCGGGCAGCCCCTCCTCCCTGCCCCGCCGCGCGCGCGCGCGCTGCTCCGCATCGGGATCGGGCGGCGTGTAGAAGTACGCGCCGAGGACGACGAGCGTGATCGGGATCGAGCAGTCGCCCGCGGACGCGATCGCGTTCTTCACGGGGGGGAAGTGGTCGTCGAGCGCGTGCTGGAGCGGCTGGATGCACGCGACGACGAGCGACGTGAGCGCGGCCCAGAGCGGGACGGTCATGAACTCGCGGAACGTGCGCCACGCCGTGCGGGTCTTGTGTCGCAGCCGGCGCATTCGCGCCTGGACGCGGGAGGACGTGGGCGTGGTGCGTGGGCGGCGGCCCGGGGGGAGCACGTCGCCCACTTCGTCGTCGTCGTCGTCTTCGACTTCGGTGTTGGTGGCTGAACCGGAGCGGGTCAGGTCTCCTGAGCGCGTAGCGGGGGTGTTGGGGAACGAGTAGAAAATCTTCCCACCGGTAGTGTTTTCGACGGACAGTTCTGGATTGGTATTGGGGCCACCGTGAGCGACCGTTTGTGAGCCATCGGAGGAAAGAGAATGGGAGAAGGCGTTGCCGTGTCGGAGTAGTTGTTCCTCAGCCGTCGAAGGTGGAAACGGTACCTCTGATGGACTCAGCAAAGGACTGGCCTCGCTGTCGACGTCATCAGTCTCGGCCTCCTGCTGCACTGGTTCCGGATCTGCTTGAGATAGCAGACGGACTCCGTAGCTCCAACGAACCTGTGGATGCACTGAGGAAGTGTGTTTTGTTGGATAAACGGAAAGCACGAACCACCATGCCCAGGGTAGAGTACAACACGAGATAAGTCAGCGCGCGACCCACCATCGCGTTCGTGCTGTCATCCTCATCCCACTTGAGGCCGGGTACAGTGACAACGAGACTTTGCATCAGAGCTATAGGAAGCGAATTCGAGTTCATGAACATCGCCGCCGCTATTGCAAAAGCCCTGCAGTGAACTCGTCAGCAGAACTACTTGGAATCGATGCATCCTGTGACCGTACCTTTGCGACCTTTTCAGCCTGAGAATGACGCTGAGAAAGTATGCGACGATCATGGAGACCGCGGTTGTGATGATAAAGAAGATGGGTATAATCCATAATTCTCGTAATTTCGCTGTGGCAGCGAAGTCAAAGTCTGTCTCGGTAATCAGACATTTTGTTTCAACCCACCTGGCGATAGGAAAAATGCGACTTTGGAGAAGAGCAAAGAGGGCGTGAATATCGAAACGTTCAGTCGATTGAGTTTCTAGATGTGACATAATCACAATTAGCTCCGAAGGAACAAACCGATGCGGATGTGACTTGGTGAGTAGGACAGGGAGTAGGGAGAATATCTAGGAGCACGCAGCAAGAACTCTGTAGCACAAGTGTAGCATGGACATGCTGAGGGGCCATGAGGCGTGGAGATGTACGTCGTTGGGCCGGCGAAAGGCGTGCCAAGCATTCGTAGCACAGCGACTGCGTATGCTCGCCCACGCATTCTCCGCGCTGTCCTACATGTCGCCGGGGCCATTCCAGGTCACCAGAAGTAGTGTCGCAGTGGGAGGGATCCCCATTCCCAGTAAGAGCATAGCTCCACAAGTCATAGCGAGATAGGTATAAGAAGGGATCGACGAACCTTCTGAGTGGTCCTATCAAGGATGCCCTTGCGGGCGAGGATGTATCCCGCAATACAAATAAGGAATACTTCAAGGATAGACTGAGTGCACGCGGCGAATCGTCAGCGATGTGGGCCGGACAGTCGGAGCAGAAGGCGACTTACTTCGAAGGTAGTCTTAAGAAGCGGCCCAATAGGTGTCCAGCTATCCCGCGCCATACACACGAAACCTGAGTAGACTGGATAGAACCAAGCGAAGCTAGACCCAACAATCGGAACCTGAGCAGAAGAATGGAAAGAAGTACGACGGGCGCAATGGGCGAGAGGGCGAGGGGAGGAGTCCAGAGGGAGAAAGAGTGCGTGCCTGCGTCCGTGCTTGTGTCATAGTTAAGGAGTCGGTGGCGTCGAGCCCAGTACAGTTATCTCTCAGATCCCATTCCTCAGATCTCCCTTGATCACCCGCAGCCGGCGCCCGGCGCCCCGTTGGCGAGGGTTTCCGGAGCTCACTTCGCCCAATATGGTGCCCTTCCGACAGACATTAGCCTTAAAAAGGCGAAGTGCCAGAGAGAAACTGCCGGGGACCGGGACAAGCCCGGGGGCGATAAGATAACCCGCCACGCACGTTCTCTTCTCTGCGCGCCACAACGACATCGCACTGAATTCCCCTCTCGGCGGAAACTACTTGCATATCGTCTGCATTGTGGGGTCATGTCATCAGAAGACAAATACGGCAGCGTAGAGCCGACACAAAGCGACGCGGTCGTAATTCGAAGGCACTCAGATGGCAGATGGACGATGTAGCCGTCGGTTCCACTGGTCGGATGACCCAATAGAGCGGTAGCTGTGAGAGTACAGAGGGCGGGACAATATTGCAGAAGTGCGAGAAGCCCGAGACAGTGGAAACAGGGTGCGTATGGAGAGCGTCTCGTCTGACCACAGATTGCGGTTCTCGATTTCTTTTGACCTGCTTGCCGTACCGAGCCCTTCGCCAAGCATCATGCGAAGGGTTCTCTGATAGGTCGTCTGTGCTCTGGACGTCGGTTCAGGTGTCGTAAGCTCGCCTAGATTGGGGTGAGACGACCTTGCCGCGCCGGATGACGCGCTTCTCGCTGCTGCTTACGGCGTCGCAGCATGGGGTTGGGAACTTGACGTCGACCATCAGAGTGTGCCAGTCAATCGAGACGTCGTGAACTCATAATGCTTTATAGACAGCCGACTACAGCGGTGGGACACAAGCTCATACGCTTCTTTGTGCAACGTACACGGAGGCTGCGTTCCCGATGAATCAATCGCAGAAGTCTAGTTCTGACTTCTCCGTTGCCCGCAAAGCAGATGATTTGAAAGTCAGCAGCGTCATAAGGGCCGCGTGGGCCAAGGCATCGTTCCCACTACCTCCAAAAGTTGACAAGCCCAATGGAAAAAGGGCCATATGACAACTAGCATACAGACGTGATGCTGGGATTCACGGTATAGTGGCGGCTCTCTTTGCATCCCCCACTGAGTATTCCCATACATAGTAAGGCAATCCACGAGGGTAGAAGGCAGCCGATCGGTGGGACGCTCTCCCTCCGTTATACTGCCTCCACTGAAGGGCATGGCAAGTTGCTGAGGGAAGTAGCGCGTAGCGTTATTGTCGTACTACCCGCAGAACAAAAGGTGGTCGATAGACACTCCATCAACCGAAGCTCACGTGAGAGCGCACGATTACCGACAGTCTGAGATGGCGGATGTGCGGCGTGCTGCAGACGATTTCAGCTCTGACAGCTGGACACACCGTCCTGGGCCATAGAGAGCTCCATTCGAAGTGAGTGGAATAAGTGGGGGAAGTCCATGGACAGGACTCCGGCAAATTATGTTCATTAGAACAGACTGCCGCAGCTGCACATGCTTGACGAGTCCGCACGAACCTTTCCATAAGAACTATACCTCGCGAGCAGAACACTGATGCGAGACTTCCATTCAGTATGAAAGTGATGGAGTGGCCTGGAAGGGAGCTAGGACACGGTGGGAGATCGGCAGAAGAGGAGACGAGGCGGTTGTAGCTGGGAGCGAATGCTGCCAGGTACGGACATGTGTCAAACCAGCCTACCTGAGAGGAACGCAGCGTGAGACACAGGCGGACTTGGGTCGACAGGCCGACTGAGGGACAGAGAACGCAGGCGGAAGTAGATCGTCCATGAATGGTGCGCAACTGTTACCTGCAGTGGCGAATCATCTAGGCAGACAGTTTGCCGACAGATGGCCGTAGACAGGGACCAGGGCACGAGCGATGCTATGCGGGATGGCCTCACAAACTCCGGCCTGAGGGGGACGATGGGAGCAGCGGTGAAACTCAGCTGAAAGAGGCACAGCGCCTGATGGGGTTGGAAACATAGTGAGTAGGCAACTGCTTGATCTTGGAATTCGGGGCCGGGAGAGACGGACGACTTTGACCAGTTGATGCGAGAAGGACGAGGCACAACCGAAGCGTACCTTCGACCAAGGCCTTTATGTATGAAGTACTGGCCGGACCCTAGCTAGGTACCGAAGACTGCTACAGTGCGGGTGCACATATCCGAGAGAGGGATGTGAAGCGCGCCGTTTTCGAGCACACTGCGAAACCGACGGTTTGGAACGTACACGATGAACCATATCATCCGGCTACTTGGTGTTCTGCCGGATCCCGGCGGTAGAAGGGGTCCAGAGCGGCAAAGGGCAGTTGCTAGCAATACCTTCCGAGGCTTTCCAATTGGCCACCGACGTCACAAGCTTAGGCGTTCGGTTCGGATGGTGGAGTCATCTGTGTTCGCAAGGGCGTTTCGCCTCGGGCAATAGGAGCGGCGAGGGGGCACAGACTCAATGTGTAGCTGAGCGTCGGTGAACTGCACTGTTAGGTAATATCCCGCGCAGGAGCGGAGATACGAGCGAAGCGCGCAGGAATAGCAGGCAAGCTTCTCATGAACGCTGTAGTCTGCAAGAGCGATGCTCAGAAAAGATCGATTTGGAGAAGAGGGGGGAAGGTGACAAGATTGCGTTGAGAGTGTGGTCTAGGAGAGCTAGATCGAGACCGCCAATCCGAGTCGATTGCAGCGCGGCCAGATCGAGAATGCGAGGGCAGGATGCTGCCCTTTCATAGGAACAGCCCCATTTGGCACATGGGAATCGTATGTCGGCGTAAGGGCGATTGTAGCCGCGAGAGGCTTCTCGCCGAAGCTCGTAGCCAGCGTCTCGGGGGCTTGTGAAGATCTATCTTGACATGGCGTGGGTCACGACTGCCCATACAGGCTCGGACACGAGTTCAGGCGGAGAGCGAGGGCCCTGACAGGGTAACGCGCCGGGGTTACAGAGGAGTAGGAGCACGCAGGTGCGATTACCGTTGCTTGAGGCGGTCCAGGGACGATACATCTAGTCTCCGACCTGGGATTGAAATTGCTCCTGGACCTGATTGTGAGCATCCGCACCCACCCACGCTACGGAACGACACGACAAACCTTGTACTTCCTTTCTTGACATCGCCCTGCTCGGACTCGAACGTCCGCCTACCCCCAATGGCTTGACCTTGCGGGCGGCGCCTGGACGAGTAGGTTAGTAAGCGCCCGCGCCCGCGACCCCGGGCTTGCAATTTCCCACGTGGACCTCTTCGAACTCCCCTAACATCAGCCCTCGCGCCCGCTGCGTACCCCAACGCAATATTCGGTGAGTCGTCCCTCAGTCTGTGGCCGGTTCGGTGGGCATGGCGAGGGTGGAGGCAGGCGGATCGTTTGGGCGGAGCAGGAAGTTCGCGAAGGAAGGACGGGAGGGGCGGCCGTCGGGGAGTTCTGGCGGCGACGATTCGGACACGACGATTTGAGTCGGAGTGAGTGGTGTCGAAGCCCCTCCCGCATGCTCCGCCTCTACCACTCAACAGTGTTCGGGGCATCATGCATATACCTGACTTGTGTCTCGCCATCGCCCTACACGGTCTGCTTGTCGTCGGAACGAGTGCAACGATGACTAACCACCACCGATCTACTCAAGTCATAGAGCGACCACGTCGTTCCAGCCGACGTCTGGCTTTACTCGCTTGCTATACTACTGCACGGTCCATAACATAACTAGAATATGTCGGCGGATCAGTCCAAGGCATCCTCATCGGCCTCTTCCAGCCCTCACGAGCCTCCTCAACCACCCGCCGTTGCCCACTACCCTCCAGCAGCTTATGGCGGCCACTATCCACCGCCGGGGCCGTACCCACCGCCCTTCTACGCCTACCCCGTCCCAGACCCGTCTCACCACGACCCTAACAATCCGAATGGTGCGCCGTCGCAATCCGTCGCGCCCTTCTTTATGGCAGTCCCCCCGCCTCCTCCGGGCATGGTGTATGCGTACCCTGTTCCCCCGACAGCGCCAGGTGAGTCTTAGTCTATCCATTTGCAGATGTTGGAAGCTAACCACGGGGATTTACCGTACGTCAAGGTTATCCCTTTGCACCGGGGATGCCTGCCCCGCAGCCGCCCCCTAAGCCGAAGAGAAAGCAGGTCAAGATGGCGGTGAGTAATCCACTTTTCGTCATGCCCCCTATCCAATGTGCGCCCTGGCACGCGTTCGCCGGTGTTACTCGTCTCGCGCCATACAAGTGCAAACCACCGGTCGGGCGGGAAGCTTTGGCGGCCCTTTTCTGGCGATAATTGATCGCCGTTGCTCTCCCACACGGAAACGGGTTGGCGAAGAGCGGCCAGATCCAGACCCTCGCCACCAAGTTTCCCGTCTCAGTCACCTCAATGAGTCCACGAGCGTGAACGCCTCATTGTCATGTTACGTCTAGGGGCTGTTTTTCGATAGATAGCGGGTGGTGCAATGTCTCAGGATTTCATTTATATCGGCGAGCTTGCGGCCATGGCGCTTTCGGTCGCATTAAGAACGCTGGCAACGTTCGTTGACTCCGCGGGCTGTCCTTCCGTCCCCGCTCCCCCTCTTTTTTATACAGCGCTTACGGATCTTGTCCTGATATCATCCTTGTCTACAGTGCACCAACTGCGCAAGTGCCTGCAAACGCTGCGACGAGGCACGGCCATGTGAGCGCTGCATCAAATACGGACTTGCAGAGACTTGCGTGGACGGTGTCCGCAAAGAACGCAAGAAGGGCATCAAGCGGGGTCCTTACAAGCGCAAGAACCGTGCTACGAGCGGAGAAGGAAGTGCAGGTCAGTCTTCCAGCCCATTCAGGATCGTCGCAGATACACTAATCCAGTAGTATCGTCAGAGGGCGGGGAGGCAACAAATGAGCAACCGGCGGCAGTACCACCACCCCCCGCTGGTTATCCTATGCCGCCTGAGGGCTACTCTTTCCCCTACGTATATCCTCCACCAATGGGCTACGTCCCTGCCGCACCTGACGGGCAACCACACCCTGAAGGCGCAAATGGCGCTCCCCCCGCAATGCACCATCCTTTCTACCCCTCCTACCCCGCAATGTATCCTACCCCATACGGATACCCCGGTGGGCCGATGCCGTACCCTCCCCTCATCCCTACCCCAATTGCAGCTTCGCCGAACGGCACTGCGAAGCCCGACTCTGCGTCTGCGCCGCCAACTGCCAATGGTGCTTCGGTTTCTGCTGACGCTGGCAAGGGGAAGAAGCGCTCCCGCGCGAAGAATGGGGAGGAGAGCGGGCGTGCCTCTAAGAAGACCAAGGAGGCGGCGCAGGTCGACGTGCAGCAACAACCCCCGAATGGTGATTCAGGGGTCGCAGGGGTTGTCCAGCTGGAGAAGGACCAGCACCCACCGCCTCAGCCCCAGCAGCCGCCTCCCCCGTCTTATGCAGGCCACGTCGACCCGTCTACTGGCTCGGGACCTGTCGCTGCGTTCGGCGGGCCGGAGCCCAGGCCGCTCATGGCCGCGATGTGATTCCTGGGTCGGCGACCGTGGTCACCGGTCTTCTATCGAATGCTACTCCCGCTCACGCGCTCTCGTTAGTACCTCGCCTCTCCTGACTACACTTTGTTCGCTATCAAGGTTCTGATTATGCTGCTCCTGTTCCGCCCCGCCTCCCGTCTCGTGCCACGCTTTCCCTTCGGTCTCGGTCTCAGTCTTAGGCTCTCCGCCTGTGCCTGCGCATGGCGCTGAACCTGTCTTCACGCTCTTTGGGCACCAACAGTGTCATTTGGCTTTCCGCCTCCATTGTCGCACCTCGACCACCCACGATGTCCACATCGCGGGCATCCTGCTTGCGCTCTTCCGCCTGATACAGGCGTGTGAAGACGCGCGGACGTTATTGTCCTGTCGAACGGGTTGCTGACATGGGGAGGCGCGGTCGGACGCTGTTGCTGGCCAGACAGCTGCAGAGGGGTTTTGTAAGATGTTTGGGCTGTGTACGATTATCATATTTGGGTTGTGCAGAGTGGCTCCGCCATGCCCGTAGCTACCTATTTTCAGTTCTGTCTGTGTTCCCTGTCGTGCCTCGTTTCTCGGTGACATGTCTATGGTTTCTGGCTCGATGTTGTACTGCTACAAAATTGCGCATCGCACAAACTGTCTTCATGTACACCCCCAGAGTACGTAGAAGCTAGGACTTTGTGGATGATTGCTCAGATTGGCTTGTATGTGCCTCCATCGCGGTAGAACTTTGTGCTGTGTTCGGTCGTATATTCGCATTAATAGTGGTCGCAAAAAGTAATACACGCAGCTTTTTGTGGCTCACGAACTCACTGGAAACCTGCTTCCGCGTACTTACTTGGTACCCGTTCCTCGGCAATCATGAACGACGGTAAACTCGGGAAGGGGCCGAGTTTGTTATTTTCCAGGGCTGCTGCCAAACAAAGACCCGAGACACCCCCGCGCGCCTATGCAGTTCGAATATTTGGTGTCGAGACGCGCCGTGGCTTCTTTTCCAGCTCCAGCTCACACACCCCTTCCCATCGTTCTGCTCGACGTTCGTGTCTCTGTCTACCATGTCCGCCCTTCGTGCTCTTCGTCAGCTCACCGCTTCGTCTTCTCGGTCGCTCGCTGCTCGCTCAGCGACACGTGCCGTTGCTCGCGCTACTGTCGCTGCGCGCGTTGCGCCTGTTGCGTCAAGAGCGTTCTCCGTGTCTGCAAAAAGACTTGGCGAGGGTGCTTGTGAGTATCCTTATCTCAACTCGAACTTCCGTGGCTTTGCACGGCGCAAGCGTAGGGTACGCAAGAATTGCAGATATTGACAGTTGTTGCAGCGGACGTTGCTCTCACGCAGAGGCTTGCGGAGGAGCTCAAGTACGAGACCGAAGCCGCCCCACCGACTGAGCCCGAGTTCTTGAAGGCATTCAAGGCACAGGGCACCTGGTCGGTGAGTCTTTTCGCTTTGAATGCGTCGTGTGCGTGAGACTGAACTTGGTGACGAACATCGCGCGCAGATCGAGGACACCCCTGGATTGGATGAGGTCACTCTCACTCGCAAATTCGGCAACGAAGAGTGCGTATTTCGCAATTGATCCGAGTGCTATATATTGACTTGCTGGCTCTTCAGCATTCGCTTGATCTTCTCCATCGCCGACATCCAGACGGAGCAAGAGGCCGAATTCGAGGAGGGCCAGGAGGGTGTTGAGGAGGGCGCCGAGGATGCTGACGCACCCCTTCACGCCTACCCTATCCGTTGCTCCTTCTCGTTCACCAAGGCACGTATTGTGACTTCTGTACGTTGCCTTGGCGCTTGCTAACGGCGTCTGCGTAGGCTTCCACCCCTGGCGCGCTCACCATCGACGCGATGTGCCAGGAGGGCACGTTCGTCATCGACAACATCTCATACTACAGCGACGCCAAGGTCGGTACCGAGCTTACCGCCGAAGCGGACTGGAAGCGCAGGGGTTACTACCTCGGCCCTCAGGTGAGAATAGGCGGTTGTGACGTCATGGTGTAGTCGCGCTCACCGTGAACGCATTCCAGTTCGACACCCTCGATATCTCGCTGCAGGACGAGTTCGACAAGTTCCTGCAGGAACGCGGCATCAACCAGACGCTCGCGTACTTTGTTCCCGAGTACGCTGAGCACAAGGAGCAGAAGGTCTGTCCATGCGCTTCGCACATCCAACATTGATCTGACCTTCTGATCTGCTTTGTAGGAGTACGTCAGCTGGCTGAAGAACGTCAAGGACTTCGTTGAGGCATAAATGCCTCCCACGTTCTCCTAATGGATAGCCTCTCTAATGCCCTTCCATGCGCATCCTCACTATCGTAGACTGACCTGGCCGTCTTACTCACCCCCTGACGCCCGTAAAACATTGCCGTTATAATCCACGTGGTAGTCATGGCCTCCGCGCTTAATATACACCTCCCTTCCCTTCCACCTGTCAGCGTCCAGTATAGATGGACAATTAGTCGACTCCGAAGACTTGATGTGACCCGCAAGGCCCGAGCCTGATGTGGGCCTTAAACCGCCGGAGTATGCTCGGGTATATTCAAAGGTGGCGTCCGTGGGTATTGCGCAACTTAAGGTTTGCATGTGGCGACTACGATTGCCCTTGAGGAGTGCAGTGCTCGAACCTCGTTGAACTGTTTATCCGTCCTGTCCTCAAGCGACGCTCTTGGAGGCGGAACTTCATCGCTCGAGGTCGAATCTGCTTGAGCTGGTCTCCGACGAAACAATGAATGTGCATGTGCAGTAGTACGGGACAGAGACGATACTACCACTTGGGGCCCTGGTAGCCATTACAGAGTATGGATCTCTGTGCCAGGTCATCCGCAATGGTCTCGAAAGCTCACACCACCAAGAAACTTTGTCTTCCTTCGCGGTCGCGCGTCCAAAGTAGGTTTTTTCGGCTGGAGGACCGCCGAGGGCCCAGGCCGCCTTCACCTGAACAGGGACTTGATCCTCCCATTCGAATAATTACTTAAATATCGATATACAGTACACCTACAAAACCTCCGCGTGTAAGTAGCGGAATCTGTCAACATGGCTTCAACACAGGGGTTGGGCAGGGCTCTCCTTATTCATGCGGACTTCACATCCCGTCCTCGGAGAAAACAGGCGGTTGTGGCTTTGTTCCTCACCGACTATGCTCCGCGGCCTGCCGACCGTAAAACGAAGCATTAGGGCCTAGAAGCTCCCTCCGGAATCACTGCTCCACAGCGCCAACCTATCCCGCTCGGCGTCCATTACGCGAGCAATGGGTGCCAGTGTGCGCCCACAAATGCTACGGGTGCAAACGGACCCACTCAAACGGTATATCATAGCTCTAGCTTAACTCTATTACACGTATCGGCGTGATACAGCCTAAGGTCAGTCATCCTATCTCAGCCCCAAATTCTGCAGATTCCCGTTGTCCCTGAAGTGCTTCGGCACGGCACTGTTGATGCAAGGACTAAGCCGTAAACATCGCACACCAAACTCCCGAAGCATCTCCAAAATACTTCTTAAGCTTGAGCTCCCGGAGCAGTGTGTTGGACCGTCTGTGGTCTATGTATGTCACTTAGTACCTTGGTATGTTTTTCTCTGCATGAAAGTGAAGTTGATCGCATTGACCCGTGTCTTCCAACCATTCGAGACGGGTCCAGTAGGAGTCCGTAACTGCTCGTGCCTTCACGCCGCTGTAGTGAACATGTCACACACAATCATCTCATAACGATCCCCGACGCCTCACCCGAAACGATGGCCCAGAAAGCAAATACGTACCAGCGTTGGCAGACGCACGATAGCCGAGGTATGTTTTGACGCGATACTCCGTACACATTGAGGCTCGACTCATGCCCTATGTTAGTGTGCAAGATGTCGTGATACGCGGAATCCACGCGATAAAGCCCGCCCCTGCGGACAGTGCATTCGACGCAGAGAGGCCGGCCAGTATTCGGATTGTGCATTGAAACTCAAGGAAGGGGGCAGCAACTGCTCTAGAGCTAATCTTCCCACAAGCTGGATCGTGAAAACCATACCGTAACGTCTGTGGTATATCTTATGGCGGACGGACACTGCTGATCGTAATTCCCACACATTGGGACGTTGAGGAGACGAAGTGCGTAGTTCAATGGGATACATAGCCTGATCTTCATTGCGCTGATTATCAAATACCACCAGAGAGCGCGCAAAGCTGCTCAGAATCCGTTTGCGAAAATTAGTCGGATTGTGTCAATGATACACGCAGCGGCGTCAAGCGTCCAGTCTTGTAACTCTTCGGATCTGGGGTTCAGTTTCTCCAGAGAAGCTCGCCCCAGGTTTGCCACAGAACCAAAGCCAGAGCGCTGCAGGGGACAGAGCGCAAATTGGGCGGAGCAGGCCATCTCAGAGCATTCAGGACAGTAGGAGAAGGGGGGATATCCAGGATCCTGGGATATCTCTACCACACGTTGCAGAAGGCGCCTGCAAATATCTGGCTAAGTCACTGCCCCCTGGTAGCTAAAGTAGCGCCGTCAATGTCAAGGGCAGACTCCGAACGGATACACGTGAGCTCCGGCCGCGGCCCGGTTGGCCTGGGAGCGTAATTCTTCATGTCTCCCATTGCATATCTCGGTTGAGTCGATCCTGAAACTTGCTGGTTATCCAGCTGTACACCATGCGTTTTCAACGTGTACGCATCAAATCCTATCAGCCCGCTGTCTTTGTGTGTGCTAGGTCAGCGAACCACCGGTCTAGGGTCTAGGGATGTATAGCATCCATCATGGTTTATCGACAGGCCGTAACGTGCGCTCCTCTGCCTCTTTTCGCAAGTCTAGGTTTGACAATGCTAGCGTATATATACAGCAGTCTTTTACGTTTCATTCGGTAGCTCTCATCCCATGGACAACGCAACTAGCCAGGCTTTCCTCCCTACATGGTCCCTTCCGCAGTACCTTGCATCTTTCCCTGACACTGTCATGTCGTCCTCAAACCCAGAGCTCGGGGTAAACCCATATTTCACTTTGAATAGCATGTGCTATATCCCAGGTGCGTACTCTGTAGTATGATATTACCCTCCAGTGTTAAGCGTGAATATGGGTAGATATCATGAGTCGGCTCTCTATCATTCAAGAACATATGGATGCCATTGCATGGGAAATAAGGCACATGATACAAACCGATGGCTCATACAGCACTGCTGGCGGCGATGTGGAACCCCCAACCATTGCCGGTGCTCCTCGCAATACTCGAAAGCGAGTACGGGCCGCTGTTAGTCTTTGGTTTACCAGACCATGTTGGAGTAGCTTTCGCTGACTTACGGCGTTTTAGTGCACAAGCTGCCACGACGCGCGAAAGACATGTGGCGAGTCTCGCCCCTGCGCCCGCTGCAACGAGAAAGGCATGATATGCGAGATTCGCCAGCGCAAGAGACCGAAGACTAGGAAAAACCAGGATACTGATTCAGAGGAGACATTATGGCGCGAGCGCGATCTCTCGCAGTATAGGTTGCCAGTGGCTGGAGGTAGCGTGCTACAGACGTGAACATTCTTGGTCACGTCAATGCTGTACCGGGCTGTGTAGGAGTGCTATGTCCATAGTATTATTGTAGACTGTACTCGCCAGGAGTCCAAATCAGGATTGCGGCATTGCTGTGTTAGATTTGCCGAGGTTGTGACCTAGTCTGTGGATTGCGAGCACCGTGCTGGTCAAACACCTCACATTGAATTGAATCGAGGACGTAGTGATGCGGCACATTATGGTGCCTCTGGTGATATTGCAATCGCATGATCATCGCGAATGTGTATTCGACATGACGTAAGGCTGCAAGTCTACGCAAGATCCTAGACTGGCTCTCCCGCTGGTTTTACTGTTGCCGATTCAATTGGTGCGGTTACTGCTGTAGCTCGGATAATTGAATTTCATATGTTACTTACCCTGCCGATCTAGACTGGTATTGTCGGTAGCCGGCTGTTGTGGCCTATGTAGTCTTGCGGCAAGCTCCCTAGCCTCATGCGCGTACCGAGAGCGATTCCGTAACTCCGGTCCGTATCGCACGAATATGAAGGGAATCGGTATGAGAGCGAGCGAGATAAAGCCGAAGATGGAGACTGGCGTGGCGTATGAGAACAGGGACCGAGGGTGAGATTATAAGAGGATAAGGACGTACTACCCCACTCCGTGCCCACGTTATCGGTGATGGTGTGGGCGACCACGGGGAATATCGCGGCAATGATAGACCGAACGATCGTATTGGCCGAGGAGGCGCTAGACGCATACAAGGTGAACGTGCGAGAGACACTGCCAATGGTTTGTAAGTGAGTCGGGGAAGATGCGCGGGTAGTTTCCGACACTTACTATGCAGTGAATGCAAAGAACATGCTCAAGGTAGCATATCCGAATGGTATACCCGCAAGTGCTGGGACTATCCAATGTGTTCCCGGTCCGCTCGACCTGGAGGAGTTATCAACAACCTCACGGGCATGTCAGCTGATCGTTCTACGCACCAGGCGAACCAAAACAGAGAGGCGGGGAGGAGCAAACTAGAGTATGGAAGCGCGAGCAACGCCAATCAGAGAGGATGATCAAATGAAGTGGGTGAAGAAATCACCATGCAGGGATGACTATCTTGAGCTGAGTCTCCTCAGCCGGTAGGTTGGTATCGATCCGCTCAACAATCGGTACGCGCATGCGCTCCGAAATCTTCAGCATGGTATCGAATGTAACGACAGATAGTACCATCCCAAACAGAACGAAGAGGAACATGAGGCCACAGAGTTCGAACGGAATGTCGTGCTGAGGAGTAGGGTTCCCACCAGTTAAGTGTCGATGACGACGGGAACACGTACCTGCACGAAGAACACGACGGAGTACATTTCAAAGTAGAAGCTGCGATGCCATCAGATCAGTTATTTTGAGAGCTTCGACTGGATACATACTAGAGGATGCCGTAAGTGATACTGATCCATATAGTAGCGCCTTGTAGGATAGGCTCGTACAAGATCATCTCTGTATCGAAATTCGGTTGTGAGTGTTGTCAAGTGCATGACTACGGTTGAACCCACTGAATGGTCGCAAAATGCGTCCATGTATGATCTCTTTCATCGTCATAGGATACATTTCATGAGCTGCGACTGCGTTCACTCTCCCTGATTTTCGCAAAGCACTGGCGCGCTGAGCAAGTATCTTTGGGGAATATGTCTCCGGGAAAACCCAGAACAAGGGCCATATGGCGACACTGAAGAAGAATTGAACCTTCAAAACCCATGACCTTCAAGACAAGTCAGCGCTAAGTTGCAATAGAGTGTTAGTGGGATACGCGACGCACCCGTGAGTACGTGCTGCGACAAAGAATCCAAACAAAGTCGCCAGGCAGGGGGCAGTGAACGCACACAACGCGCTTCAGGAAATAGCAGCGGGTGTTTAGAAACCTAGCAGAATAGCTGAAGTGTGATACGTACAAACGCCTTGTAGCTATAAGACGGTCAGCATGAACACCACAGCGATGCACATGTCACTTACAACGGCCGAGTCCTCGTAAATCATGTGGATATAAGCTGCGAGGCCTAGTTCAGTGCCACGACGCCGAATCGACTGACTGCAACCTGCGTACTCTGCCATAACCGCCGGACCGCTTTGGGAGATTAGCAATCACAGACTTCCCGAGCATGACAAAGGTGAAACTCACTTAGTGAGAGCGGCAGCGGTAGCACATCCAGATATGAATCGGACTAAGCCGGCCTCAACATGCGTCAACTTTCGCCTACAGCGCCAGTGGTACAGAGAATTACTCACAGACAAGTATGGCAGCGATATTCGGGATGAATGCAGAGCAAGCGGTGCTCGCTGAGATAGTCTTAGATGTGAAGGAGCAGACTGCTGACATCATTGTAACCGAGCTCACCGATCATAATCAACTGGGATATGTTGTAAGGCAGTCTTCTCCCTTGCAACTCACTCGCTGGTCCTTAAGCGAGTTCAGTAGACCCGACTTGAGCTTGGTGGATGCGAACGCTTACCCCCTTATTTATAGGTCGGTTATCAGCTTAGGAGTGTGATGTATGAGTTCAAGCAGGAAGACGCACAGTACAAGGGACCCAGACCAAAACCAAGCACATACAACGTTAGACCCAAGCTCGAGACATCGGCACTGATACCATACTTCTCCCGAAGTTCTGGTTCTCCGGGAGCCTAACATCAACCATACCCATCAGTACGAGGGCTTGGACAGAACGTGAGAGATGCTCACATAAAACGCGGACCCGAATATACCGGAGAATGTGTAGAGACTAGCGAGAGCGACAGTAAGATGCTTCTTCTGGACGGACCAATTCTTTGGGTCGTCTGGGTCGTCGTGCTCGAAGGTTATGATATCCTCTGGAGGCTGATCAGCCTTGTCGCTCATGGGCACGGAGACAATGGTGGAGGGAGGAGACGGGGACGTCATGACAGTTAGAGAGATTGTCCACACCACAGTATTCTTATACGTATGCGGCAGGGAATGATGGCGCGAAATGTGGAACCCATCCGAGCCAATGTTGGACCTGCAATCGACGCTACTGCTGGCAGGTATGAACAGCTCGGGTTGACAAACCCCGGTCACGATGCCCGAGGTTATACAAGGTGGTGCGCGGACCGGGTGAGTACGTGGTGGCATCCACATGTACTCACGTACATAGGAACATCCTGTTCACAGCGACGCATCAGCTACAAGAAGCCCAGTGTTTCGTCTTCGCCGTCTTGAACGATTTACGAAGTACGCACCGAATTCCTATACGTGCGAGTTGCGGGCGGCAGGTGACCACTCCACCTCGGGCTTGGGGCAATGCGTCCACCGGCAACGGCAACAACTCATTTGCCGAGTGCCTCCGCCACTCGTGACTAGCGTTGGTCAGTGCGAGCTGTCTGTGTGCTTCCTGAGGCCTGAGGCCTGAGCTGTGACATGACTGATCTTACGGAGCAACCACGGGGAGAGGAAGCAACATTATCGGCATGATTGCGGGACATACCGCGGAAGGTGTTGTACGCATAGTCACTCAGCAGGACTATTCACACCGTCCTGCGTTACACGATCTCTATCAAACAGCGAAACAAATCTCAACGCTGAGAGGACATCAAAAAGGAATACCATAAATACACAACATCCGCTAATGTACGACGCTTTTAGTTCGTCTGCGCGCCAACAGCCTACGGCCACACCATTTCGTTAGCAATATGCACCAACACACCGGCTGCAGAGGAATAAGGCTCACCAGTCGCTTCAAATGCTCCATGAAGACCTGTAAGCTGACATCGTCCGTGAAGATCGCCTGCCCTGCGCCTGCCCCCGCCGGCGTGCCGTACATGCTCGCAGACATATGCGTCGTCGACGGATTGAGCTTCGACAGCAAGAATCGGGCCTGCGAACCACCCTGGTCGCAGACGATGTACCGCGGAATCGGGAAGCGGTCCGCCAGGAGATCCTAGACGTAACTCCGCGTCAGCACACAGAATAGAACAGAAGATTTAATCACGACGAACCTGAGCGTCAGCGACAGGGGCCTCGAGCAACTCCTTGAAGTTCTCGTAGCCCTCCTGGTCCTGGTAGCCCGCCTTGCGCCACTGCGCGATCGTCTCTCCATGGAAAATGAGGATGTGGAAGAAGGTATCGAGGAGGAGGATGACGTCGGGCTTGATGGACACGCTGTCAAGCAGGACAGGTTGTGGGGGCACGTCGAACGTGTACGACATCAGCGTCGGCTGGATCATGATGAGCGAGTTGTTCACGTCCTCCTCGTTCAGCACATGCCTGCCAGTGAAGGTGTGACCGTCGTTAGCTCACAAGTCTGGTCAACCAAACGGGAGGAATCGAGAACGCATGACGCACCGGTAGAACGCCGTCTCGTCAGGCGAGTTGTTGAATACCTGCAAGAACTGACTTCTCCGCAGGTGGAACATGAACTGCGGGTAGATGCTGAAGTTGTCCGTGAGCCTAAAGCTCGTCGGATCCTCCTTCCTGTAGTCCGCGAACTTCTGGCACAGCCGGATGAGCATGCGATCCAGCCAGCGCAGCACGTCGGGCGAGTCGTCAATCTCCGCCTTGAACACGGCGATGCGCGCCATCAGCACCGCCGCCGCCTCCTGATCGAACGACGCGGCGATGCTCGGCGAGCCCGCCTCCGCGAAGTTACGCGCGATCGTCGTCACCCGCAGACGGTACTTGCCGCTCGAGTGCTGGTAGTGCGTCACAAATTGGATGAGTCCACGAGACCCGGGTTGCAGGGGCTGGCCGGCCGGAGTGACCACTTCGAAGTACACGGCCGCAGCGGTACGAGGGTCGACCGAATTGATCTTCCATGCCGAGGTCTGACCGATGCCGATCTCTGTTTCGCCGACGCAAGGCGACTTCTTGGCCGCAGAGATACCGTGGCCAATCATTCCGGACACCTTGAGCTCCTTCGTCGTCTATTCGAAAACTTAAGCAAGGCGAGACATCGGAGTGAGGTACACGGGACCACCTACCTGAACGTCGAATGTCGCGTTGAAACCCATCTCTAGGAACCCTCCAGCATCCTTGTTGAACATGCGCAGGAAGCTCTGCTTGAAGATCGACGTCGCGAACGAGTCGGACAGCACGATCACACCGTTCGTCGAGTTTGGCATCGACTTCATCTCTAGCAGACCAACCTGGTCCAAGCAGCCCGCGAACAAGTCGATCACGTGGCCGTTGTTGGACGCCCTCTTAGCGAGGCCCTCATAAAACTAGCACACAATGAGAATATGAGGTGACGTCATGTCAAGAGACACATACCTTCGATGCCCGCTTGAAGTGCTTCGCGCTATCGCGGTCGATGTCGTGGTGAGAGCGAATGGGTTCCTTGAGCTCGTTGCTGACGACCAAACCGGGACCCTCAGTGGCAGGACCCCCGGAGAAGACCATGATGCGCGCGCCAGTGTTGGGGAAGGTCGTCTGCCTCACTTCAGTATCTGTCGTGAAACTTGGGCACAGTGTATGCTCACCTCGAGGAGACCAACCGCAACGCTAACGGCTACACCAGTGCAGCGCAGAGGACGCTTGTCGTTCGCGACAGGCCAAGGGTCACGAGACAGGGACTCGAGGATGCCCGTCAACTGGAACTCGCACTGCTGAGCGGGCATAAGGAACCGTGCGGCACCGAAATTCTGCGCAGGGAGCGGCTGGCCAGGGCGGGGCGCAGCACGGTTTTGCGAGCTCAGGCCGAGCATGTCTTGGATCTGCTTGGGCGAGTACTCCTTCCCACCGCGGAACACGTACGACTTGCTACATTCTGCATATCCGAGCTCGTGTACTTGGGTCTGGTCACAGGTATCGATGAGGATTCTGAAGACAGAGATGTGGAGTTACATACCATTGTGCCGAAGGTGATCAAGCCGACAAGGGCGTATGGGGGAATCAAGCTCAGGCTGACGACCAGCGCATCCCGAAGAGCCTTCAAGTCCTCCTCGTCCAAGCAGGTATCGACCACGAACAAGAATATGGGAGGAACGGTCGCACCACGTGAAAGCGTGTATTCGATCGTCGTGAACTTGGGCAAAAGCTCGGAGGGGAGATTCGTGTTGGAGATGTCCTTATAGTGAGGGGGAAATGCGTTGCGCTGCAAGCAGAAGGGACATATCCAGAGCTTGCCGCGGATGTCGATTTGGCTACGAACGAGATGAATGGGATGCGAATGGGATGCAAGCTGGGTAGCGGGAACAGAATCCAGGTACACACCAGTATGGGTTGAGGACTGCGCGGCATGGCGGCTTACATGTAATAGGCTCGTAGAGGATCTCCGGAAGGTCTTCGCGAACCTTGATGGGTGTGTATAGAGCAGAGATAGGGACAACCGTGCGTGTTGCCTCTATCCTGGAGGAGGGCCAGACGTTCCACGACAAACGGACGCCTGCAAGCGGGATTTCAGCTAATCGCACCGGGTAAGTCAGAGCAGTCATGCTCACCATCTCGCTCTTCTACGTCCTCAAAGTTCATGGCTCGCGCAGATGATGGTAGTTTCGTAGAACGTGTAGGTTGTGCAGGCGCCGATGACGGCTCCCTCTCGCCTTATAGCGGAGTTTCAAATTGCTAACCTCCACGTCGACAGTACTGTTTGTATACTTCGTGCTTCTTGTATTCCTGCTTGACTATTCATAAATGTGAACATGCTGACGTATCCCACTCAACTTCCAAGCCGTGAATTGCAGCTCGTGCCGCAAATGATCCCGTGTATGTAGGCTTTGATTGGAGGATCGTCGCATGCATTAATTGAGACCCGTATCACTGCACCCTTGGCTTTTCCTGCGCGACTATAGGTCGATTTCTCACAAGAAGGCTTAGGACGTCCCTAGACTTCTCAGCTTTGCACGAGCAAGCCCCGAAAATGCTCCATACAGCGGAGCCGCTAATTTCGGACATGCAAGTCAAGATCTAGAATTGAAATGGCGTTATCTCCCAAAGATGGCACCGCGAATTCGGGTTCTCCCTCACAACATTGTCACCGTCCGGACTCCGCGCACCACCACCAAGAGATGATGTGTCGCACATCGCTACATGCTCGCTCCGAGAAGCTTTGACTCTCTCCAGCTCAACATGGCTGCGTTCTACGAGTCGCAACTTGTCATTTTCGTAGCGGCCTCCGTAGTCTTCTTCGTGGTAGAGAAGAACTTCCTGCGCAAGACTTCGTCTCAGGGTAACTCCGCGGAGCGCAATGCACCGCCGTCTGTGGTTTCGGGACTATCCAAGCGATATCTGTTTGTCTATACCATCATCATGGGTAGGTCTGGCCCGCTGGACTATGCCGATGTTCGCTGTGTTGACGTCTTCAGGCGCGGACTGGTTGCAAGGGCCTTACATCTACTCCGTTTACCGAGAGCAACATGGGCTGCCTGAACGTTTAGTTGCCCTCCTATTTGTTCTCGGATTCCTGACTGCGGGTGTGGCAGCTCCCTTTGTTGGTGTCTGGGCCGATCAATAGTGCGTCGTCTCTCCACTTTTTCAAAGCTCAGGCTCAGGCTCCCTCGTTTGTTGGGCACAGCGGTCGCAAACGAACTTGCATGCTGTTTTGCTTGACCTACAGTGCCACATGCACGCTGATCCAGTTCGATGCCCTACCTCTCCTGTTCGCCGGACGTCTATTGGGAGGCTTCTCGACCGCCATCCTGCTTTCTGTTCCCGAATCTTGGCTAGTTGCCTCTGCAAACAGCCTGTCCTTGTCATCCCGAGACTTATCGACAATTCTCGGGCGTGCGACCCTTGCGAGCAGCGTCACGGCTACTGTGGCTGGCGTAGCTAGCAACAAGCTGGTCGAACGCACCGCGCTGTTCTCTTCGACATTCATCGCTAGCGGAGCCTTGCTACTACTCGGCTTGGTCTCGATAGGCATGATATGGTCGGAGAATCGCGGCGCAGTTACATCCGAAAGCACGGAGGTTCTCGATTGGAAACGTGTAAGCGAAGCATGGGGGATCGTCCGTGCCGGTATGTGGTTCTCACTACGCGCCGTCCGTCGAAGGTGACACTCACTGCAACTCATAGACAAACGATTGCTGGTTCTGGGACTGACGCAGACTATCTTCGAAGGGTCGTTGTACCTATTTGTCTTCCTCTGGGTTCCCTTCCTGCAAGGATCCAAGCCAAGTACCGGTACTCGCACCCACGCTCTACCACTCGGCTACATCTTCTCTTGTTTCATGATATCCATGACACTCGGTTCGATCATCTACACCTCCATCATCTCGTTATCCCGCCTTGATTCTTCGGCTTCCTTCAATGACGCCGGCCCATCTGCATCACTGTCCGACAGCGTGGCGCCCGAAAGCGAAGTCCATCATCCCACCACTGACAACCATAACGATGATCGATCTTCCGCGACTTCTGCCCGGCGTTCCCGTAGTGATTCCTCGCATTCCGCGCACGACCGCACGATCACCCTGCACGCGAAGCTGAGCTCGGCGGTTTGCGCGGCGAGCGCGCTCGCGCTCCTCGTGAGCGTGGTGGACGTGCGTGAGCATGAACGATTCTGGGCATTTTGCACCTTCGAGGCCTGTGCCGGGATATACTATCCTGTGCAGGGCATGCTTCGCGGGAGACTCATTTCCGACGAGCATCGAGCGACGGTACGTTGCGCTCATCTACTTCATAGGACCATGGTGTCTGATGGATACATAACGGATTGTGGCTTGATCGGTACACCTTTGGATTACGCCGGACGACACTTCTACGACGTCGACACCTTGTTGGCCCCTGTTCGCCTCGGCTATCGACTCGCGATGGTAGATGTCGTCCCTGTTCCGCGTACCGTTGAACATCTTCGTTACCGTCTCACTGCTGACAGGAGTGTCGTCGGCGAGAAGGTTCGTACTCTCTGCATGTGCAGGACTGCTTCTTTGTTCCGCGGTCGTTACCGCCACAGTGCTTGTTCGGAGCACCCGAGGCGTTCCACTTGCAAGTCTTCGCGCAAGCTGACTACCATTGGCCATATGGATCACGAGATTCCCGTGTTGCCCGATATGTCGTCGGGAAGAGCACATTGATGATTCCTACATAATGCAAATGACACGTCTGCCTCGTTGCTCGTCTCACTACGTGGCTATGTAGCTTCAATACTCGTTCTTAACAGCTGCTTTCTCTGCTATTTGTTGCAACCCACCTCCTTTCCGAGTAGGGGGGCGAGATGTGATCTTCTCGAGTTGGTGGAGGCCTGAGGGATGACGTGACGGGATGCCATGAGTTCTAGAGGCACTGCCAACAGAGCTCCCGACTCATGATTCCGCAAATGCCACCGCGTCTCGATGTCGAACTTACTCCAACTGCCAACCGACCGCGGTCCTTGGCTACGTTATAGGCAAGAGGGAGGGCTATAGCTATGAGAGCTGCATCTTGAAGCTCCGATCCTCCAAAAACGCGCTGTTGGTACGTTGTCAGCGCTTTTTGGACTTCACATCATTTGAAATCCTTTGACGTTCAACACTGCTTGTAAGCCACCGTTTCATTTCGGCGCGGTAGACGCTGTGCCAGGTACTGAGACAGGGACCATCATGTGTCTTACGCTATTCCCAATACCTATCTTCGTTGTCACGCTATGGTCACTAGGACGACAAAGGACGACACCATGCTACGCGTCGAGTTTCGGCTTGTAATGTGGTCTCAGGTCCCTTCTCTCATTCAAGCTGCGTTCAGTCCTTATTCTCGACGCTTGACTCCTATTCAAGGACATGACGGACTCGCAGCCACTATTTCTCAGTGGCTATATTACGGATATTATCGAAACCTGATCAAATTGACAATCCCAGTGGACCCACAAGACGGAGGAAGCCTTGATGTTGATAAACCCGCAACTTGCCACTGCTTCTCGATGAGAAGTCACCTTTCTTGGACTTTTGATATGCAAATCGGTTTCAAGTGTTGCGCCCAGAAGAGCTCGGGACGCTCGAGCCAAATAGGGATCCTCGAGGCAGTGCGCCGCTAGTTGACGGGATCTCTTCTCGCAGCAACGCTACTGTAACGTCTTAGACGCTCCCTACCACAACGTCGTGCATCACTTCTGCGGCGTCCGAGCCTTTGGGCGCTGTTTGCCAGGCGAGCACAGCGAAGATCTGGAGCCCGCCAGCGTCGCAGTCCGAAACATGCTCGCTGTCACACTCTGGCTGCTCGTTGTCCATAAGTATACATACGACAGTCTCTTCTCCTCTCCGGTCGGGGCACAGCCTACTACCATATTGCGGATGTGTCAATTGGTAGATCACCCCTCGGGAATGTAAGTGGTCGAGCTCGGGATTTTAATGATCATCAAGTGGAAACTGCCGCTGGGTCACTGATTGTCCCGCATGCATGAACTTGTAACAAGGCGTCAGGATATCGCTTGGAGAATGTTTCGAAGCGAGGAGACGAGGGTATGTAATGGTCTCTGCGACACCTTTTCGCTTCCCGAGGAGCTTGTTCCCTTCCTCCCATCTACGGTACTGTGTTAAATGCTCGTTCCCGTAGCTGCTCCCCACAACTCCCCTAAAATCCCCAACAGCCTGTAAGTCATTCCTTTTCTCCAACAATGCGAAGGTGGATGCTAACTACACAATTGACTCTGCCCTTTTTTCGGGATGATGCCGACCGCTTGGCTCGTCGACGACCGTCATGTCATGACTGCTGCGCCTCTCTGTGGATTATGGCTTTCTGACGCGTGCTGTCATGCTCGCGCGGGGACGACACGATAGACAGGATACATTGTCATGAGCGGCCTTAGTCATCTGCTACGCGTTGATGACACGAGCTCGAGGCTCGTGTATAACGGCTCTTGGGCCCCGGGCAGCGTGAGCGATGGTGTCACCATCCACACCTCCACTTCCGCGGGCTCGACAGTCAAGTTTGCGTTCAATGGTGCGTTCACTGCCCGGCCGCTGTTGCGAGTCGGCGATTTGCATTTCGCCCTCCGAGATTTTGCTCCAATAATGCTAACAAGAGCATGGAATGTCAGGAACATTTGTGGCCGTATATGGGGTTATCGATGGCGACTCGGTGACTGCGTCCTTTGCGCTGGACAACCTACCTCCAGTCAGTGCTAGTGTCCCGCAACCACCTGAGAGCACCACAGAGAACTGGCCTTTCTTTTCCACGAACCCCCCACTAGACCCCGGTCTTCATGAGCTAACTGTCATCATCAACGACGGCACGTTCAACCTGGATTACGTCCAGTACGTGACGCTTCCTGGCCACTCCGACTCTCCTGGGGATTCATCTCAGGTCCAGGCGACCTCTTCATCTTCCACCTCGTCATCATCAACGAGCTCCTTAATACCCGCTCATAGCCAATTGCCACTTGGAGCAATAGTTGGTATCGTTGCGGGGGCGGTCTTGTTATTGGTCATCGTAGCAGTCGCGGTCTTTGTGCGCCGGCGATCCGCGCGGAGAGTGCGGCATGTGAAGCTCGACTCGGAGAAACCAATTGACATCATCTATGATAGTGCGTAGCCTCCCATAAAATCATAAATTGTGTCTTGGTATGTGCGAGCATAGCACTGACACCTTGCTCAAAGCCGCCCGCCGCCCTCTTCGACGATTCTCGTTGAGTCGAGTATACCGTCCCACGCCCCCGCGTTCAACGCAGAGCTCCAAAACCGCAACATCCTCGGCCCCCACATCTATTACGCAATCATCCGCCATGTTCACGTCCGTCATCATGCTTTCGCCCGTGCTCTCTATGGTCTCCGAAGAATCTGGACACCCTGAACACGACGCGTCAAGTTACGTGTGACAGCTCGGCCGCTGGCCGCCTTCTTTACCACATTCTTTTCACAGACCTTGCTATAATCTGGCTTAATACTCCGGACTCCTGGACTATCACCTAGACCTGTATCATGTTATGTGTCCATACTGCGCGCGTCTGCTGGTCATATCACCAGCCACTGTATATTAACGAATGTTCTGTATTATAATGTTTCATGCATACCACATATATGTCATTCCAGGATCTGAATGCTTTCATCATCCTGTCGGTCTTCAGTGACAACTATCTCGGGGTGATGTCAATGTTGTCGAGTGTCCTCTGACAAGTTCAGGCGTCGGCCTATTGCCAGAATTGGCAAGCGACATTTTTAAACCCCGCGCATGGGCAAGCGCCAATGCAAGGAGGGCGAAATTCTTTGCGGTTACGTCCCACACACTTGGCTCTTCCTGCCACCCATCTCTCCTCTCATCCTCAAATCCAGCCAATCTCAGACTCACCGTCTTCTGTGGTCATCATGGACGTAGACATGAAGCCAAAAGATGAGGTCGAGGAGAGGAAGGAGCGTGAGAGAGACCGGGAGAGGGATCGTGAGGCAGATCGCGATAGGGACCGTGACCGCGACAAGGATAGGGACAGGCGCGACCGCGACAAGGAGCGGGATCGCGACCGTGAACGCGACAAGGACCGCGACCGCCGTGAGCCCGGTCGTTCTCGCAAGAGCGACCACTGGGAGCCTGATGACAGACGCAACGGCGACGTGAGTACCACAACTGTTGTCCTCATGTTCTCCATTCCTTCCCGTCATATGATGGTACTTCTCGAGTACCCTTTCGGTTGCTGATGCATGTCTACTTCAGCGCCGCTCCCGCCGTTCTCGGAGCCGTACTCCTCATCGTTCTCGTTCTCGCCGACGGTCAGGCTCACCTCGCCGCCGTCGTCGTTCGCGCTCGCGCTCACGCTCTCCGCGCAGCCGTAGCCGGTCTCCAAGCTCACGAAGTCGCGACAGGCGCGCAACCGAGCCGTTTGCACGCTCTCTAGGTGGTCCGATGAACGCGCCGCACGAGGAAGCAGTCGAGTTCGCCAAGGTATCGAAGCGCGAGAACCGCGTCTACGTCGGCAACCTATCCTACGACGTCAAGTACCGCGACCTGATGGAATTCATGCGGGGAGGTGGGTTGGGAGACCTTAGAGCTTCAACTTCTTTTGGCTTCGTTCGGGGAGGTTGGGATTTGGTTACGGGATTGGTATTGGCGCCGGTCATCGGAGATAGGAGGGGCGTTACTGCAGACGTGGCAGCAGTGTCGGGTCAGGCCAAGGTAGAGGCTGAGGATGCGGATGATGCAGAGGCCCTTGGATGCACGAGAATCGACGGAGACACGACTCGCGCCGCCCGAACCGCGTTCGAGGCAAGGTCTGACGGTTCATGGTCACGGTTACGGTCATGGGCACAGGCATGGAGTAGAAGCCGTTGCGGCTGTGGTCCTGGTTATCGGAGCGGTTGGAGTGAGAGAGGGGCCCCTGGACGCACCGCTTGGCAGCCTAGTCACCGTCTCAACCGCATGCACCGACGTCTTCCGCGGAGTTTGGAGTTGGAGTTTCTGGTTCATTGACGGAGTGACGACTTGAAGGATGGTTTATTGATGGGAGCTTTCTTTTGGGTTTGGTTAGCTGGTGAGGTCCTCTTCGCCGAAGTCCTTGTTACACCAACCGGTGTTTCGAAGGGATGCGGGTGAGTTTTAGCCCTTTCTCCGAAGTGTGGTGTTAAACCCTGCTCAATCGAAACGTCTGTCAGTATCGTCGAATATGCCTCTCAGGAGGACGCACAGCGCTCAATCCGCGAGCTCTCTGAGCAGCTCCTTTTGGGCCGCCCGGTCTTCATTCGTGAGGTGAGCGGCAGCTAACTGTCGCAAGCATACGATGACACTAATAAGCTGCATAAGGATCGTGAAAATGAGTCTCGGTTCGGTGCTACGCCCGTTCCGGGCAAGATCGGTATGGCGATGGCTGGACAGGGGCTGAACGCAGTCCCGCCACCGCGCCCGCCGTCTCACAATTACTTCACCCATTCGAATCCAGGCAATCAGCTTTACGTTGGCAACGTGAGTTGTGTTCAACTGTCACAGATTTCCGGTGCTCTCTTCCGTCTGCTGTTCCTGCAGTTCCTCGTTCTCGTTGATCATGGATCATTCGCTCACACTATCATCACTTGCATCGCAGTTGCCTTACCAGGCTGGCTGGCAAGACCTCAAGGACCTCTTCCGCTCCGCCGGCAACATCATTCGCGCGGACATCAACATAGGCGCTGACGGCCGACCCAAAGGCTCCGGCACGGTCATTTTCGAGACTGCCAAGGATGCCCAGCAGGCCATTAGTGAGTGCTGTCCTACTCATGAAACGATCATCATAATACTCACCCATGCTTGTATTCATGTAGGCATGTACAACGGCTTTGACTGGTACGGTCGCACCCTCGAAGTGCGTGAGGATCGCTACGCCGGCCTGACCGGCCCTGGCTCGTACCGCGGCGGGCCCCGCGGCGGGCTTCGCGGCGGAGGCTTCCGCGGGGGCTTGCGTGGAGGCTTCCGCGGTGGCTTCCGTGGCGGCTACGCTGGTGGCGGTGGCCCAGGTGCAGGCGGCGGCGGACGCGACTTCTCGAGCCAGGACCTGTACGCGGACTACTCGGGTCCGGACCAGCCGGGCAACCTGCGTCTGGGCGCGTACAGCGACGGCGGCGCGTATGGCGGTGCTGGCGGCTTCGGCGCAGGTTTCGAGCCGGAGCCGTCGCAGCAAATCATGGTTCGCAACGTGAGTGCTCGCAGACGTTTAGTGTGATGAGCGTGTGGCTGATGAGGGACTTGTGTGGGACGGAACGTCAGTTGCCGTGGTCGACTGCGAATGAAGACTTGGTCGAGCTGTTTGAGACGACCGGCCAGGTCGAGCTCGCGGAGATCTTGTACGAGGGTACGCGCTCGAAGGGTTGTGGTGTTGTCCAATTTGCTCAGGTCGCGGAGGCGGAGACTGCGATTGGTGAGCGTTAGCACTGCATACAGTCCCATTCCTGTTCTCATGTTATGTCCCCAGCCAAATTCCAGCAGTACATGTACGGTGGTCGGCCACTCGGTAAGCTGACTTGTCATTCGGAAGCTTGTTCCCTCGTGCTGACTTGGTTTTGCGCAGACGTGCGATTCAACGACCGCTGGCACACGTTCTCCCCTGGGGCAGCGAAGGGTGGCCAAACTGTGCCCATGCAAGCGGACGGCGCTATGTAACCACTTTTGGCAGCGTTCTCCTATGTTCTTGTTCTGCGTCGGTTGTGTTCTAGGGGAACCATGCTACCCACCCCTATGTATCTGCATCATACAAAAGTGCCGTCAGCGTTATCGTTCGGTCCCTATATACTTCCTGCCGTCTTCCATCTACGTACATTACAGTATCGTGCACGTCAGCATGCATATGCCAACATTGTGTGTATGGAACGAAGAATAAACATGCAAGTCTATTGTCTCAATATGTCTTGTTTGATACTGGTGCGTACATGCGTCCTACTGAGCGGATGGTGGCTATTTGATGCGAAAGCTGTCGTAACGACACATACTATTGGTTATGGTCTCGGATCCTAAATATCGGTCTATTGGACGTCTATAAGCCATGACTACATGAGAAACCCGAGTGATGAGAGTACAATGACATGGTGCGCATGCGGGTGTATTCGCAGCATCGTATCTCGACCCTGAGGTACTGCCGGAGAGTCAAGAAGGTACGGGAAAGATATGGATACAACTGGTTGGGTGTACAACTGCTGGCCACTTACAACGACAACGCGATTGATCATGCCAACTCTAGGCCTATAGATTGCTCGTCTGCTCGCCCTCCGCCCCCTTCGGCAGGCTGTCGCGGACGAGGTGGAGCATGTGCTCGACGACCTCCTCAGGCGTCGTGACGTGCCACAGCGCGAGCGTGCGCTTCGAGCTGTGCCCGACGGCGGTCGTGAAAATCGCGTCGCGCTCGATGGCGAGCTCGACGGGCGGGTACTGCTCGCCCTCCTTGGCGAGGAGCGTGACGGAGAGCGGGGGCTCGAGCCGGACGCGCTCGTGCTGCTGCTGTGGCTGCTGCGGGAACAGGAGGAGCGCGCGGAACATGTCCTCGTCGGTCTTGTCGTCGCCCGCGCAGAAGATAAACTCGGCGTCAGGGTGGAAGTAGAGGATGCGTTTGACGATCTCGCCCTTGTTGACGGCGAGCGGGCGGACCTCGAGGTTCTTCTTGCCGACAAGCACTTCGATAGGACGTTTGCGAGCGAGGTTGTTCTCGAGCAAGTCCTGGCACTGATGGCACTGGAAGAGACTAACAAGCCACAGTCAGCATGCTGTTGAGGCAGCGCACATACCGTTCAGGACTCACCCCCATTCGGGATCCGCGGAACGGTAGTGCCAAGTGATCGAGCTCTTCTTGACCTCGATATGGCTGCCGGTGGTGCGCTCGGTGTAGTACTTGAAGATCTCGAGCACCTCCGACATCCAGCTCATATCCAGCGACTCCGTAAAGTTCCTCCACCCAGACTGTCCTGGCTCGCGAATGAAGCCACCGTGCTCCGCGGACATCCCGAGATTCTTGATGTGGCCCAGGTGCTGCTCCAGGAACTCGCCGTCGCGCCCTGAGATGATGTAAACAACGTTCTGCGGGTCAGCGGTGAGCGTTTCGAGCGCCTGCAACGTCTCCTTCGAGGGGACGGCAGCGCTGGGTGTCTTGACGATGGGCGCGAGCGTGCCATCGTAGTCAAACAGGAAGAGCCGCTTCTTTGCCTTCACGTAGTGGCTTTCAAGGTCGCCCTTGGGGATGAACGGCGTCTGCCGGGCCATGTTCGAGCTGCCGAGACGCTCAAGGAGCTTCTTGGCAAGCAAAGCAGCCCAGGTATGCGACGTGTGGGTGGTCACGGTCTTGTACAGTTCCTGATGGCGACGAAGCTTCTCGTCGTCCGGCATGGTCAGTCCGCGGTGCATGGCAGCGGCAACCTCCTGTAGGTCAATCAGACACTGATTAGTCGCAAGTTGTGAGGATGGACCACTGCAGACACGTACGCTGAGATTCCAAGGATTGATCTGCAGCGCATCCACCATGTTGCTCGAGATACCCATGAACTCGGAGAGGATGAGGGGGCTCTTCTTCGTGCGCTCCTGCGCGATGACGAACTCCATGGAGGTAGTGTTCATACCGTCGCGGAGCGGCGTGATCACACCAAGATCTGCAACCGAAAGCAGCGCGTAGAACTCGTCCTTCTTGATCGTTTGGTGGCTGTGTCGATGATCAGACACCGTCCAGATCCGCGTAACTCAAAAGCTTCGCAGAGACGTCACTTACTAGTGGTGCACTGGGATGAAATCGAGTGAACCGTACTCTCCGTTGATATGCGCGACCAGCTCAGAGACCTGACGCTCGAGTTTGGGCGAGTCCGAGAGTGCGGGGGACGTGACCTGGATCAGGACGACGTTGCCGATCCACTGAGGGTAGTCCTGAAGCAGCTTCTCGAACGCGCGGAGCTTCTGGACGACACCCTTGACCACGTCAAGCTTGTCCCGGCCGACGATGATCTTCTTTCCCTCGTAGAGCGCACGAAGCGCTTCCAACTTGGGCTGAATACCCGGGCGGAGCCTGGGAGATAACGGTCAGATCCGCAGAGACACGACGAGCGGTGATCTACTTACGTATCCTTCGCCACACGTTCCGCGTCAACACCGACGGGGCAGTACCCAATAGCGGCAACGTGGCCTTGAACATCGATGCCACCCCGCGACGTGACCTCGTAACCGCACACACGGACGCACGATGACGTGAAGTGTCTTGAGTACGAGTATGTCTGGAAGCAGATCAGGTTGGCGCCCAGCATGCCATCCAGGATTTCCTTGCGCCTGGGGAGACACCTGAAAACCTCGGAACTCGGGAAAGGCGTGTGCACGAAGAGTCCGACAGTGGCATCCGGAAGGGTCTGGCGGAGCAGCGACGGAACGAGGAGCAGATGGTAGTCGTGGATCCAGATGAGGTCTCCGGGCCGGTACACCTCTGCCACACGCTTCGCGAAGGCAGAGTTGACGGCCTCATACGGTGCCCAGTGCGCGTCTGCGGAGGCGTACTCCGTTGCGACGTCTTGCCAGAGCAAGTAGTGGAACAGAGGCCAGAGCGCTGTATGATGCGTCAGCCCATCGTCATAGATGAAGAAAAGTGACAACGATTGTGAGGCGGGGCATGTGCGAAGTGAGCGTGGCACAGCCTAGAACACCGCAAAACAGAAGAGGGAAGAAGGTTCCCAGACCCTGGGAAAATGCCATGCCATAAACAGCTATTCGAAGGCAAGCCATTCAAACAAACGCTCAGCGCATCCGTGCGATAGCGTGGTCGCCTTCTCTCATTCAACGAAGCTCAGCGGGAAAGCCAACTTCCAGGATGCACCACGCCCCGGTCCGGATATACAGCGAGAGCGTGCAGATCTACAGGACGGATGCCTAGGACGGGACTAATACGGCGGGGCAAGTACGTTTTCCAGTTGCAACCTGCGGATAAGGCAAGCGCACGTACTAGTGGCCAACGGCGGTGATAGAGGCACGAAAGTGTCAAAGATCCGGAAGCATGTCAAAGAGAGTAGAGTGATGCGAAAAAGCGGATCGAAGGGAGAGGCAGAGGAACGTGTACACTCACTCTGCTTGCAGTATCCATCGTAGTGACCGTGCGCATCCTTATCGTCAAGGAATACAGGCACGTAGTGAATCTCCTTCCCTTCCTCGACCTCATCCCGTGAGCGGTAGTTCTCAAGAAGGTCTTCGAGCTCCTTCTTGTCCGCATCGCTGAGGGAGGCCGTCGGGACTTTGCTGATGGGGGGATCCGACGGGCCACTTGAATTCGGTGCGGCGAGCGGGGGCCCAGCTTGAGAAACGGATTCGATATCGCCGGTCCAACCGACGAACAGTTGCTCATGTGTCTCCGCAAGGGAGTCAATGCCGCTCACCATGGCCGAGTGGCCGTAGCGCACGTTAAGTGTCCATTGCGGGGACTCGTGTTGCTGTGCCGGGGCGGTGGCCTTAGGAGTCGGCAAGTCTCCTGAGGGGGGTTGCTCGGTGGAAGGAGATGGCGGGATGTCCGAGGCCTTCGCAGGCGGGGTTGCGGGGGGACTTGGAATATCTTGCGGACGCGGCCTACGAGCGAAGGCACAGGTGATAGGGAGGTAGTGGGAGACATGGATGATTCGACCAGAGAGGGGGATGTCCTTCTCGCGAAGGTCGGCCTCGAGTTTGGCGACCTGCCCACGAACGTCGGAGAGAGAGACGGAGATGTCGAGGGGCTTGCGGGGTTCCGCGAAGCTGTCCATCGTTGCTGGTTGCGAAGACGAGGAAAGGTATGGAGGGGCAATCTAGGAGTCGACGATAAGACAGGGAGTAACGGAGCGGGAGACGATGAGAGGAAGGAGGGGAGAGACGGGGAGGAGGAGATGGTGCAGCAGCGAAGAGAGATGGGGAGATGCTTAAGTAGTGCGGTATCTGGCCAGCATCTTTCTCGTCCTCTGCCCAAACCAGGACGAGTGATGTCACGTGTGGGGCGTCATCGCCCAAACAGGCAAACGCCTCCAATCTGCTCAATCAAGCCAGCCAATCTAGACCACTCCTACTCACCGCCGCGCCAAATACTGCCGTCCCGAGGCCGTCCCGGCTACACACCGCTCCTGCCATCGATGAGACCCGTCTCGCAGAGCCCAGTCCTCTGCGCATATGGTGTGCCCGCTTCTCTCACGGACAGACCCGCGTCGACGAGTGCCCCCGCGCTCCGCAATAGACCTAGGCCATCAAGTCCTACACCGCCAGCATCGTTCTCATGCATTCTGGTCTGTCGCCATGCATTCTTCTCAGCACAACTCCTGTGGTATAGCCAAGAGCATGCTCTCTCTATCGCCGTCAACCGCCAGGTAGGCTACAAATCTTTACGTATCGGCAGTACCCTGCACCGAAACTTCCAGAGAGTTATTACGCTTATCGCGCAGCAGCTCCCTATCCCAGTCTCAGGGTACGTCAAGTTGCGCTCTCCCATCGCAGACATCTCCCTTCCTGCGACAGGTGAAAGCTTGACAACCTCTCGCTGCAAGCGCACCCGGGGAAGCCCAAGGTGGCTAGGGGCGGGCTCGCACGATCTGCAGCAGATCTTGCCTATGGATCGGCTCAGGTAGGCAATCGAGCGGCCATACATTTGCATCTGATTACCGCAATATCGTCGGAGAAAGAGTAGAACGCTCGCGGGGAAGCAACCTAGATGCGCGGTTCGCGGATTATCGCGACTCAATGCGCGGTGATCTGCGCCAGAGTGCGCGCGACCAATCCTGTCATGCTGAGCTCGGAAAGGGGGGCGCGACGCACGTTCATGAAGATAGCCCCAATTCTCCATGGACGATTCCGACGGCTCGTCTAGCCAGCGCAATGGGCCTCTCTGGCTCGGTGAGATCATATCGCGATCACCCCATGGTCACCGCCGCATGAGGAACGATCACGTGAAGAACGCACCACCGCGTACCTCGACGCGTCTGTGGCTGGGGAACGTACATGGCGACAATGTCCTGGAAAACTGGAGGAGGGTAGGAGAGAAGTGAGGGGGGATAGTGGAGGGGGGCTCAAGGCCAGATCGGCAGGGACGGTTTTCTGGGTTGCTTATATATGTATGCCTCACTGTGAGTTTGTTCCACTCTTCACACTTCTCGTCCGGGACTGTGTGCGCGTGATTGTAGGCAGGCACATGCGCCGCAATAATTGGTGTGACGGGGGCAACAAATCTGCCTAATAGCAGGTCCTTCCCCGCGCTCTCTCCCGAACAGAAGCCTGTGTGAGGAGTAGCCACTCGCATCCACCGGCTGCGATATCCAAAACCACCGAGGGAACCTTGCCCAGCCCAGAGTGCTCTGGATTGCACATTCAGGCGTAATTGCTCTACGGCCTGATTCTGGTCTCAAGAGATGAGAATGGAATATCCTGCAAGAATGGCAGACATCTACCGTTCGGCAGGTTTGATCGACTCGAAATTCCAGGCCACGGATCGGCAACCGATCTCGAAGGAAAGCAATACTTGCCTTACTATGAGGTAGTGGCTACTGCTTTCAGTGCGGCACTTCCGCGTGCCTTCTCACTCTATATCTGCCATGGCTTGCACCGCTTCTCGGCGACCTCAAGCAGCCCACGGCCGCTACATATTCAACTCGTCTCGCTGTGGCACCCTATACTTCTGCGGATACCAATTGCAGACTTGCCCGGCCCTCATCCTCCTTTGTGTGTGTATCCAGAACAATAATATATAAACGCGCCGATCTCAGCAAGAGACTTCTTGTATCAAAATCACCCACATCCGATTCTGAGGAAAACTTCGAAAAGGATGCGTTGAAAATAGTAAGGGGAGGTCAGATTGTCAGCATTCCCAGGTACAGTGAGGTGTTAGTGGGAAAGCGTCCGTATTCGCATGAAATACAATAAACGAGAGTGATCGGGGCGAGCCCATGGCCGAGCGCATAACATAATAGCACAGTAACTCACCAATCCAAATGTAATCAAACCTGACGTCCATCACAAACATACTTCATACACCCGTCCCCTCATCCCGCCTTCCTTCCATCGGCCCCCAGCCCAGCCGCGAGACCCAGCGCCATCGAGCTACCCAGCATCGACCCGAGGCCCTCCGTAGGCACGAACACCGCCTTGTCCCCAAACGCGGACACGCGCCTGACCTCCGTCCTCCGGAGCTCCATCTCGCGTGCGAAGTGGTCGATGACGGCGGCGTCGGCGACGGCGCGCAGGCGGATCGCCTCTGCCTCCGCCTCGGCAGCCAGGCGCGTCGCCTTCGCCTGGGCCTCGGCGTCGATCTGCGTCTTCTGCGCCTGGGCCTCCGCGGCTTTGACGACGCTGTACGCCTCCGCGTCAGCCTTGGTCTGTAGAGCCGCGAACGGGTGAGCACGCGAGAAGGTGAGAAGAGGGTTAGCAGGCCTAGACTGACGTTCTGGACTTGGGCCTTAACGCGCGCGACGGCGAGGGTGCCTTCCTCCTGCTTGATCTTGTTGCTGTTCTCCCGATCGACATTCTGTAGATGGCTAGGTATGAAAAGCGTCTCCTGGTACGCGACAATGCAACAACACATACAGCAGCCTCCACTTGTGCCTGGAGTGCACGAGTGGTGAGCTTGTCCATGGTCTGCGCGATGTCGCCCTTGAACTGCCTATCAATAACCGCTGCAATCCCTCGTCAATCACGAACCAGAGCCACGAGTGGGCTAAGCACATACCGAGATCCTTCATGATGATACCGTACTCCAGCGCTGCGGCGTGCAAGTCATCCATGGCGCGGGTCCGGAGCGCATCGAGGAACGCGGAAGAAGCATCGGTGCCGTCGTCCATGTTATCCGGACCGATCGAGCGCTGCTTGACCATCGAACTATAGTCCACTACAGGAAGACGACGGGGGAAAGTTCAGCATCCTTCTCATCCTTTCTCGGATCCACACGCACAGTGGGCAACGATCTGCGTGAGGATAGACTGCGTCTTGTCCCTGAACGCCCACAGTCAGAACACGCCGTAATAGAAATGCACAAGATACTTACCGGAGCGCGTCGTAGGGCGTGTTGTAACCGTGCGTCGTCAGCTTGAGTGGCTCTGTCAATTGCCTGCCATGACCGGTGAATTTACCGTCGCGACAATGGAGGTTTCGCAACTCACCATTTCAGATAAATTGTCAAGCTGACGGGGACCTGGTCCCGGGTGAAGCTGATATTCGCATGAGTTTAGATAGAAGTGCAGAGACAGCAATGCGTACATATCCTTGGTCGGCATCTCTAGCTGATTCTCGCCGAGAGTGAACAGCCCGCGGAGCGTCACATTCGGCGTTGTGATGTAGTGCTGTCCGGCCGGTAGAAGTTCGAGGTCATCTCCCTTCTGCAAGATTGCACAGTTGTTTGCCGGAATGTTCAGGCTGTGATAGAATTAATTATGATGCTTGAACTTTCCGCTGCCAGAAGACAACACTCACAAGAGCGCCACGACGTAGTCCTGATTAGACCCAGCCCCCGTCCTGCTCTTCATTGTCACTTCGTGGCTCCTGTGTAGGCACATTCCAGTCAGAGTGGATCATCAAGTGCTGTCGCGAGAGTCTGCGTACCATCCGAGAACGACGCCAGTGATCCTGTCCTTGATCATAGTCGGCAGGTGCGTCTGGTCCACAATGGACAGCACGTTGTACGTCCCCTCGATCGCATACGCCACAAAGCCCGAATTCTTTATCACGAACACGTGGTTCTGCGGGTCCGACACGACCGCAGCTTGGTTCTGAGAGACCTGGACCACGGTCAGACCCTTGAACTCAATCACCGTATCTGACACTGTTACAGGAGCCGCCGCAAAAAAAAAACCAAATCGTCAGCCGACGGACCCAGCTGCAACAGATATAAGAGCGGGCGACGTACAGCCGCAGGTTCCCGCCCACGAGCGCGCCCACCAGTTGCGAAGCGGCATGCCAGGGTACCGCCCCGCGTGGGTGAGGATTTTGGGCAGACCACCGTGATTTATGAGACCGATCTGTCCCGGGGTGACTTCCTTGCCAATCCAGTCCGTCGGTTTCTATGTAGAAAATTCCGGAGTCAGCGCATCGGCTTCCGGGACATCATATGCGAGTAGCCTACAACGAGGTCTGCAGAACTCAGGGATAACCACCCTTGCCGGTCTGCAGACCTCCCTCACATGCAACGATGGCTGATAATTGGCCACAAGAGGGGGAAAGTGATGGGGCGCCCTACGAGCGCATCATATTTGGATGGGGGAAGCCGTTCATAGTGCGCAACCGACGATTACCTTCGTAGACAGAATATGCGGACGCCCCGCCTGCACAAGCCACCTCGTCAGCACGCCACATCCATAGAGACAGATACGACAAAACTGGACATACATTCCTCAGCTGCCCATCGAGCTTCTGCAGTGCCCCGATGAGCCCGTCCTTGCCGATCTTGACAAAGAACGGGCGATCCTCCTCCATGTAGTCCACCGCGGTAACGAAATTTGCCGCCGACTGCTGGCGCTGCGACTTCTTCAGTGGTGGATCCTCGTGGTGGAAGCGTGGCTTCCCATTGCTCTGTGTGCGGTAGCTCGCGCTGGTCGCGTGGCCGTCCACGACAGTCGATGCATCGCCGACACTGGACATTGTGCGCTTGTCGGAGTAGAGAGGTGGTAGTTAGGAGGGGTTTGCGAAGAGTAGGATACGTGGGTATATGAGGTCCTTTGAATTCAACAGAAGCCGACTGCGCTGCGGGACTAGTCGGGTTGGCCCTGGGGAAAGCGGTCTCAGGCTGGAGATAGACTTGTGTTGGGAAGCGGTGAGAGGTGCGTCACAAGGCCGGTCAATCTGAACCTTATATATGGCTCGGTACTCGAGCACTGCCAGTGCCTGACGGGCGTGTACATGTCAACTGACAAGAAAGCCAGCAGTCCTGTGCAACATTCTGACAGAGCGATCGCCAGGACCAGCCGATGTCAGAACGTCGCGAGCTCCTGGAGATGTGGCGGCGGATAGCCAGGTACTGGCGTATGGGAATCCTAGGAGAGTCCGCACAGTCATCTACTGTGGCGCTATTGATGCTTCCTAATATGAATAGAGGGTAATTCGTGCTTTCTGAGCGTCTCAACAAAGGCTCGTAGGGGCTCGCTCGCCCGAGTTGTCATGATGTTGAGGTCCATGCAACGGCGGGACATACTCAGAAGAGATACAGATCGTCGAAGGCGGTACTTCGCTGAGGCCGACAAGCTCGCAAGAGGCGCTGAAATCCGACGACTCCGGGGCAGCGCCTACGCTAGCGCTTAAGGCGGCCACTGACAAGGTGTCGAATGTCGAGCTTAGATTGATGCTGCTAGCTATAAGCAGACCATCGGAGCATGCAGGTTAGCAGATCGAGCGCGCCAAAAACAAGACACGAGGTCATACCGGTACGATCCTAGGAGACATTGCCTCGCGCACGGAGCAAACTAGTCGTGCTACCAAGATGAGAGCGAAGAATCGTTATATACATAGCGGGCCACAATGTGCGAGGATGGTACCTGCGACCTGTGCCACGCCCACCATATCGCCTTCGATATTTGGCATCCGGGCGTCATCGGGATCGGCAAGCGAAGCGAATGCAGTCCTCAGCCGCATACCTCCCTTCAAGTGTAAAAAGGAACATTCTGATAACCACGGCGGCCACCGCCACGTCTGAATCCGCTCCCTCGCGGCCCTCAAAACCGACACCCGGTCGGCGAGATATACAGGAAGAGAGTCCGCGGTCGCCTAGTCGACTATCCCCAAATGCCCCCCCAGTCCTCTCCATTACCACAGGTGCGCTATGCTAGATGACGGACGCATATTATATGCGCGCATACCATACCTATCCAATTCCCGAACGATACGCATCCACAGCCTACAACACACGGCTCACGAGTCCACGTCCATGCTCGTCGGTTCGTCGGTTGTCGTCGGGGCGTGCCGACCGTCCTCTGCGGCGATAGGAGTTCCGATGGGAGGCGCGAAGTGGTTCTTGCTCGCCGGCGCCGACTGCACGAAAGGCGAGCGGCCATCCGGCGAGCGCGACTTCTTACCCTCCTTGATCTCGCGGATGGTGCGCGCAGAGGGGTTGAAGTATCCGCACTTCGGGCAGACGTATTCTAACGGTGCGGCACGGGTCATCAGCTGCAGTCTCGATAATGGATGAACGACGTGTCGAACGTACGTGCGTCTTCCCACCGACTCTCCTTGACGAGGCCGTTGTGCGCGAAGCACTTCTGGCAGATGAGGGCGTATCGGGAAGCGGCGCCCGTGGTTGACGCGTCTTCATCACCGAGGATGGCGTCTGCGAGCTTATCGAACCATTGTTTGCGTGGTGGAGGAAGGGGACGCTGAGGAGACGCTACGGAAAGGACGTCGGTTATCAATGACCGCTCCACCTATGAGGACTAGACGAAGAGGATACAGCGGGTTTGAGCAGCGCGCGGTCATAGTACAATCGCAGCATAGCCTAGGACGTAGCACGGAGCTGTGTCCAAACAGATCACACCATGGCAGGCAGAACGTGCTCAAGCGCAAGTGCAGACGCTCCACTCCGCTTATGCCGGGACGCGCGGATTGATATAAGAGACACACTACTCACGCGAAAGCTGCTGCTGCAACCCAGGCGTCAACGTCCCTGAGGCAGGCGTCTGCGGATTCACCTGTAGCCCGCCACGTTGTGGCGTTTGCGGCGCGAGCTGCCGTTGCTGTAGCTGAGGTCCGGGAACGGGAGGCTGCGGTTGGGGGACAGCGGGAACGCGGCGGCGGAGGCCAACAGGACTTTCCGGTGCGGGGCTGCTTTCGTACCGCTCGATGAGACTGCGCATAGAGTAGTAGTTTGTTTTCTGCTTGACTTCCTCGATCTTCTCGCGCTGCTTCTTGCGCAGCTTGACCAGGGCCTTCTCTGAACGGATGATGTCAGTGAAGGGGCTTGTCAGAGCACTGTATTGGAGGGAGGGGACGGACCTTCAGCATCGCCAATGCGGGTATACCATATTTGTACTATTTTTCGGACGAAGAGAATGCTAACATAGGCGTTGGAACATGTTAACTTGCAGAAGGTGGTGTATACTTGGAGATAGGAAAAGCATGAAGCATTGTACACCAGCACCTCGCAGGAACGTGCACATGGCTCGGTACTTCCCGGCTCTCGATGGTACTGTAGAATAGTAGAGTTCAAGGTAGGAAAGAAGACGTACACGATGGGCCCAACAAACACTGGGATCGCTTTGGCGGTCCTCTCAAAGTTACTCGATCTTTGGTGTGTTGTTATGTTGGGGAGGAAGTCCATATACCACAAGCTCGTGTACGTGACCCATGCGACGAGTGCCCACACCGAAACTAGCAGAGTCGCTCGACGTTCACGCAATCGGATTTCGGAGAGACGCGTCTGTCGCTTCTGTATGTCCTGAGCAAGTAGAGCGAGAGCCTGCTCGTAATCTTCAGGCTGGCTCTACGGGCAGCAGGAATGGAACACGGTGTCAGAGGTGCATGTGGTAAGAAAGGAAGATGCGCGCACCGGTTTGAACCACCTGCTGAAGAGACCCATGCTCGGGAATTGCGAGCCTAGACGCCAAATAGGAATTGATGACGATGAGCAGACAGTAGAATACACGGAGGATAAGGAGCGGGAGGTTGGATGTCGAGGACAAACAGGCAGCGGTGGCCACTTGTCCCCAACCAGCGCCGATACGTCAATGTCCTGTCCTGCACGTGACTATCGCCTCCAAAGTAGGGCGTAATTTCCGAGACCGGGCGTCTGCCACACTAACTATATAACACTGCCGCTGCCCGCACAGCCAGGCGACTTCCTGAACTTCCTGCACGGTCTTGACAATTTAGCGGCCGGCGTCGGCTAGTTGAAGGAAATTGGAGCATGGGCGCACGTCCTGGGAGAGGGATCAATGACTCACGGCACTTCCGAAGTTTCCACCTATCCGTACGTCCACTTCCCAAACAGAGGTTGGCAGTCTGGAGGCGACGTCAAGCCATTGGCCCTAACCTCCATCACGGCACCGTGAATGTGTTGTAGGCTTTTTGATAGGTTTCTGTGGACACACTGGCAGACTCTCAGTAGAAGCAGCGATTGTCGTAACGGACTGCTGCGCGCACAGCTAACGATCTTCCTTGGTCGTGTCCGGACTAGGGGTTGGAACGTTAGTAACTCTCCCTTCCTCCAACATCTATCGCCGACAAGCGGAATCTCCCCGTCCTTGTACTTTCGGACATTGTTGTGCATCAGAGCATTGTGCCGCAGTTGTCCTTCTTCAGGACTCCTCTGTAACAGATAGTACAGTGGCGATCATTGCGGTAGTGCGGTACCTCGGTGAGTCCCGCCTCTCGGTTTTTCATCCACACGCACCTGTTTCATGACAGGTCTCTTGAATACTAGCTGAAACTCTGCTTCTGCGAATGCTCAATCGCTTTCCCGCTGATTCCTGCAGGAGCGAGCGTCCGCCGGTATCGTTCTTCGCTTGCAGGGGTGCAGCTCACGGTAGATGGCTAAAGCATCGGCATTCATCGCGGACGCTGATGGTCCTCGTTCTCTATCATGTCGCGCGGACCATTATTTGACGGCGTACGGCCGCTTTTTCAAGCGTAGCCTTGGCGCGACCTGCGTCCATCATGTGCGTAGGTTCTATGGCCATGCGAAGGACGCGGGACGGGGCGCGCGCTGGGGACCTGTTCTATACTGTGAACCAAGGACAGCCCACAATACGCGCTTCCGCACAGCATGTCAATCACTCCACCTATATCATCAGAGACAAATACCACTCAGAAAGATACAGGTTGGGACACGAATTCTCCTCACGGCCCAAGCAATCACTCGCTTTTGACCCTCGACCCATCCGTAGCTTTTGGTCGTCTCGTACCATCATGCGCCCTGCCGTATCGACGCCCCGCTCAGATAGTGGCTCCCTTGCCATCCCCCCCAATTACAAGCCAAACATGCCTCAGGCTGAAGAGAGCGGCCGACATACGATGTGCAAGTGACTTAGATGGAGCATTTCACCAAGCAGCGGTGAGCAGGGGACTAGACGCCACTCCGTGGTCTGGGGGAGAATAGACCAACGAGATGCCGGTCTTTGGACCCTGGCATATTGTGTCGACTTGAGCGGATCTAAGAGGCGGCGCGGACGCGAAGAGAGACAACAATGCTGCAATTGCTGCGAACCACGAAGCGGGAAGGCAATGGAGAACGCTGTGTGTTAGCTGTGCCGCCGGAGAAGAATATGAGTCTGGTATATACTGTAGCTGAACGAGTCGACAAGCTAAGGATGAGAGGCGCAGCTACGACGGTGAATTCTCGACCACTCAGTGCAAGGTTCGGATGTCCCGAGCGGCGGCCGTGCTAGTAGAGCCGATGGGGCGGCAGAAGTTGACAACAACAACAACAACAGCGACGTCTGTCCATGTGTTCGTGTTCCAGGTTCTCGGGTCACTCTATATTAAGGGTCGCTCTTGTCGGAGAAGTCGACTAGAAAGGCATGTCTCTCACCATTTGTAATTTTGGAAGAGTTCGTAGATGATAGAAGCTTGGGATAGCATTTGCCCGCACTTTGCCCACTTTGATACGGGAGAAAAAAGAAGTTCAGGTATGCCCCCGGAGTCCCAGTGTTATAACATTCGTCACCCCAGCGTCTGCTGTCTTGCAAGTATGCTTCCTGGAAGGTTGATGTGTAGCAATTTCTGTCCTTCGGTCAAATCCGTCTAGCAAGTGGCACGCTTCACTACCCTTGTGTAGGGTAGCTCTCTTCTTCCATCCCACTCTCCTGGGCCCGACTGTTATGAGTCAGATGGGCGCGAGGACCACTGTTGCTGCGATCGCAAGCGGACACATGTACGTAAATTGAATGGCAGGCGGTACGGAGCGCTGACCGTGGGTGCTCTTTATTTGCCTCTGTTTGCTTGCATGCTCTCCGACTGACCTGTTTGAGTTTGTTGTGTATTCGCAAACGAGATTGTGGGGGGCGTCCCTCACCCAACCCCGGGCCCCTTATAGTTGCAGGACATTAGTTTCCCAGGATGCACGCACTTTCGCTTATCTGCCTTTTCACCAGGACCATTGCCTCTTACCATGGCCTCCCCTCAACCATACCGCCCTCTGCCAAGCTGCGTTGGTCCCCTGCTTCAAGGAGATGCGCCCAATGCCGCCATACCCTCCTTGCCGCCCTCGTCCAACGATCGCCTGTACCTGTTACACGGGGAGCTCTTCGTCGCTATGCCCCTTTTACGCTACCAAGGTATGTCTGCTAGAATGCCTCCGCCGATCCTACCGTCTTGTGTTGAAGATATCCTCCTCGCCCCAGCACTGGTCGCTAGCCAGGTGGTTTCTACTCAAACGCTTCCTCTTCCCGTGTCCAGCATACCGGTGATGAACCAGTGCCCGGCGACATCGCCAACAGCGACAGGATCCCTCCCGACCTCTCCCGGACTACTCACAGGTCCCTCACCCGGGCTCGGTGCCGTCGAAGGGCTTGTCAACACCGGCGCTCACCCTCGCGCGCGTGTCTCAATCGCTTTCCTCTCACAAACTGTTGGTTATGGGTGTCATACCTTCCAGTGCACCAATTGCCACGAGATGCGGAAGTCATGCGACGACGCCCGTCCCTGTCGACGCTGCCTTAACCGCGGCCAGGGTGCAACTTGCGTCGACCACGCTCGTGTCCACAGACGTATTCGCGGTAGTCAAAGTTGTAACCCGACGTCATCCACATCAGATGCGTCTATGGATATGGTGGAGGTGGCAGGTCAGTTAAGCATTAGGCTACCAGATGTGTGGATACTCATGCGAAGCGTCGCGGACTAGGTCCGCTAGATATACGTGAGTCTAGCGGCTCGATTTTCCCAGGCTTCTCTACACAGTATCCTCAACACTCAGCCGTTGTCGTGGATGTAGAAAACGAGGCCAACTTGATGCCCATGACTTCGAGCTGGGCTTCTTATCAGTACTGACAGTCATGCTACATCGGTACCGTTGATTCTCACACACGTCCTCCTCTTCGTCCACATCTGATGTGCTGCTTCTTGCCAAAAACATCGCTTTATGTTGCTTTCTACCACCTGCCTTCGATCTCTGAATGAGGACTTATTCTCTACTGTGACATAACTCGAATTCTCGCTGTAGTATCTACCAATCAATAAGTTGTCTTCTAAGCTTGCCCTGCAGAAGGTGGTGGGCGGAGCATGATTTGTGGAAATTTATGCGGCACATTGTGTTTGCTGAAGTCAATGAAGCTGCATACGAAGCTACAAACAACGTGCATAGCCACTTTACTCGTTTCATGGAGCAGGGTATGCGGCACTTATTCATGGCGGGTTCACGAAAAAGCCTCCTGGCTATTGACAAGCCGCTATGATTTAGCTCTTCACATTGGCTTGTGCATCATGTATAATAATACACTGCAGCGATGGTGATAATGAACCACCATGATCTAATCGCACCATTTATGAAGCGCCCATGCGGGGGTCAACACTGCCGATGGAACCAAAGAGCTGCACCCAAAATATATCATTAGATGATGAGTGCGCGCGTACAGTGTACATGGTCAGACTCACGATACAGCCAGACACGTGTGTTTGCTGGGTCACCGTGGCATCAGGCTGATGGCAGCGGGATCAATAGGGGTGGTCAGAGTTCACGATTCTCAGGCGATTCTGAGACCGATTCTGGTACTACAGTTCTACATTTCTCGACTGTCTACTCAATGTCTGCCTTTGGTTTTGGGCTCTATCGCGCCCTTGAACACCCTACATATTCAAAAAGAACAAGACAAATCAACTCCGCATTTTTCCGACCGAAATCGAGCAAATTTGAGGCGAAATCACCACTATAGGTACAGATTCTCTGTAGAAAGTCGTTGTTTCGACACAGTTACCTCGAGAGGTTCCTATGCAACTATCCTGTCACTGGAATATGCATGAATGTAAGCCTCACCCACCGCTTCTGTCTTACTCGGCACACTTCACAGATTACGTACATCACCATTTATATAGTTGACGTCCTATACCGTGCTCCTTAGCTCTGCTCACCACGGTATAGGTACGTATATCCGCACACATGTATATTAGCTCTGCTCACCACGGTATAGATCTCGTTCTAGTTTATATTCTCGGAGTCAGTGAGGAGGTTTCGTGAACCTCCTTTCAATGAAATATGTCTCGTATTGGCTATAGACAGGGAGACAGGTGGGACGAAGGGAGTCGACGCAGAATCGCGATTCCGGAGGAGCTTCTGCGATTCTGCGCGATTCTGCGGAAATCGCGATTCTGGCGACAAAATCGTCTCCAGAATCGTCCTCCAGAATCGCTCCAGAATCGCACAGAATCGTGCGCTCTGACCACCCCCAATGATGACGACTGTTCAGTGCACGTGATTGCGGCGTGATTGAGCTAGTGGGGTCAAAACAAAGACTACGAAAGCAAACTTGATGCGCAACTTTCGAAGCGAATTTCGAAGAGCTATATGACTGTAGGGACTCGAGAAGCAATCATCTGCAAGTGGCAGGCGTTTGAAATCGGAAGACCGTGAGAAAAAGCGGTCAGATGCGCTAACGCTAGTTCTTGTTGTTATGTGTTTGGTCCCTGTCGCCGCAACACATCGTTGCGCGGTTCAAAATTCTTGATTACACTGCAGTCCTACATACAATGTCACTGCGCTCAGAATCATCCATCACTCATCGAATCCTTGGACACTGTGCCTCGTCTTGAATCCGAGGCTCTACCACGATGTGCACAACACCATACCTTATCAGTTCTCGTCCTGGGGTAGGTCTAGCCTAGCCCCATGGTGCCTTTCTGTGGTTTCTCGGAGACATGTACGGCGTCGGTTCGATTATGTCTGTTGCATGGCAAGCTCGCCATCTCCGGGCTCACTACCTCCATCTCTGTGTCCGGCGCAGCCACGTCTTGATTCCTACCGTCAGCATTGACCGCAACCCTACAGGTACGCTACAGCTGCCGCCCTACCACCAACCCGTGGAAGTCCGTTCTGCTTCGTCGCATATGCCCGTCCTCCCTTGAGCGGCATGCCGCGACTCGTGCGAGCTGATATGTACTCGGACCATGAAGCAACATAGAACGTCTCACGGTCTCATAACACAAGCAAAGGGGACATTTCAGGAGCTAAGGCGGTAGCGGTGCGTTCAGCTGGGGGGATAATCTTGAGGTGTGGCAAAGGAAGGCTCTTCCGCGACATTCTGGCGTCACAAGCTGGTCGACGGCACTGGAGTTGTGCCTGACACGCACTACCCTTGAGAGTCTCAAATCTAGTCATGAAGATTGTTCATGCCTCATCTTCTAGTCTCGAAGTATCATTTGTCATGAAACTGTTGTCACCCCCGTTGACGCTGCACTGCCCTTCTCAGGCTCCTTTGTTCGGTACTGCTTTTTCAGCCTAATTTGTCATGATCACCCCTTCCGGCGCTCAACACAACCGCGATCGACGTGATCAGCGTAGCAGTGAGCACCATGCAGCAGAGACTTTCCCGCATTCGACCTCGACTACGACATCGATTTCATTTCCATGACTTATCTCAGGCTCTGCCTTTTACGTCCAGCGCTACTCTGTGCTCGCCCACCTCTCTGAAGAACGTTTTCGATCCGTTTTTCATCATGATAATATGTAGCCGCGCCTTTGAGCGGTCTCAGGGCGATACAAACATAAAACGTGGTCAGATAACAGAAGCGCTGTTGACAGGTAAGTACTCATTGGCATCAACGTGTGGGGTTCTACCGCGATTGAGTTTGAATTGACAGACGTGTCTGCACTGCACTTGTCACGACTCCGTTGGCGGCGCGTATCGTCTCATACCTCGAAGCGCTTAGTGTGGTCTGAATGCGTGCGATCAGCTGTTGAGCGCCCTCTGTCCCCTAAGCCTAATGTTCTATCTCGCTGTTTTCCGCTGCTGATATTTATGCAGAGCTTGTGGCATGTCCCGCCTTCGATTCCCTGTTTCCTGCCGTCACTATAGTCCGATTCCCTCCGTTCTACGCCGTCAACATGTCGGACAGCGAAGGAGATGAAATGCAGCAGTTGGTGGCCTCGTTGAAGCTCTTGTGAGTATCTTCTCGTCTCCCGTATGCCCTGGCACTCACTCAAATGGTGCCGAGTATGTAGTCAGATCAGCTACTATTGCCAGATCGCGGCCGTTGGTGAGTGTAGTCAATGTCACTCAGTGTGCAGGTATGGACCTGATACTGCTTTCCCGTTTAGCCCTACTTGTATATGATCACCTGCTTACATTCGCGGGTGAGGTTCACTTTGTGTGGAGCCGCAAATTCTCCGGCGCGACAGTAGTGTTCGCCCTGAACCGGTATGTTACCCTCTTGGGCAAGATAGCCCTTCCAGTGAGCACATTTTGGTGGCCGAATCAGACGGACAAGGTACATAGGGCTTCATCTATTGTATACCCGCGTCTGACATTAGCTTGTACAGACGTGAGCCAATGATGTCGTCGCCGGTTCAAAATGAGCTAACGGCTCTCCTGTAGATGCAGCTCGCCTATCATCATTGTCATGATCTTGACGGTGCTTGCATACTTCATCACTGCCAGTACGTCTTTTGGCCGCTACCCCACACTTGTATGGTCATATCTCATCGTAAGTCAGTCTTTTCAGCACTTCGTGTCTATGCGATATGGGATCGCAACTGGAAACCCTTCACGTTGGTCATGCTTGTGGCCATCGTCACACCTACAACAAACATTGTAGGTCATCTTTCAGGAGTATGATCCCATCCACCGGCCGAATGAATTGATCAATCCAGTACCAATATGCACGGTCATTCCCTGCTGCAGAGACATTCCCGTTCTGGGGTTGTGGCGAGGACGTTGCGCTCTCAGCAGCTCAGTTCGCGAAACGTACGTCGTAACGTTGCTAGCGCCTTCGTCCTCTGATTGTAGTTCCTACTAGTGTCCATCGTTACCCATAGTTGTGCCATTGCGGCGGATCTACTTGTCCTCGTTCTGACATGGATCAAGACGTACGAAATCAAGAAGATCGCCAGCGATCTAAAGCTGCAAATGTCTCTTTCATCGCTCATTCTGCGCGACGGTACCCTTTACTTCGTGTGAGTTTCCATTCACCGATCCCTTCGAGTCTCAGATCCTGACGATGCCGAAGTGTGCTACTCATCTTGAACGTCGTCGACCTGATCATCAACGAGAGCGACGCTGTAAGTCCCCCATCACTTACGTCAATCGCTCAAGTATCTTACAAGATTGTATAGCTCTTCAATCCCATGCCGGAATTCATCGATGTGTAAGCTACTTGCGTTGCTCTTTGCGTGTTTCTGATCTCCGAACCTCATCTACGCAGGTTCACTTGCATATTGATCTCCCGCTTCATGCTCAATCTACGCGAGGTTGCCCACACTCCAGAAGGACCAGCTGGACGGCGCAATACAACGATTGCGCTCTCTCAGTTCACTTCGATTGAAATCGCTCGCCCGGACGTCATTGGAGACCTTGGGGCACCGCTCACCTATGACACTCACATGACGGGGACGACCAATGTCACGAGGAGTGTTGACTTGCTCACCAGCTCGTGCGCGTTGGAGTCGCACACAGTAGATGAGCACAATGTTGCCGTTCTACATGAGAAGGGCGGGCCTCTAGGTGCAGGGCTACTGGAGATCGGCCGTCCCGACAGCATGGCACGCGAATTCATGTCAATAGACGAGCCAAAGGTACGTTTCACTTCAAGATATTCAACAGCATGACGAGGCTGATCTTTTGTGACCTGCGCGACAGGACGTTGTCGATGAGCAAAGCTGCGCATAGTTAAACCTTTTCCACTTCAGTCATCTTCGCAAGCACCGGCTTGGCGTATGAAATTCGGTCCGACTACATGATGGAGCAACGTCTAGGGGACTGATTTGCGTGTCTCAATTAGTATAAAGCTACTTACTACTATGTCTCCGTATTCGACTATACTATACGTAATCTTATCTAATCGCAACGGTCTTGCTATGGTGCAGTTCACTTAAACACCTCCACTTTTGTACGCGATTAAGCGCGCGCTTATGTGTCACGTGACTTGGCAGTATGCTCGAATCGGTTGTCGTTACTTACCAGGCTGCACAGATGGAAGTGCAAGCCCAAGGAACCTCCATAGAGCCGTTATCCCACGACACGATAGTGTCTGAACCCTCCCATACATGGCCCAAGTTCAAGGATGCCGATCTGTACAGGCAATGGTATGGTATTATATAAGCATAAAATTACTCTATAGACGCCCAGATCACGTGCCGTGGCAGAACTGGTACGGCCATTTTTGCCAGTTCTCACCCTATCGAGAATCCCCTTTGGGGATCGCTTCCTCTGTTCAATTCCTTGAAATTCACACAAAATTGACCGAAATCATGAATATCTGGAGGACTTATGACACGGCGCCTAACAGCGTACAAAAGTGGAGGCGTTTAAGTGAACTGCACCATAGAACTGGCCGTCTTCTCCATCGTTCTTGCACCACTGCCAAATGCTCTCCCTGTGAATTACCTCGCCTCCGCTTCCAACTGAAAACTACTATGCATCGCTTTGGAGGGGTCGGAATAGGAGCATTCGATCGACAACAGCAGTCCAAACGCGGCTTCGCTGAGCTCTCGACCGAGCTTTCCCAAGGACAGGTCGAGCACCTCCACCTCCAGCTTGCCCAATTCCGCAGCGCCCTCGCGCACTACGCGTCGACGCACCGCGACCGCATCCGCAAGGAGCCCTCATTCCGCCATGCGTTCCAGCAGATGTGCACGACCGTCGGCGTCGATCCGCTCGCGGGACCCCGCAAGGGCGGCTGGTGGGCGGAGATGCTCAACCTGGGCGACTGGCAGTACGAGCTTGGCGTGCAGATCGTCGACGTGTGCGTGAGCACGCGCGAGCGGAACGGAGGGCTGATTGAGATGAGCGAGCTGATCCGACTGGTGAGCAAGCTGCGGGGAGTGGGCGGGGACGTGATCACCGAGGACGACGTCCTGCGGAGCATCAAGACACTCAAGCCGCTTTCTGCGGGATACGAGGTCATCGACGTCGGTGGGGGGAGGAAGATGGTGCGGAGCGTGCCGAAGGAGCTGGATGCTGATCAGGCAGTCGTGCTTGCCGTTGCGCAGGAGGATGGCGGCCGGGTCTCTGAACAGGTTCTGGTGGCGCGCAGGGGTTGGACGCAGGAGCGTGCGCGGGCCGCGCTAGAGAACATGCTTCTGCGCGACGGTCTCTGTTGGCTGGACGAGCAAGATCCAGAGTATGGAGTCTCATATTGGGTGCCATCAGCCATGCGCTGGGACGAGTGAACATGGCCGGAGACCTTAGGTTAGTATCTTTGGATCATTGCTCGACTGTGTCGTAGCCTAATGTATCTGATATGCTTTCAGTAGAATGGAAACTGTATCATAGACATTGAACCTCGTAGTGCTTCCCGGAATCAGCTAGAGCTCCCAAATTCACATCGACAACAAGCCTATCCCTCCCTCATGCGTGTGCATGCGGAAGTAGAAGCTCATGGGGAATGAGTCTACATAAGACTTTCATTTTCTGGCCTCCGCCAACCTTCACGTACCTGCGCCCGGCTTGTGTGTTGGAATTTGAAGTTGCGTTATGGCTATGCTTAGTCGGAACGTAAATACATGTGTACCTCCCACCGGGGGTGGACTCCGAGAAAAAACGAGCCTGGGGACCATAGCAGTTCCATATTTGCACATTCCGTTTCTCATTCTTTACATGATTCCAAAGGAATCATCAAGGGCCGCTGTACTACGCCACTGAGTCGTTTGCAGAGCTGAGCCGAACGCAATATACCGTGTTTTTGTTCTCTGGCCCCGCGCGAACTTCCACACTGTGATGAAGAGTGAGTACAAGAACAATCGCCAAACCAACGCCTTTGTGTTGGCGGGATGGCGTCTTGTCGGGACGCGCACGCGCACACGAGTATTATGGCATGCACCTTATCCGCTGCGAGCCGCCACCCCTTCCCACCTACCGCTCCCGGTCGCACTCTCAGGCGTCGAGGCCTTTCCGCTACCACCACCCACCTCCCCTGGCCCTATCGGACCCAGGCTGAGAGTACTGCGTTCCCCATCCACCCTGCTCTACTGAAAGCCGACGACTTGACGTCTACGTTGGACGCGCCAGTCAACCCCCCTCCTCCGCACAAACAACAACCCCCTCCGCACCCACACCCGACCATGGCCCCGCCACCCCGCGCGCCACGGCGCAAGGCCTGCGAGGCGCTCCTCCCAGACGGCACGACGCCGTGCAGCGCGACGTTCCGGGGCTGGGGCCGGTACTGCGCAGCGCACCTCGAGGAGCACGCGCGGCTCGCGGGGCGGTACAAGGACGCGGCGGCGCGCGCGGAGCGGCTGCGGGCGAAGGGCGCCCTGGGGGAGAAGCAGGTGCGCGCGATGGTGCTGGAGAGCGTCGTGGGGCGCGCGCTGCAGCGCGTGCGGGCGTACCGGGACGCGCTTGGGGAGGAGCGGGCGGCGCGGGAGGCGTATTTGAGGCGGTTCCCTGTGAGGGCGCAGGGGGCGGGGGCGGGGGATGAGGGGGTCGGGTCGCGCGCGGGGAGTCCTGGGAGCGTGCAGAGCGACAGTGGGGGTGAGAGGAGGGAGAGCTCGAGGGGCTCGCGGTTTGCGGGGGACGAGCGGCACGAGCAGCGGCTTGCGGCGTTGACGGAGCTGCAGGCGGGGTGCGACGTGCTCATCGAGCAGCTCGAGCGGCGGAGGGAGGAGATCGTTGCTGCGGTACAGCAGAGGAGAGCTGGGAGGGAGGCCGTTCAAGGCGATTCAGAGAGGCAGCCGCTCCTGGCTGGAGGGACGCCGCGGCCTCGCACCGGGAGGGCGTGGCATATTGCGCTATTTGTGGTTCTGGTGCGTGTCTCATCGTCTGGTCCGTTGCGGGCTGCGCTGACAGTACTGCTGCTGTGGTGCCAAGCTGGTAATTGTGCTCACGCTGTTCATGCTTTATGCCTTGGGCCATATCGGCACTTTGAACGTGAGTACTCTGAACAAATGGCATGACGACCGTGTGCACGCTAACGTCGCACCCCGCAGCATGCTCATAGTTGAGCATTGTGCTGCTCTTGAACACATAGGTATCACCGGGGCATCGCAAACACGGGACTTGCTGGATGTTTTCTGCCCATGTTCTGCGTTGACCATCTGCGCATACTGACTTTGTGCAATATTGTCTGGATCTACTGTGTATGTACAATTCCCCGCTCCGTCACACTTGTATCGATATCACCCCTGCCATACAACGCCGCGTGTGTCATTGCACCGGCCCTCCACTTTCCAACCTTGACAGAAGACTAAGCAGGTTCGTCCCCCCGCTGCGCCTTGACTCACAACCACCGCCAGGACCGCCGCCTCCCCTGGGGCACGCCCTCCCCGTCGGCGCCCCAGCGCATACATCCTCCCCAGCCATGACGACGCCGCCCTCCTCGCCCATCTCGTTCGTCTCGCAAGCATCCCCAGCTACCCGGTCCGACCCCTGGACCCCAGGCAGCCCCGGAGTCGGGACTGGGTTCTGCCAGGCCCTGCTCGCAGACGAGGCGACCGTCTGCGCCGTGCGTGCACGAGGACGCGGGCGGTACTGCGCAGAGCACGGGGCCGAGTACAAAGAGCTCACGCGGGCGTACAAGGAGGCGTCTGCCACGGTGCAGAGCCTGGACAAGCTCGTCCTGCCGAAGCGGACGCGCATGCAGGCCCTCGAGGACGCGCAGGCCGTCGACGACGCGCTGCAGGTCGCGGAAGCGCTCCTGGAGGCGATCGAAGAGGAGATCGAGGGGCGGCGGACGCACCACCGGCGGTTCTTCCCGACCAGTGAGTGATGCCGGTTGTCTGCGATGCGCGTTCGGTTCGGCGAGGGTTGAGCATGTGCGCCGACCGCAGAGGACGACGGCCACGAGCACTGGCTCAGGAAGCTGCAGGTCAAGCACGGGGTCGCGGCGTCCTTACTCGCGCAGTTGCAGATGCGCAAGGAGCGCCTCCTCGAGGAGGGAGAGGCCGCCAGGATGCGCGCGGAGCACATCCGCCGCATGGATGCACTCGTCGCTGAAGCACGGGCTCAGCGGGAGCTGGCCAGATCTGGTGTGAACGCGGGATATGCAGCACGGGCGAAGTGGACGCGCTCATGCACCTACGCATCGGTCGCTGCTGCTCCTCGGCCCCCTGCTACGGTGCGATCCACGCCGTCCCACCGCACGGATCCTTGGGCGGTCGACGCCGAGCGAGAGAGGCGGGCTGCGTTGTGGCAGACTCCGCCGCCACCGGAGAATTGCGATCGCGGCGGCGGAATCTTCGTACGTGCTCGTTCTGCCCGTTCATAAATTTCGATGTTGTTCCTGAACGCTCCACAGGGCACTTTGTGTTGTGTTGTGGTGGGATTCGCTCTAGTGCGGCTTTGGTGGGGGTGAGCGATGAGCACTGGGAACGTCAAGATCATCAACTCGTTGAGCCTCGTGTATGATAGGGGTAGTCAAAGTTGAGGGTTCGGTGTTCGCTTTAACGAGCGATTGTAACGCGTATCGATGGTAGGGTTCGATTCTTCTGCCAGCTCTGACCACCCCAGGCTGCCCCCTTCGATTCGGTCACCGATTCTGTTACCCATTGGCACTGCTGCATTCCTCCGAATGGGGGCTAGATTGGGGAGAGATGGGGGGAATTGAGTGCGCCGAATCGCGATTGGAGGGATCCTCCAGAGTCGCTTTGACGATTCGACGTGATTCGGCCAGAATCGCGGATTCGCTCCTCGCGAATCGTGTCCCGAACCGTTTGGTCGAACCATTGACGGAACCGCCATCATTGACTACCCCTGATAGTGTACAGTAGGGCGCCTTGGATGTGCCACGAATGAAGGTCAGGAATATCCTCTTCGAGAAGTGACGCGCACAAACCGGCGCGCTCTGACGGCTTCGCGGCCACGCGCGGGCAGCTAGGATAACAAGGTTCGAACTACGGCCGGCCCCCGTCCCCCGTGAGGGTGCTCACCTCCCACAGTACACGAGGATGTCCTGGGACCTCGGCGCCAGAGGGGCCGGGAGCCCTCTGCTTTCACTATCATGTCTCCCTCCAACAGGCGATGCCAAGCACTGCTCATCGACGAAGTGACCCCCTGTCCGGCTTGCGTACGGCGCAGGGGGCGCTACTGCGACCCCCACGGGGTCGAATACCGGGAGCTGACGCGGCGGTATAAGAGCGCGTCGGCGACGGTCGAGGCGCTGGACAGTGACATCCTGCAGACGAGAATGCGAATCAGCGCGCTGAAGGACGTAGCGACCATCGACGAGGCGACAGTGGTGGCGAACCGGTACCTGGAAGCGATCGGGGAGGAGATCGAGGGGCGGCGGACGCATCATAAGCGGTTCTTCCAGACCAGTGAGTGGCTCGCGCGATGAACATGACTCGTTGTGGGGACGTGGCACTGAGCGGATGTATGTGTACAATAAGAGGATGACGGACACGAGCGCTGGCTGAGAGGCCTGGGGGGCAAGCAGACGTCGGCGCTGACGTTGCTCACGCGGCTCCGGCGCCGGAGGGACGAGGTCGTTGCGGAGGAGGAGGCTGCGAGGAGACAGGAAGAGCGGATCAGAGCTATCCAGGAGTCGCAGCAGAAGGCAGCAGAGGCGAGGCGTGTCCTCGGCGAGCGGACGAACACGGGCGACGTGTGGATCGGAGGACGGGGCCCAAGTCTTGCCCCGTCGACCCTCCCTGTATCGGGGTATTTGCCCTCGCCCGGGGTCATTGCCTCGCGGGCCCCGACGTACGCACCGATGCCTGTGCAGCCTCGGGTTCTTGGGTATTCCCCGGTGCCTGCCCCGCCTCGGGTACCTGGGTATGCGACGTTCATCAGTCAAAGTTACTCGGCGGCTGCCGCTCCACCTCGACTTCCAAGCTACTCACCGGCTATCGCCCCACATTCGAAAGTTCCGCAAACTGCGACGGGCCCCGCGACGGGCCCCGCGACGAGAGGCCCCGGCTCTCAGCCTCTCCTGCACTCGTGGACGGGCGACCTCGAAGGCCAGCAGAGGACCGCGACGGTGCGCACGACACCGTATCAGAGCACGTACCAGAGCACGTACCAGAGCACGTACCAGAACACGTACCGTCCCACTGGCAGGGAGGATGCTGCGGATTGCACATGCATTGTGAGTCCTCGCGTGTTCTGCTGGACGATTTGAGCGCGGCACTGACCATTCTGCGGCACAACTTAGGGCAAAATCTGCACCATTTTGATCATCTGTCTTGCATTCGGCGTCTTGTGGTGGTCGTTTGGCTCCTCGGAGTAGTTGGCGAGTGCCGTACGGGGGAGGATTGTACGATAGGTGTGTTCGGGCCTCGGTCGTGCTTCGAACGCAGGAATTTTCGCTTGTAACACATCACCTTGGGGCACATTTGAATCTACACGGGTTTCTGACGGCAGTACCCGGCCGGATATGGGAGGGTGAACAAAGGTGAAGATACGCACACTGTACATCCAGACGGATAAGTGGCAGAACTGAAATTTTCGTCTGCGACGAGCCATCTGCAAGCCAGGCGTTCGAGTTCCGATAAATAATATCACGTAGCAGCGTACCTAGACTCACCCACCATCACGGTCCTTCCGAGACACTAGGAAACTCACTCGACGTACGCGTCCCAGGCTGGCTGCCTGCCCACCGAGTACGGTTGGAAGACACCCAGGGCCGCAAGCAGAGCGGAGAGGATGCGCGCGGCACCGGATTGGAAGCGAGATTGGTCGGCTGCAGTCCTCGTAACCCGTGCTTTTGCATAAGTACATCGGACGACGTCGGGCGACAGCCGCCGAACTAGTGTCTGATCAGATTAAACTCTAACCTGACCTTAGGTCGCGCGGAGCATGGGGGTGTTGGGGAGGCACTCTTTCTGTCCGCCTCTCCCAGCACCGAGGACTGCTGGGCGGACATCCTCTGCTCGCGTTGAGCTTGAGATCCTGTGGAGCAATTTTAGAGAGTACGGGAGCACACCTGAGTATTGAGTGGAGCCGGTGAGTGCTCGGCTGCGACACGCAACATCGATGCAGGATATTGACGAGAGTATCTTCAATGTGTCTATCGACTCGGTAGCTGCCGTACTCAGCATGATAGGCGAAGGCATCATCACCGACGAGACACAGGGAAAGGATTATGTAGCGCGAGCCCTGCGAGACAGACGGCTCGCGGGCGCACAGAGGACAGTACAAAGCCACAAGACAGAACGAAGGCTCTTCCCGCGTAGCGGCACGTATCAGCTACCCCATCGCGTTTTCGTCACAGATCCTGAGGTCTTCGGCGTCTTGAACAGGAGACACGGTGTATTTGCAATGGACGACGCGCGAAGAAGTCAGGACAGCGTACATCGTGCAGCAACTTCGTCGACAAAGAAACAAGGACGAGACTCGTATCCGTATCGATACACAGCGCAGGCAGCAAGATGCAGTGCGAATCCTCGCCGAGGCCGCAGAAGAGCTAGTGCGCAGGCTAGAGGTGGAAGAGCGTCGCAACAGGGAGAACATCGATCCAACTCCGATAAGGAAGATCGAAGCACAGAAAACCAGAAGGAGCACCCTGCCAAGCATCACTTGGCTCGAGGTCTGGGTAGACACGTTCATTGTCAGTTTAGCGGTAGACATCGAAGTCTCAGAGCCGGTGACTCACCCCAACATTCACAGCTGTTGATTCTACTACCGAGTCTCGTCTTGTGGTGGTGGTCTTTGAGATAGGGCGCTAGGTGAGTCAGCTCGATGTGGAGGCGTAGCCTCGTGACCTGCCAAACCTTGGGCCCGGCGCTGACTCGGACACTGTTGCCAGCGTCTTACCCAGAGCTTTTGGGTATCGCATTCCTGTACTTTTGACCAGCTTTGTGTGGCACACATCTGGCTCGTCGAAGTAGGAGAGCGGCGCGCTGGGAGGGGGAATGTATGATAGGCGTATTGGGATCTCGAATTTGCCCTCCGAGTTGGAAGCAGCGCATTCCATGTGGAAGTCGAAGCGAGAACGTAAACAGAGACAAACTTCGTTGGAATTGAGGCTCATGTACAGAGGAAATTGTCCTGCAGGGTCTTAGCCTGGAACCATCCAGTCGGCCTCGACTCTCGAGAGTGACACGCCCGCTTGAGGCGGCGGTGTTGCGAAATCCGAAGTGACATATATTGATGGAGATGGAAAAATGGGCACTGTAGAAGAAATCGTGTATGAACAGAGGATCACTGCATCAGTATGACCCTGCGTTAGGAGGGACATACTCTCGTGAGCATAGTATCCTGACTACACAGAGGAATCGATTCCTAGAGCGCTCGCGGTTCTCGTCGCAGTTTCCCCAATGCACATGGACGCTTGGAGATACAATGAAGACGATACCTCGCTAGCAGAGCCATAACCAGTGGCGGTTTGGTGAGTTTCGCACAAATCTAATAGGAACCGGCATAGAAGGATGACGCTGAACCTGTGGCGAAAGCTTCATGAGAACGTTCGCAGTCATTAATGCGGATCACACTCACGTTGTGACCAGGTCTGCCAGAGCCCCATTGACCTATCACAGGCAGGAACAGTCAGGCACCGAGGAAGGGCATGGTGCGCGTGTCAGTGGCGTACAGCTAGTGCCAGGAAGACGATGTCTATGAGGTTGAGGGTGGAAAGCACACTGCAGAATCATCGAATGTCATCGTGAAGTCTGAGCTCAGTGAGCAATGGGTGGACATACCAGAAATACGTTACGCCTGAGTAGCTAGTTGTGAGAGCGATGCTCCGACATTTCAAGTGGACACTCACCATTGACGAGGAGGATCCGACTGTAAGACATCGTGCAATGTTCTCGAACATGCACATAGGTACTGTATGTTTGACGCAGCGTGACGAGGAATGCAAGCAGATCGGATGCGAAGGATGCAATTTTGGAACCTATAGCAACTGCCGACGCGAGCTTTAGATTTTACCTTCGAAAGAACATTAGAGATCATGTGCGTACGACTACCAACGATCACACTAGATATCAGCGACCGGACACATAATGTCGTTTTGCGACTTACGACTGGTATGTGGATAAGCTTAAGTTCTCGTTATATCCGCATCCGCCGAATGAAGAGTTTGGCGTGGACGTGGTTGCGGCCGGCAGATACTTGATACGAGCGCGATATCAGACATCTGGCAATTTGCGAACATCTAACCTTGGTGGACGCACCAGATATACGGCAGGAAGACACAGCCCAAGTATCATGACTATGAGAAAACGCCAGCGCTGTTTGTCGCTTAACATATACACGCGTAATGCAGAAAACACTGGGTCTGCATTGAGTGACGGTGCCGCTAAATCACAATAAACGACTGACTTGCAATAGCGAGAAGCGCGCAAGCATTCGCTATGGAACCAAGCCAGTACAGAGCGCTGCATCTGGTCAGAAACCGGTATCAGCTTTGTGTATCCGAACAGCAGGAACTCAATGAACAGACGTCTGCGAAATGATGCACGTCAGGAATATGTACACAAGAGATGGACGTATATAGATACCTGGAGAGTTTGACCGTTCCACATCAACCGAGTTAGGATCACGACCAAGCGGTTGACAATGGCCCCATAGCGGGCAGTAATATACAAGCCGGTGGTCCCGATGTGGCCACGGGACCAGACGTGGCACACTTCCCCATGCAAAGTGAGCAGGGAGTCATATAGTAGCACAACTATGAACACCGCTGAGGCTCTTTTGTCCGCGCTGATTTCAAGGGAAACGACACCGACCTGTAGCCGACGCATGTATGTAATCTGCCACGAGACTGGAAGCCACGTTAGCGATATGGTGTTGACAACGCTCGCAAGATCAACTCACTCTTCAATGAAGACCTTTGTAGCAAGGTTTAGGCTGTCGGAGGTGTCAGCGGGCATATTCGAGGCAGTCGTTGGATGAATGAGGCCTAGGGTCTGGTCGCATATATGCACTTGACGCACGTTCACGCCTCAGTTCCGTATCTAGGGATGATATCGGAGATGCCACATTGTAGTTCGGTACGCCTTGAATCGCAGCAAAAAATCTGCTGGCAATAGGCATCTGTATCAGCTTCCTGAGAATGACATTAATCATACGAACCTGACTTATGTGAACAGCAGTTGACAGAGTTGCTCCAGCACCTGGGAGCCGCCAATGAACTTCTTACTTGCACCAGCGTAGTTAGCGAGCAGCAGAGCGAAAATCTCTCCCCACATTGTATCGGTTGCTACCACCTTAAGAGATGGTTCTACACCTGAGATGCGGTGTGCCAATAGCCGCCGAAGCTGTCGTAGAACCAGACGAACTCTAATAGGGCACAGCAGATGGCGCAGCGGCCACTCACATTGCATTGTTGCCTTGGACCAGAGATCTACCGTATAAACGTGCCTCCCATCTGCCAGTCCAAAGGCGATGTATCATGGGGATAGCACGAGCGAGTTAAACAAACAACAGCCCCCCAAGAGCTGCCCCCGTACCAATGAGCGCATGTTCGTGATTGACACAGAGGATGCTTCACCAGTTGCGGCACATAGTGGCGACCTCCCTTGTGTCAATATTGGGTCTTGAGGGCTTCCATGTCACGACGTAGTATTACAGCGAGCGAGCAGCGTGTGCAAGTTGGGCAACGAGCACACTGAGGCAACGCCGCATACGTTGCGCAGCAGCTTTGTCGCTAAGAGGACAAACCTACTGCCAATGAAGAGAGGATCCAGATCAATACACCGTGTTGGAAGTAATAGGTAATCCGCATCCTTACCTAGGTCACTGACGAGCTGGCATGTAGGCTGGAGATTGAAGAGAGTCTGAGTGAGCACTGTGAATGTTGACGTTGTATTAAGAGACTACGATTGACGACTCACCAATGTTCGCAGATGTTCATTCTGTTCCTCAATCTCATGTTGTCGCCGATGGCAACCAATGTGCGTCTAATTGATGGCGCTCTATATGTCAGGCGCCTATTGACCATCGGACCGGCATGGAACGCGTCTGCCAGAGTCTCCTCTCCACCCACCAAATATTGTGAGTTGTAGTTGCCATATAAACTTTCGTTGTATCGCGAATGCGCCTCGCATTCCTCTGCCCGAATTCTTGTGTACAACCGCTGGCACTGGCTGCTAAGCATCCAATGAAGCACACCCTGTTGGTCTCTTCGAGCGTGCTTTATACTCTCGTGACACGTCACATACCTTCGAAATTTGGAACACTTCACGATTATGAACCCTGTACTGGATCTTTTATTGACATCCTACAGAGCTTTGAGCGATGCACTCAGGTGTCTTGTGATCTGCCGTTCTACGACAGACATCCGGTTCGTCAACATGGGAGAGTGGCGTGCTGGGGAAAAATGTGCTTATAAAGATATGTGAGTATCTTGGCCTTGCGCTAATGAGAAGCGCAGCTCGCATGAAGGTCTAGATGAGAACACAATGGTTGTGTGCACACGGAGTGCGACCCAGCTTCACAGATTGTGCGGTGGGCTTCTGGCGATCTCGCGAGCTCGTAAAGTGATTGATGGCATACTCGCTCAATCAGAACCTGGGGTCAAAGAAGTGATATTTAACCAATCAAAGAAACGACATATGAACCAGCCTGAGGAAGAAACGATGTATGAGCTGTGAAGAACCTTGCAGGAGTATGAGCCAAAGTAGGAGGTATACTTGCGCAAAAATTGCATCCTGCTTAGACAGACGATACGATGTGTAAAGGGACTTGGGCATCTTCTCCGCATATGGACACTTGGAAACAGAGCGAAGATACCTTGCTGGAAGAGCCATCACTGACAGTAGTTTCATGAGCCTCGCATAAGTCCAGTAGGAACTGGGAGAGCAGAATGACGCTGAACCTATGATTGAAGTTCATGCAAACATACACGGCCGAGCGAATACAGATCGCACTTACGTTGTGACCAGATCTGCTAGAGCGCCATTGATCTGTCGAAGGTGGGGTCCCATCAGCGTGAGGAGGAGCGTAGTTGTGCATGAGACAGTGACGTACGGCTAGAACCAGAAACACAACGTCGAAGAAGTTGAGGATGGAAAGCACACTGTGGAGTAATAAATGGCACCTCAATACTGAGCCCAGTGAGTGGCAGTAGTCGAGTATACCAGAAATATGTCACACCTAAGTAGCCGACTATGAGGATGGTTCTCCGTGATTCTGAGGTTGCAACTCACCGTTTACAAGAAGGATCCGACTGTAGGACATTGTGTGGCACTCTCGACCATGGACGTAGACACCGTAGGTTCGACGTAGTGTGACGATCAGTGCAAGCAAGTCAGATACGAAGGATGCTATTCTGGAACCAATCGCAACTGCCGATGCGAATCCGTTAGACATGCTGTCCTGAAGCAGCGTTGGAGATCATGTGCGTACGACTGCGGGTTCACGAAGTGTCAGAAACTGACAATATGTTGCTGCCTTCGACTCACAGTTTATAAGTGTATAAGCTCATGTCGTCGTTGTACGCGCATCCGCCGAAGAAAGAGTCAAGCGTGGGTGTTGGTGTACTTGCTGTTGGCAAGTACTTGACGGCCATACCATGTCAAGACCATACTTGCAAGTTGCAGAGAAATATTTAAAATGACGCACCAGGTCGACGGCCGGAAGACATAGCCCAAGCATCAAGACTATGAGAGCGTACCATCGTTTTTTGTCGCTCAACGCATACACACGTATTGCTGAAAAAGCTGGGGGACTATATTCAGTGGGTGGTATCCCCTCGAAATAACGGACGGACCGGCGATAGCAAGAAGTGTGCAGGCATTCGTTATCGTAACGAGCCAGTTCAGGGAGCCACATCTGCCCAACGGTCAGTATTAGTTGATATGTATAGAATGACATAGAACCAGTGAACAAACGTCTGCGTAGGTACATGTGTCAGGGGTGCATGCACAAAGTTGACAAATTTGCACTGACCTCGAGAGTGCGATCTTTCCACGTCGACCGAGTTAAGATCATTGCCAAGCGATTGGCAATAGCCCCATAGCGCGCGGCAAGGTACAGACAAGTGGTACCGACATGACCACGGGACCAAATCTCGTGTACTTCCCTATGAAAGCTGAGCAGGGTATGGTATAGCAGCACAGCTATGACGCCGTTGAGTTTGCGATTGTCTGACTGCCCGAAACTCACTTGTTGCCGACGCATGGATATAGTCTGCTACGAGGCTAGAGGCCGTTAGCTGAATGAAGATTACTTGCGCAAAGGGACATACGACAGACTCTTCAACGAGGACCTGGGCATAGTAATTGGAGGAAGCGGCAGGCATGTTCGAGGTGGTGGGTGGATGGAGAAGTCTGAGAAATCTGGGGCCCTTCCTCTATCCCCAACCAGGTCGCATATATACATTTTTAAGTGGTGTCTACGCCTCAGTAGTCAGTCCGTACCCGAAGTGCGACTGCGGCGACGTTAGGCACGCTGAGCTGTATTTCGTACATCCCGGATCACAGCTGGAATGAAAACTGCAATTCATAGACCTCGTCATCAGCTTCCAAGAACGTTCATGTAGGAGATGAATCAGAGTATAAGTGAACAGCACCTAATCATATGGCTCCAGACCCTGAGCGCCGCTGCCAACGAATTTCATGCATCACGCTTCTGGAGGCAGCAGTACAAGACATTCGCCTTAGGAGGACTCCTCATGGCATATGCTTCTGCGCATGAGTTGCCCTATATCAACGACCACCAGGCTGGTAACGAGCTCTATAAACTTTGTTTGGACACAGAAGATGGCGTAGTGACTGAACTTACATTGTCCCCATTAATCATCGTCGTCTATCGCACTTCCGACAGTCAAACTCCCTCTCTCTGTGCTCAAAAATCAAGGCAGTGTCGCGAGCCTTTATGTCTTCAGGCTCGAGACAGAGAACGGGGTGGATTGAGCTAACTAATGTCCTATTCGAATGACTCAGGTACAAGTCGCTATCCCTTCTAGCGCTTATTTGTAATCAATTCCGGACACTCATGCCCGTTGCCGCGGCACAAACCCGAGGATGTCCCACTTAGAAACCTGACCTTCCAGCACCCTCAAAGTAAGGATAAATTTGGGATACATTCGGGATGCAACAAGATCGGATGGTATATGTGCACACACAGAATACGACTTGGAGTCAGGCACCCCGCACTGCCTCAAACATTCTAGCTGCGACGACGATAGCATCCTCAGATCGGCTGTGAGTATGTTCAGCGACGATAGGCATCTGGGTGGACCGGAGAAACCATCGTTCAGGGCCTACTCGTATCAGGCCACTTCGTACGTCCTATCAGCCTTAGATCATGGCCTCGTCCACTGCATTCTACTGACGCATCTCGTAGCAGCGTGTAGCCACGCTCGTGCGGCAAGCTTCTTTGTCGTCCCCTACGACAGAAGCGCTGCGCACGTTCGGGGCAGAAGTGCGTGTGAGGGACATCAAGGAAAGCGTAGAGATACTGTCGTTGGCCTTGAAGGGCGTCGATAGCCTGATCAGCGCGGTGTCCGGAGCACTCGTCCTGGACCAGAAGGGACTCCTGAGCGCTGCGAAGACGGTAGGGGTGCAGCGGGTCATCCCCTGCGATTGAGCCACCCCTGGGACCAAGGGCGTGCGACAGATCTTGGATCAGGTCAAATGCCTTCGCATTTCGCTAAGCTGCCGGGACAGCACTGATCACTTACGCGCCGGACAGAACATTGTCATCCACGAGTTTTCCAGCAGCTCCAGGTCCCGTTCACATTCATAGACGTCGGCTGGTTGATGCAAATCTACCTGCCATCACCGCAGCGGAACGTTGTCCCCAAGCACTGCAGAGCGTTTACCGAGACAATCAACGGGAAAGGGGAGGCCTAAGAATCTCGTAGCGGACTACAGGAGGATCAGGACATACGTAGCCCGGATTATCGTAGACACTCGCAAATTAAACCGGTCGGTTATCGTGTGGAGGACGAGGTAAGATAGCAGACGGCGCAGCAGCTGACAGAGCAGTATTCAGGGAAGGCGGATTTCATCCGATCTCGGCGCATATATGTGAGTGTTGTTTCGACTGAGATCAGGGAGAAACTGTGACATAGTAGCCTACATCGGTATATCTTGATGTGAAACAGGTCGACCGGGACTACTTCCTAACCGAGGCTGCTGAAGGGAGGAAGAACATCGCACAGGACCCATCGAAGGCGACGTTCGCCGATCATGTCGCGGTCTTTCAACGAGTACAAGAATAGTACGTACGTGTTAGAGGAGAACACTCTGGAGAACGCATACATGCCAACGGATCCAGTCTCCCCGCACGCGCGTAGCCCGCCACAGAAACTTCGACCTGGGCATCTCCTAGAATCTAGATGTGATCCTGGTCCCAGGAAAAGTGCAGTCTAGGCGTCCTTCGACTTCCTGGTATGTATCCACTCCACGGATTCTTCCGCGCCCTGGCATGGTTAATTGGCCTGGATTGGTTCTCTTCTCTTCCACCAGTGGCATCTTATTCTGGAACACCATCCAAGCTAGAAGCAGGAAACGCATGAGCGTCCGACATTGGGCTTCCCGTCGCATACACAGCATACGAGCACCCTTGAACCTTGCTCGGAACGTCGCGTGAGAGATACATCCGACCAGTGACGATTGCTCGATAGTATTCAGTGGAGAGCATGCGGGGCGAGATGGAGGCGTCTCTTCGTGAACTTCCTCATCCGTTGATATCGCGAAGGGGGCAGGGATCCAAACAGTTAAGGGTCGGGAAAGTTCGATCTCCAGAACTACATCCGATAACCTATTACGATCGGATACAGCGGCCAGAAACACATTGCGAACATACGAGTAGTGATCGTGAGCGGGAGCTGCGATAGCGTGCGAAAGAAGAGGCTACGAGTGTACGACGAGGAGCGCGTTGTTATGAGCTTCTGAAGAGTGAAGAACGTGGACTGGCGATGGGAGGATAAGACGAGGACAATGTTCATCGAGAGAGCCGAGCATCCTCGCTCTAGAGATCGATTTCGGGACTCGGAATCGCGGGATCATGACCGCAATGGTGAACCACGGTCGGAGCGACTAAAGAGTGTCCTGTGCGTAGCAAGCCAAATTCATGCTCCGATATACATGGGTGGGAGAGCAGATATGGACGCCAGTACAGGTGGAGGAAGCGAGGAGACGTGCAAGCATACACACGAAGGATACTGGGGAGTATCTTTCTTTCTGTCTGGATCCCGTTTATTGCCCTGCGAGCCTCATGATAGGCCATCAGTACAACGACTGACTACGAGTGAAGGGGTCAGGGTACGGCGGATCAAAAGCGAGCCAGCGGCACGTGCAAACTAGGAGGGTGCTAGGGGTACACCGGAAGCACGAGGAAATGACAGGGGCTGGGGAGTTTGGTAGTACGAGGACAGAGGGATGGAAGACGAGAGATGGGCGATGATCATATCGCCGGGGGATGAGAATGAGAGGACCTGGTATGAAACTTACGACAAATCGACAAATGAAACAAAGATGCTGACACGACCCGAGAGGCGCCACCGGGACGCATAGCGCCACTTGCCTCCCTCTCTCCTTGCGCTCGAGCTCGAATGCGAAGGTGCCCCGTCCAGGCTCTCATAGGCGCACTGAATGGTCGGCTTCTAGTTCGTCAGAATGCGCCTGGACAACGGGTCCTTGCCGCCACCCTTTCGTCAAGATGCTCCCCACGGACTTGCCCCTCCTGCTGCGCGAGTTCGACCGGGTGAGCGGGTGAGAGTGCGTGCGCAGATAGTCCGCAGTCATCACGTCGAGGGCCCCACGGGGCACGACGACGAAACGCTCGTCCGGACGCGCCGGGGTAGCTAGCTTTGCCCGACATTTATTCATACTTGCAGACGACACGCGCGCCTGGGGATGCGTCGACCATCGGGCTGCTTGCACGACTTTATGCCCGGGGACTGAAGCCAGATACGGGTCCGGGGTCCAGACGTCCGCTGATTGTAACCCGGAGCGATGGTGCGAGGTCGTCGTGCGGGCGGAGGTGGACGTGCCTTCGGACGAAAGTACGACTCAAGAATCCGCCTAGGCAATTGACATAAATGCAGGGTGTGTGTTCGTGGGCGGAGAACGCACCGTGGCTCGCACCAGGCACGGCGATATTGGTTGGGAGCGTGCGCGAGCGAGTCGGTTGTGGCCGGGCACGGTAGAAGGGACTCTCTTGGCGAGTGGTAGGACGAATATAGAAGATAGAGGAGGGTTGGGAATACCTCCTCTGGGTTGCTGTAGCCCAAACGTCACTATGACTGTTCGTTTATCCACTTGCTTAAGCCAGCCATGCGTGCTTGATAGAAGAATCGTCAAAAGCGAGGGGCGAAGCCACGAAACGTCATCAAACCCTTTGCCGCGACCTTTCGCCGTACCCAAACTGCGCTCGACGTCACCGGCACTGCGTTGAGTACGTCTGTTTCCAGATCAGGAGAGGGGAGCGTTCTGAGATCTGAATGCCGGCATGCGCACGAAGTCCCCTGCAGCATTGCTAGCGTCGACGCGACGGTGACGTCCATCCTGGATGCGCCCGCACAGGAGCTGGCGGTGAAAGAGGGGATGGCCGCACCTCGGAACGCCACGATCTCGGCTCGACAGGATGCAATGGGGGTAGCCACACCCGCTGCGAGAAAGGGACGAGGGGAAAGAGGGGCGACGAGGGGGGTGCTGGGGAGCTTTGCAGCTCGACCACCGCCCTTCGAGATCCAGTGTGCCTTCCTAGTCCCCCTCGTGAGCTGGAGCGGTAGGGTCCTGAGCCACAGCGGGGCACGTTGCGCTCCAGGCCACCCAAAGACCACGAGAGCGGGGGCAAGTGATCGAGCTCGAGTCCATCCTTGGGTCGCGCGACCTCTCGCGCTCTCGATCGGGCCTACTGGGGTCGCACGTCGAGGCTCGGAGTGGAGATGGAGTGGGACGAAGCAGAGCGCGGACGCCGAGCCCTGACGGAACAACACAAAGGGAGGGGGTCCCCGCTTCGGCCTCGCTGAGAACGCCAGTGATCATTTGCTCTGTTGCGCCCAGTGTGGGAGACGACGAGGATGGTCGTGCGACCGACACTGCACCAGGGCGAAAAGTCGTCCGTTGGGATTGGATTGGAGACGCGTCGATTTGTCGCCCTGGACAGCTGAAGGCCCGCAGCCCCTTCCCATTGTTCGTGCTGGTCCCCCTTCGTCCGATGTCGGCTCGCGGTCGGGAGCTGACAGGAATTCAGGTCTTGTGCTTCCTCCCGCTTCGGCTTCCCTGGAGGGAGACTCGGCTGCCCATCCTACGCGACGAATCGAGGAACGCGACTACGAAGCACAGAACACCGCAGTGTGGCCAAGCCCACAAACTCCAGACACCCGCGCGCTCCCGTACGTAAGCGCACTACAACTCGGAGGGGCAGGTGAGCACGCCGAGAGATCAAGTGACGGGAAGCGTGGACGTCTCAGAGCCGCGAGGCTATCACGGGGCTTCCGGATGTGGACAGTCGCTTCCTGGGCTGCAAGATTTCGACGGGGTCTTCGATCGTTTGGGGTTTGGGGAGACGCTGACTTCCAGGCAAGGTTTGACTGAGACGGGGACATGGGCGTCCGTGGATGTGTTTGATCCAGGGTTTGGTAGACGCCGTGCGCTGCACGAGAGTACGAGACGTGGGATTTCGGGAAAGGAAGGTCAGACGCTCGGATTGTAAGAAGGCTGACACGTTGCCGCGTACGAAACGTAGTTCACGCGTAGTGCGCGCGGAGGACGCAAAGGCAGAGGAAGGCTCAAAATGCACCTCTAGCGGAAGCATCGCGGGATGTTGACCAGCGTGACGAGCAGGAATCCGGAAGGATGTGCGAGAATGCGCTAGCAAAGGCAAGTGCGCAGACGAGACTTGAGGACAGACCGAAATAAAGCAAAGTACGTAACATGGAGTGATGGATGTATGTGGCCAGCGAAGAAGACGTTCTTGGTCGATAAGGGGAAATGAAAGCCTTGTGTTCGCTTCCGCGAAAGGGACGAGCAGACGTCATCATCGCGTGCGTCCAACCGAAATGAGCGGTGAAGATAGAAGTGCCGATATCGTAAAATGCACGACGTAGATGGATTGAGATGGGTGGGCTGTGGGCGGTAGGTAGATGGTGGTGTCGGCGGCCAGCGCGGAAGGGACGGTGCCATCTAATCACACCGCCTCCTGAGACTCGTAGCCTGCAGGCTCGCGGTAGACGAAGAGTACCACCGTGGGCCGATCATCGATCGCATCCAGACGCTATAGATGACAAAATGTCCGGTTGCAGTACCCGGGATCTGTTATCCAGGCGGCACACAGTGCCACCGTCGTCGCACCTAGGATGTCGGACAGAAGCTCGGAGTGCACTCGGACGGTCGCAAATAGGCATCGTGCCAACCAATCGCCGACTGTTCATCCGACGTTGGGTCGGGCGGCGACACCGGTCGGCGCTTGGATGCGCAGTGTCGCGACCGGTGACCGAGCGACGGTCATAGCACCAGAGCGGAGTGGCCGTTGCTTCGACCAGTTATCAGAAGGCTTTGTGATGCGCAGACCTTAGCCACAGAGACCAGACCACGGACTCGGTCGAGACGACGTTGGCTGCGTGCATAAACCTATGAGATCGTCAAGGTTAGCGAGAAGAGGCGAGAACACAGGTGCGGGGGAATGCGGGGTGGAGAGACGCGCTGTCCGTTGGGGCGCTTGCCCCGTGAACCTACGCGCTCGTGCGAGGTTGAGTAAGGCAGGCCGTTCATCACGCATCGCTGGAGTGGGTTCCCCTGTAGATGTGTCCCGTCTACGGTTTCCGCCGGCAAGTAGATATCCGAGAGTACGACATCGAGCATCTGAAAGACACGTCAGATGCTGAGCTGCCGAGAGGGCGGCACGACCATGACGTGGGTAGAACTCGAAACGACCAGTTCGTGTCCTGGGGGACGCGCCACGATGACATGATGGAGTCAGCTGTGTGGGTCCCGAGTCCGTGCCAGGGTGCGTGCGACCTAGGAGCTGGGCAGAGGGATGGTGGCGATTCCCATAGAGGACAGTTGCGATAGATGGGACAGGGGTCCTGTGCGCAGCCAGCAAGACGATAATCGCGTGGATCGCGCGAAGGGCGCCTCACGACCGCATTGGGGCACCTGGTGACCCGCGCAAGGCAGGATGGAGGAGAGACGCGTGGGCCGTGCGGGCGTGCGCGAAGGGCGAATGAGATGGACTTCGGTGACAGAAGGTGCGATCAGTGGAAGGCCCTGAGAAGTGTGCGAGCGAAATGGACCACGGGCGGTGCGGTGCTTCGACCAAGCGCAGTGTTCATGCCGGGCCTCCGTCCAACTGTGGATTTCTAAGTAGGTTTCGGTGCCTGGGAGACTTGCGCAAAGAGGTGCTAGTCAGTTCGGTGGGTGCGAACTATCGCGATGTAATTGCTGGAGCCGTTGGGTTCCAGGTCGTTCCCTTGGCCCATCCAGCCATTGAGCTACATTATCTGGGGTTATTTTGAGGACGGACCCTGGACGTGATTGGGGGCTGACTTTTGTGAACAGGGTGATTCTTGAGCAGCGCCACCGCGCGAGAAGGAGATGAGAGCGCGATAACTCACGGCTGATGATGATGTTTGTGCTCTAGCATGGCTGAGATTGGCAAGAGCGACGCATTGAGGTGAGCGTCGAGGATCAGCGGGGCGGGCCAGCGGAGGCGTATAAATGAGACAAGGACAATTAATTAGCGCCAATCAGAATATGCCCGAGGGCGATCGCGGGGCAATTGTTGGCAACTCCACTTAGCCGGACGGATAAGGGGTTATCCGAATACTTAAGTCGCCCGTTCGGAGCGGCATCCGTTCGTACTTGTCCCTCCACCACTCCGCGAGGCATCTGCCTCACCTCCCTCTGCGCTACTCAGCCCTACATATATACCCATCCCAGAACATACCCTCCTCCCCTCGTCATCGCCTGCGGCTTCTTCCCCGCTGCTTCTCCCGACGCTGCCTCTCCTCCCTTCTTAAGCGACTCGAGCTCTCGTCCACTCCGCTCAACACCCCACCCTGCTCTGCTTTCACCGCTTACACCTCCTCGATCCCTCACCCCATCAACACGACATACCAATGACAGAGTACGACTACTCTCCAGACGCTATGGAGCGTTACCAAGCAAAAATGGCCGGCGTAGGCAAGTGGGCCAACGAACAATCATACTGGCGTACTGGCTACACCAACCCCTTCACCCCCGAGGTGTCATCCCCATCCTCTGCTCCCCGGCCTTCCTCTCGTCCAGAGACTTCCTCCTCCCATCCGCGCCCACAACCCACTCGCTCGCGCACGCTCCCTGCCAACCTAGCCGTACCCGCCGCCAAGCCCGGTGGGTCGTCCGCGCACGGACACACATCCCGTGCCTTGGCTTATGCCCAAGCAGACCCTCACGCAGTACGCCCGTCTACGGGCACCCCTGCCCGCACCACCACCCGCCATCGCTCTGGTTCGCAACCAGCACCAGTAGATGTTCGGACCCCGTACCCGTACCCGGCCCCAGCGCCAGGCCAGAAAGTCGTGCAAGCCCCGCGGGGATCACCGATGGTCTACGCGCCCCCGGGCGCGCGCGTCATATACAAGGAGTACGATTACGTGCCTGGCAAGGCCACAGTCCTGCCTCCGGCACGGCCAGGCGAGCGTTTCGTCGTCGTGCCTCCTCCCGGCGGCCGCGTAGACGTAATGTCTGCGGACCGGCTACGCTCCTCCTCGCATACGCGCTCGAACTCGCGCAGCAGCGGGAGCAAGTCGTCGGGGAGCAGCCCGACGAAGCGCAGCGGCGACCCCCTGTTCAAGCGCATCCTCACCAACCTGAAGCCGAACATCGAGTGGGGCCACGACCGGGACAGCTCACGGTCGCGATCGAGCTCGAGACGGGAGGGAAGCAAGCTGCGTTCGGCGTCCCGGTGACGGTCGCCCGCGCCTCTCGGTTCGTGTCTGGTCTTCTCAGCATCATTGTTGCATTTCCCGTTCATCCTGCCCATTTCCCCATCCCTCGGCGACATGTCTGTTGTCCACGTCCCGGCCTCCATCCGCCCATCTCGCTTCCATCTCCCGTGCACCCGCTGGCTCGATCCCACGTTCGCCCCACCAAACCCTTCGTGTGTATGTTTTGCATGCTTCCTCGCTTCCCCTCGTCCGTGTCCCGGTCAATTTCCGTTTTCCCACCTCATGCGCACAATTACCGACATGCGCTTCGCTTTGGCAGCCACGCGCGCACACTAGACACTCTTCTTCACCGCTTTGACAGTGAGTTACGATTATCGTCCCGGTTTCGTTTACCGGACCGGATCTCGAGCAAGGACCCTCGGCTCTCTAAAGAACCCTTTGTCCTCCTCTCCAATACACTCTTTACTTTTTAAATGGCTAATATTAATGCGCCCCTCCTCACACACTCTTATCCTCTTCCCTCGTACACGATCGCAGTTCCCGGTTATGATACAAATAATCGCCACTGTCCCCGGCCACTGTATCCGATTGTTCGTAGGTTATCAGCTGTAGCCCTGTAGTTAGACTTGTCACGACATCATCACGGTTCTTTTTCTTGCTTGTAGATATCCCTCACGATACCAATGAATGTAACGCAATTTGAAACGACCACCAAGAAGCCCCCAATCAGATTAGCTAGAAGGCGCCCCTCGTCATATGTTGCAGCGACCTCACAAGGTTTGAGGGTGCTCGTATGTTCTGGATATGGTGGTGGTGGGAAGCGCTGTCGAGAACGTCGCGCTTCTAGCCCGGATACAGACCCAGGACGGAAGGGAAGATTGTCCGGATGAAGTTACTGGGGAGTATGACGGAGCGCGGAGGAACTTGCGGAGCGGATGTCAGGAAGGCCTGGACTGCGCGCCCTTCGGCTTGCTTGTGCGTATCGCAGGTGCGTACCTCCGAGGGGCACCTGCTTAGCTGCAGAACTCGGACGATCTGCGCTCGGCTTTCCGGAGCTCGGTCCTAGTGCCAGGCTTTCTGAAGTGCTGCGCCTATTATGAACGTCGGATTCATTGCGCATGCCAGCTGGAGGCCGCGATCAGCTATTGAAAGGGATTGAGTGGGCAATTACCCGCTTCGGTCACATCGCCTCCGGCGGGACGTTGGGCACGATCCCCCCGCAAGTTGAGAGGCGAGAGCATGCGCTCGCAGCTCGCAGAAAGGATGCAGCCAGGGAGCCTCGAGCCGGCAACTCGAAAGCTCTAACCTCTGCTACGGACAGCCCGCACACGCGCCCCTTGCGTCGCCCTCTCCATTCCCCGAGGACACGTGTATTCAAGTTGCCGGAAGTTGTGGTATTCTATAGGTCCACGCGCCCTCCGCGCCGACTCCTGTGCGGCAAACGCGCTCAGGGTCCTCTCCTAGCACGGAGATCTCAGGCTCGAGTCGCCGGGGAGTGCGCTGTGCTGGAACTCGAGGTCTGTTGAGATATGGGGCAGATGCCACACAAGACATCGGATCTCGATCGGGGCATCGGGCATGGAGTGCGGTGCGATGTCTGGACAAAGGGCGCAGTTGCGGTCTTGTTCTCCACCTCGGGGCGCTGGCCTGATGTGTACATGTGTAGTGCTGACGGAACCGGAGTGCGGGCTGAGGTATTTGTGCTAGTGCGAGGGATCGCGATCCGGATCGTACGGGGCGACTCGGTTCGGGATCAAAGTCGTCGTCGGGTCCATAGAAGCTTTCTAGAGGCATTGACGGATTTGTCAGCAGCGGCCTCTCCGCTTGCCACGGAAAATGGGCAGACCATACACACGAGGAGACGTCATATGTAGGGAGTGCCATTGCAGGAATAGCGGCAGGAACTGAGAGGACGGAGGGGAGGATAGGGGTAGTGTTTTCCGTATTTGGATGTGGCCTTGTTTCACAGTACGGGACGACTATGTAACCAGGCACAGAACCAAGCTTTGAGTTGGAAAGAGAGTGAGTGAAACGTACGTAAGGAAATGCCTACATGTGATTGCGAGAAGACCTATCTGTGGACACCACGAATGCGACGAGCTTGGATCTCGGAATGGGTGATCAGCGATGACTTCATGACCCGAATGCAATGGCATTTTTACCGTCCGAGGTTTCTTCTCGGATGTCAGATCTGCGACGCCATGATCAGCAGCTTTAGTCGCACAGTCTAAGAAGAGACATAGACCCCACATCTGCGGATCGTGGACGATACGGGGCTAAGCTCGCGGGCGAGACTTGGCTGTATAGATATAGCGACCGAGACTACATCTTTGGGGACTGCGGATCCGGTCTCGGTTTCGGTACGCTGATCTCTGGGGTCCTACTGTCCTGGCCAACGACATTCCCTTAGCCTCGGAGATATCGCCAGCATTAGAGTCGAGGGCCCAGGCCCTCTCTATCCGCCTTCAAAGGTAAGCCTAGGTCGATAGCTGATGCCCCCAACGCTAGCTATTGGGAACGATTGACGATTCTTCACTGACATACTTCTATGGGGGAGATAAATTTCGGTGGCTGGATCATAAGCCCTTACGATTGATCATCCTGGGGTATGTCGCTGCTCTATGGTGACTGACTCTGCGGGGTTCGTGCCCCAGACCGCAGGCCGACCTGATCCATCGAACACAAGCCCAGAAAATTGCGATACCGAGGGTTAAGTCATATGGTAGGGAGCAGGGAACGCATCTGTGTATTGATGACTTTCAGTGATCATGGAGGAGGATTATCATCACAAGTGTCATACCTTCGCAACATGCTGCACGGGGTTTTGCGACACCAAACTGGTCATGCGACCAGTGTTGGTGGTGATCTCTAAGTGATGGAAGGTCCACAGTCAGGGAGCGAAAAGCCTTTGGTGATACTTCTGCATGTTGGAGGACCCGCATGCATGGATCGAATGAGAGTCAGTGATGACACGTCCGCCCACAAGGAGCCCCTTCAAAATGTGCTGTCAGGCTTGCTCCGGCTTGTAGCATCGTCGTTGGCCTTCGCGGGAGTTGGCTTCTGCTGTTGTATAGCGCAGGCTTCACCGTGCGTATAAGACTTGAGGGCTGCATACCAGTAACACCCACACTGTCTGACTGCCCATGTTGTTGGAGCAGTCGAGGAAGGTGCACACTGTGCGCGTCTCGCGGGGTCTCATGGAGATTGGCTGGGAGTGGCCGGCCGGATTTTGCCGGAAGTGATGCTTTCCTTAGCTCGGGCGTCTTATGGGGAAAGACCTCCATTTACCGACCATCACCGTTGTTGGTTTTAGTCCACCGAGGCTGTACTTCATGCAATATGTACTACATGTATGAAGCTTCTCATGAGTACAAGGTAAGCCTGCTATACCCTCACAAAATACCTCATTGCCTCGCCTCTGATTATCGTCTCATGCTTTCTCGGAACATATGCAGACACTTATTCCATGACACTGTATATCCTCCATTCCTCTCTTCTGTTGGAGACGAATGAAGCCGCTCTCTGTCCTCGCTCGAGGCGTCTTTTCCCGTTAAGAGGCACTCAACTTCCTTGTTTTGTTCAGGACGAACCGTAAACTCCAGCTCAAGGCCGCATCGTGACAGCTGCAGCACGGGTATCAGGTTTCACCTCTTCCTTAGGTCAGACCCGCGTCTATGCCTAGGACAAGGTACTATAGTCCCTCACGGTGTGCATCGGCGCGCATAGCATGTGAGCGCCTCGATATGGTGATTGCAACCACCGGCATCGTCTTCACAGACGTTCGTGAGACGGTTGAACTCACCATGCGTCGTGTTCTCCTCGTGGCAACTTCAACAAATGGCAGATCCCATGCCTTTGCATTGTCTCGAGGCATCTTGTATTCGTCTCAAGGAACAGTACGTCAAACCTTGGTACGCATCAATGTATATGCACCAATGTTTTACTGGCTTTTTCGGACGGAGGCAGTACAGGCTCTATCACGAACCCACGCGGCCACATCGCGAAGTACAGGATACAGTGGCCCATCAAGAAAGACGTGCAGAAGTGCATATATGCGCGACTTAAAGACAGCAAGTCGGTATACGACGCACCGTATGGGCTCCTCCTGTGGTTTGATCCAACTTGTCGGACGACGTTGCGCGCGATCGCGCCCCTCGAAGGTGGCAGGACCCTCGGCTTCCGGCTCCCCTCTTTGTCGAGGTAAGTAGATGTTGGCGGTTGGGATGCTTCTTCCTTACAACTCACCAATGCTTGGCATGTGGCTGCCGCATGATAGCTTCCCTAATCGGTCGCAATTGGACAGCCCCCTCGGGTCCTGTTAGTCTGCAGCAGACGTAGCAACGCCGTCCATGTAGCTCGACTCCCACCCCTCTATCATCGCGCTGTTCTACGCCACATCGCCCGATGGGGAAGGCCGGGCCTGAGGCTGCGAAGGTTGTTTCTATTCTGGCCGCTAGCACTCCGTCACACCTCCTTCACCAGAAGCCGCATGTTCGATCGCCTCGCCCGCATTCGAGCATCAAGCACCTCGTTGTGATAGACCACACTCTCCGACCACGCCGAGGCGTTTATCTTGACGCTTCCTCTTATACGTCGCGATGCCTGCATGACCTTCGTTGGCTCCGCTGCTCTTCCTCTACCAATTACCGTCTCTCTTCCCTCGTCTTGTTCGTCCATCGACAACTGAACCGTCGTCGGGCCCGCATCAACCAGGACCTCGGTAGCTACTTTGAATCGACGCGACCCGATAGGGCAGTGCTAGTACAAGACGCGGTCTGTTTGCCGATATGGGTCCACTACCACCCGCCTCGCTAATGCTCACGTTCATAACACTCCTGTCTCACGTCCTATCGGTCAAAGTGCCTCAGTTCCTCTCACTTCGTGGCTGCCTTTACCGCTATTAAGAATTAGTGTGCTATAGTGAGTGCAGTAATCTTGAGGATGCTTTCATGAGGTCTGACTTGGACGGATGCTGTTTGTGTGCCACTCAGTGATGCGCACAGACGGTTCCAAGACAATGCGCTCCGCATTTGGTCGGTGCCACCCGTCGAACTTTCTTACACGTTCCGGGTGGCACTCTCGAAAATCAAGCGCTTGTGCGCCTGAGAGCCTCGTGTATGGGTAAGTACGCCCACAATCCGCCTCGTTCCCCTTCGCTTCCCCCTCGTCGCTGCCTCTAAGGGCGCGCTCGTCGGGCTAGGGGGATCGTCCCTCTTGCGCGCGCGTTTCAGTGGCGTGTTCAAAAGGGTGGGTATATTGCCCACCCGCCGCCCCTCCCCCCTCAATTGTGCTTGTCCAACAGGTTCCAGATCGGCGCATTATAGAGCTCGTCGCACGACGTACCATCTGTCTCGGAACGGTCAGCGCGGTAGACCAACGCCCGGGTATCATCACCACCTTACACTCGTCGTTGACATCGGCCTTCTCCAAGTATTCACACCGCCTATGCGCTAGCCGACCTTCGGAATTGAAGCAGTTGCTTAGTCGCCTGACGGTCTGCCTCCTTTCATGATACTCTGCAGCATCATGCTCGTGCTAACCTCTGCCTGAAAGCTGGGCAAGTGCACGGAGCTGACATACAATGTTCCTCTCCATCGTCACTCTTCAAGCAAGCACCTTGGTGGTCTGATCGTGTTGGATGTCTGACGTGGACACATTGGTGGTGAGTTTTACGCCTACTCCTCTCGCATCCAGTGGGTAACCTCAGAGTTTCTATACAGACGTGATGGTACTGATACACAATGTGGATTCGAACCTACGTCTGAATTCGATCGTCTTTCCTCGACTATCCAACATACGTACATCCCCCTGCGACGTGCCCTCGCCTACTCTCGCATCCCGATCACCCCAGTTGGCATCTCTCATCGCCTAGACTCGTTCTCATACATGCTCCTGGCAGGGAATCCTCGGAACGTCTGCCCCATGCTCTGGCGGGCATGGGACCGATGCCGGGCACGAGGCAAGCTTTATTTCTCCGCTCCCGCTACATCCGCAGCCGCCCGCCCGTCCAAGAACAAGGGACGGTGTCGTACCATTCCATCGTCGATCGATGCGCGTTCTAGACGCATGTTGTCCTCCCATCTCCGTCTCTTGGACTCCGCGAATACATCCTGACAACGACAGGCTCGGGCGCGCCCCACCGTGCCCTTGTTCATCGCGCGCATCGCGATCGTCTGTGTGCCGATGCCTTGTATTCCATACGTGCGTCGATTATCGCCCGTGCGTTGCTCTTGCCGGATTGATGCTCGTGTGCTGGCGGAGTGGAAGTCGCCTCCGGAGATTCAGAGAATGCTCATGGGAGGCTCCTGATGGAACGTCGACACCGAGCGTATGTCTTTACGCCTCTCCCTGCGCGCCCGCGATGCTGACATAAAACACAACTTTACAGCTTTAGGGAATCATTGACATTGGAGACGCGGGCGGGAAAGGCCGGGCACGATGGCCGCGTGCTCGCGCAGCGCGGCGGAGGCCCGTCCGGGCTTTCAATCACGCCTTCGTCCCGTTCTGGGTCCGCGGGCTTTGGCACCAGGAACGCAGGCGCCAATTGGCGGGCAGAGTTACGTCCGGCAGGCTTCCTGTCCGCATGCACCGTGCCAAAATTGGGGCGCAAACAGCGTCCGGACTCGCGGGATCGCACGACAGTCTCACAGATCGGGCAAACGTACTCTATTCTGAGCAGATAACGGTGCAAAGCGCATGCGAGACGTGCTGGTAAGTAATGGTAGGTAGGTAGACTCCGTGTGGGAAACCGATGCCAGGCAGGCGGGAAGAGGGAGAAGTATTTACAGAATAAAAATCCGGGACGCGAAAATAACCTATCGAGGTAAGTGTGGATGTACGGCCAATGGTCCCGAGTATACGACGTTGACTACTACACCTCCACCAGAGCAGGCGGTCGCCACCAGAGGGCGACCGCACATAATTGATACAGAGCGGCGCGTCGCCGGGGGTGATGATACAGTGTTATACAGATTTGACGGAGCGGAGACGATAATCCAAGACAAGCAAAGCGCAAGCAGTGATTAGATGACGACCTCACCTGCAGAATGCCGAAGGGGTGGGATGAAGGTGGCGGAGACTGAGCGAGAGGCCACTGGACGAGACAGCACGAGCGGGATGAGATAGCAATAAACAGAATAACGAGTGGTAAGTGCGGCGCGCGAAAGGAAGCGTTCCCTACATCGCGAACGTGGACACGGATGTCAGGTAGGTCGGCGCAAAGGCGGCGTCCACGGAGGCTTCAAGCGCCTGCCGCCCGTAGGAGAAGAAATCTCCCTTCGGCGGGACGCCTCCGAAGTCCTGAGTTCCGTACCCCATGTCAATGGAGGCTGGCGTACAGTACGTGGGTACGCCCGCGGGATAGAGTTGTGTCCCTTGCTGCTGAGGTAAGAATTCCGCGGACGGATCGAATACGTCGCTCAGTGTTTGGTTGAAGCAGGATTCCATGACCGACGTGGGATCGCAAGGGGTGTGTACCATGGAGTAGGTCTGGGGCGTCCCAGGTATGCTCGACAGGGGGGATGACGAGGTAGTCCAGCTGTCGGTGTCCATGAAGGACGTGTCGACGGTCAGGCATCGGGGATCAAACATCTCGGTGGCAGAGACGTAAGATTCTTGTGAGTCCTGTGTGTATACCTCGTACGTATTCCGCTGATCGAGCGGATCGCAGGCTTGGAAAGACATCGCGGGTGTCGCGTCGGCGCTGTCGAAAGAGAATGTGCTGAAATCCTACAGGCGATCGTCAGTGATGGCGCTCAGATGTGACGTGAGCACGAAATGGCGCGCAGACGCTCTACTCACAAATGAAGGATTGGTGGGAGGGAGCGAATAGATTGTGGTGGGAGAAAATGGCGACGAAGGAGAGCTATAGAAATCGCTCTCCGTATCCGCCTCCGAGGGGGGTGAGGGAGTCGAACACTCATACGCCGGCGACGAGCGCGACGCCTCGGGCTGGGAACTCGAAGAACGAGCCTTGGCCTTGCGCGTCGAGGGCGGAGACGCTTCCTCCTCTTGTTTGACGGAGGGAGGATGCGAGTGCTCGGTGTCGGGCGCAGGGGCGGACGAGGAGCGACGATAATGACGAGCAGTAATGGGAGCCTCGAAGCGAGTGACGACCTCAGGTACGTGATTCTTGTCGAACTCCTGGATGGCAGCGTCGAGGTCTGCGCCCTTCTTGCCCTCTATAAGCAGCTGCGCTATCTTCGCGCAGCGCTTTAGGTCCTTCGGCTCGACTTCCCTCACCTTGCGCTTCTCCGTCGGGGTCTTCCCCTTCGTGTGCAGCGGGCGGAAGGCATACTGCGGGAACTTGCGCTTGTGCTCGTCGAGCGCGACCTTGGCCTTGGCATGCCAGATCTGACGCTCCTCATGAGGTAGGTTTTGCCAGGTGAGACCAATGATCTTGGATAGCGTGCTGTGGTTGGTCTCAACCTCGGAGGAGACGTGCTGGTTCTTGATGAACGAGGAGCGGAAGAGGATGAAGGCGTTTGGAGGGCGCGGGATATGGTTCTCGGGCTTCTTCTTCGCGTGCGCGGCGCGGCGTGTTGCGGTGCCGCCTTCGCTCGCAGGGAAGAGAAGCGACTCCGCGTTGGACTCCGTAGGGCTCGGGGGATCGTTGAACGTGCCGGGGGTGACATTCGGGGCGAACGCGATGCTTGTCGCGGCGGCGGAAGGATCGACTGACAAAGTGGAAGTCAGCGGGGGATCTGGATAGGCACGTTATCAGTCACAGATGCGTGTAGGCGGCGACGATCACGAGCGATGTGCATACCTTGGGCCGCGTTGCGCTTCGCATGACGAACGCGTTCAGCAGGCATGGCAGAGCGACCGAATGCGGCAAATGTTCACGGATGTGCTGTGGACGGAGAGGGGAGTGACTCGAGAGCCGGGGAAGTGATGGAGGAGGGGTGTCGCAAATAGAGAATTGGTGGGAGATTACATACATCTTATAGCGGCCGTGAGGACGAGGGTGCGAATGGGCCTCCAACTCCGAAAGCGTGGCGTTTACGCCGTGGACGCTTACCCAAATCGTCGGCGGAAGCACTCTCGCCAAAGCCTGGCGGGATTTCTTGCCAGATAAGCATGCACTGATACAGAATCCAGGGCCCGCCGCAAGGGACACAGCTGACCGCCAGGTCACGGACGCTGGTGCGTACCGCCCGGCCGATGATATTGCTCGTCCAATTACGTATCAGCCAGAGGCGCATGTCCCCGGTGAGAGTCGCTGTCCTCGACAGCTTTACTCTTGCCCGCGGCATTTGACACACTCTCCCTGCATCTTCCTCTACTCACGTTGCGGCGGGAGGCGCATGGGGAGGCCAGGTAGATAATGACGATTGGGGTGCGGCTGATGAAACGACTGGGTCCATGTTGCGCAAGCCGCCATGCTCTATTGAGGAGTCGTTGTTCTGTTCTCTAGTTCGTCTTCTTTTTCGTTCACAGGCGCCACACGCACACGCACATGTGCGTAGCGATGGCGATCCCAGCGTCCCTACATTTCGGACCACGCAGCCTTGTAAGTTGAGGGTTCTTGCGTTAGCGTTGCAACCTGCTGCCAATGCAACCTGAGGCGCGTCGATCCCGCCTTCGCGGCGGCCCTGGGACCAGTGCAGCCTGCAGGCTCGCTACCGCCAGAACCCTCGGTTACCTTTTACGACCGTGAGATCTGGCGAAAATCAAGATCAGTGCTAAGCTAACGGAAGCAAATAATTATCAAAGATTTGGCCCCGATCTCCCGCGTCCCTGGCGGGACGCTAAGTATTCCCCAAGCACATCTGCTCTCCTTCGGAGGCCAGTTCGGTCATCGTCCACCCCATTCATCGCAACGTCGCGCTAGCAGCAACACAACGCCTTCCCTTCATGTCCTGCCTTCCTGCCGACCCATGGCGGATCGGCCTTCTAGCTGGTGTCCTGGCGTCATGCCTTACGCGATGCCCGGATCCTTTTGCGTATCATCAGCTTGGAACCGCCCAAGAATGTCTTCGAGTCCTCTGATGTCGACTGATACCCCCACACCTAATGTTCAACCTTGCTGGACGTCTATGCAGCAGCCGACTACCCGTCCGTCATTAGTCCAAGATTCGGACTTCGTGGACGTTTTCATCACTGTAATTTCAGTCATCCTGGGGCTGCCGACGTCCACTCGGGCCTCTTACCACGCCGCTAATCACGGCTGGCACAAAGTATGAGAACATGCACTTACCGCCAGGTACCTCAGAGCGCTCGATCAACAACTCAAAATATTCAATGAAGGATTGACGCCGATGAGGGCGCCCTTCGAAGTTCCCTTCGCTGGATGAAGCGGCAGCGAGGATAGACAAACCGTTGCCATACTGACTTCTGCGCTACATTCTAGCGCACGGTGCACAATACAACTGCGCCAAAGTTGAAAGGACAACATCCCAGGAAGATTCGTCCGCTACGACGACGGATACCTCCTATAGACCTGAGGAAAGGACAGGCCCAATCATGACGCACTGACCAGGGTGGAGAATCCGACCGGTGAGACTCTCTGCGTGCGTTGGTGTACGCACGAGACTTGGGAGCAAGAGTGCTTCGCGGATGATGGCTGTGACTGTCCGCTGAAACTTCTGCACTCTCCATTAAGTAGCGGTACTCCCACTCTTCAGCCGCTCCGTCGTAACGTCGCTCGCTGGCGTCCTCTGCTATCAGACAGATCAGCAGAGGCCTACGGAATCCCTTCTCAACTGGCCGAAGACTCACCAGTGCGCTAGAGCCTTGGGAGCACAGCGCCCGATCCAGGCAACCTTGTTTGTTGCGAGGTGCACGGACAGGGTCTGCGGTGCGGGAAGTCCTTCTAATGGCTGCGCCCAGCATCTAACCTGATAAGTCAGGAGTCTGAAGGTTGGGCTTTGGTCATCAAGAGAACACAACGGGCGGGGGCAATAACCTGGACGGAGCGGCGGCGCTTCTCGCGACGCGTGATTGCATTCCAGCGTGATTTGGCCCACCTGGCATCCCACTTCTGTAGGCGCACCGAGTGGGATCCGGGCATCTGCACCGGAGATGGGCCCGATAACAGCCGAGAGAGCTCAGAGGGACGGTGCGCTCCCACAATTTTCAGCCGTAAGATCGCGCGGGCTTCCCGAAGAGGCGACGTCAGTCGTCTTCTGTTTGGGGCTTCGCCCGCTTACCGTCGTATCATTACTTCATCTCTGGTGCTGCCCTGAGGATGGGAGGACGCAGAGGACTGGAAGCGGAAACACGTTGCACGCAGCGACCGGACGGGCAAAGTCGATGGAGGCATTCTTGCCTTTCTGGGCCTGTACGGACCTCCAGCTCCGCGCAACGTGTCCGTCCGGGCACGTGTGCGGGACTGATGACTGTAAACTGTGCTGGCATCGCCTTCTAGGCATCTGCCAATCCCGACGCCAGCCGACTTTCCTCTCCGCTTGGGGTATTGGGTGTGCGTATTCGACAGCGATAAGCACCGCAAATCCCAGTCGGGGAGCGATTAGGACGAACAAGAGGCTCACCTGTCTCGCGGAGCCCTCCATCGCCCGATAAATCAATTTACCCATCCACATCCAAGCCGATCCCGCGACACTATGCTACCCCAGTATGTTGAGTTCGTCGTCCATTAATTCGTTAAGGCCAGGGCAGGTCCGAGGGCGTGATGGAGCTGTCGCGCAACTGACGGTGGAACTCCGCCATCACCCTCGTCATCGCCTCCACCGTCTTTCATCGGCGTGGTCTAGGTCATCGACGGGGCTGAAGGTCATGTGGGACGCGTCGTTGTAACGTTTTGGCGAGCCTGCCTGCGGACGCGTCTAGAATAGGGTGTCCACTCAATGGTTGAGTATTTCCAGCCTCATAGGCCGTGTAACTCACAGGCCATGGGTTTGCAACAGGGCGTAATCGCCCATGCATTGCGGAAATGAATATGTGCGGCCCTGTGGCGAGCGAGCGCAGCATCGAATCGAAACGTTTCTGGAAGAGAACAGGACTGGTCAGTGTGTTGGTGCGCGTGGTGAAGCGGTCCGGAAGAGACACACCGGCAATTTGAACAGCCTTAACTGACAGGCCCACCCAGCGGGCATCGGCTAGCTCGGTAGACGGCCAGCTTGTGTCTCACTCAATCTCTCGAAGAGCAAAGTCCTACTTGGAATGGGGTGGGACTACGCATCAATCAGTGGATAATGACCCGGCGCGGCCTGTACCGCATGTTGCGCCTGTCCAACCTCCAGGAAAGGGCAAGTGCTGCACGGGCGGGCGCGGTGCGCGCGTCGTAGGCTAGCAGTGATGCGGCTTGAGTACGAATCAGCGGAACATGAACGTGAGAAATTGAGTACACGGCAGGGAATCGGATGTTTTCGATTGGAGAAAAGTCAATGAAATGGGGACGCAAAAGGCAACAGCCTGTCGTTTTTCAATGACTTTGATCCAGAAACGCCACATATTCACGGATTGTTTGCCTCGCGCATCCCCTTTTCAGAGACTTCTCTCCAGCTGGAAATATCCGATTCCCTGCCGTGGTAGCACGACGAACAACGTCCGGCGCAATACCTTATGCGACAGTGGTGGTTAGTCCAGCGAAGGTTGCATGTGGTCCCAGATCGACGGGCAAGATGGGCGACGCGTGGCATGCCTGCGTTCCCGGACGTCAATACGCGTGCATCCGAGGGTCGGTTTGATGGTATCTCACCTGGATTTCGTCGTCCCTTGGGTCTGAGCCCCGTATGTCCTGAACGGGTACATCGATTTCGACGCCTCCACTGTCATCAGCACTGTGGTTGCGCACCTACAGGAGAGTAGGATCAGGGAACGATGCCGCAGGCACTACGAGCTCGACGTCTCGCACGGTGGGCGGGCACATCCGGACATCACAGTATTATCCACAGGTTGCGAAACTCTGTAGCACAATTGGCCTCTGTACCAAAAGGGCCACGCGAGTCTCGGAAAATCGCTTGATTGTAGCACCAGAAGATCTATAGGTGTATGAACTCACGGGACCTACACAATTGCGAATGGGGAGGTGGTCCGTAACCTTGTATTCAGCAAGATACTGTCGGCCTGGTAGCGGTCGAGCGCCACTGCTTCCACACATGCAGCTGCATGCCTGATGGCTTCGTTATCTGAAATACAAGACCAATGTTCTATGGCAACTCGCTCGGAAACAAAGCTTCGGTTGGAGTACGCGTGATGAAAAGCGACAAAGGCATCGTCACTGTTCAGATTTCCTCGAAATATCGCTCGAGACGGACCTGTGCACCAGTGGAACCGTAGTGCAGGTACACGGAATGCTGCAAGGAAGCGCAACTTGCGGTATACCTGCGCTACGAGCCCACGCTAAGACCCGGATTTTAGGTTGCAGCCCTCATATACGCTGCGATCGGACTCTCACTCACGAAGATTATCGAACTTATAGCATTGCACGGAAAGGTCACGCTGGCAAGGCTAATCGATGGTGTCAAAACAGAGATGGGACACAGAGGTTTTGATGAATTCGCACCTCGATGAGACCCTCGTCTCAGTACAATCGTTGAAAAGTGTCACCGTTCGCATCATTTCGTGTGAGAACAGAACCATTGGCGTCATTCCTATATCAGAAGATGTATTCAGTACTACGCATAGGAGACGCATTGAGGAGTGACCAAACGGCAATGTCTAAGTTGGACAGTGACATGCGGTCCGGGGGTGAAGAAAGACAAGATTCTCGAGACTCATATTCTCCACGGCAAGGACTCGTCTCATGCACGCACCATAACGACAGCATCTGCTTCAATCTCCACCAGCATGTCTGACGAGACGAAGCGAGAGCCAACAATCATCGTCGCCGCCGGACCGACGTCTCCAAGAACGTCCTTCAAAGCCTGCCCAACCTTGCCTGTATCCCGATCTTCCGCTACAAACATCCGCACACGCACGATATCCCCCTTCCTCCCACCTAATACTTCCACAGCCCGCACGATCTCGGAAAAGATAGCTCGCGCCTGGTCGTAGGCAGATCCGGGGTAGCGGAGCTCGCCAGAGGTCGGGTCGATGGAGGTAGTCCCGGAGATGAAGATGAAAGGACCCTTCCGAACGGCTCTGGAGTAGCCGAACTTGTTCTCATACGGGTTGTTGGTAAAATGACGTTGCATGGTGAGCCCGTGAAGATGTTGGGGGGACAAAGCAAGCTGCCCTCAAGCCTTTGGACAGGATCCTATCATCCGCGATGACTCGACCTCACCCGGACCCAACAAACACCTTCAAGCCGTTCATCGGTTCATCCACAAACTGTTCATCCACAGACTCATGACCGAATACTAGGAGGGACAATAGCAAGACAGGGGATGAGAGCTGAAGACAAGAATCGCCTCGACGTTGCGGCATGCTGATGGTCATGGAGACGGAATTGGGCGCGCGCGCGGCGGGTGGTGCGGCCAGGCATCTACAATCGACGCCTCCGACATGATCGCTGGACTCTCCGCCCGCCACAACGCCTCAGACGACGACCAACGCTCATAAAGGCGCGATGGCACAACGTACAGGGAATCTGCTGTATTCGGACCGGCGCATCGAATGCGGCAACTACGGTCAGCGCTCAGGTGGACTCTGCCTCGTGTCCTTCTCGTTCTTGCATCTCTCTCCTCGACGCTTGAGCATCGCTCCTCGCCTTTATCGTTGTCCATCTCCTCAGACTGACCTCAGCTATGGGCCAACGATTCGACGACATGCCTCCGCTCGTTGACTCTCAGGGATCCGCACCCATGATGATGAATAACCCAAATCCATGGCCCTCGTCCTTTGACTCCTTTGGCCACATGCCCGGCGCAGCACAGCCGCAGTCCTGGAGTCCGGGTCCAGCTTTCATGCAGCCCCCACAATGGCCAGGGTGGGAGTCACAAGCACAAGCGGGCAGCACACCGATGTCCTGGGGGACGTCCATGTCGTCCACACCCGCAATACTCGCAGCGCCCATGGCGGTGATGCCGCCAACGTTCGGTGTCGGTGTCCACACCGATGGCTGGCCGCGCCCACTCGCATCGCGCGAACCGGAGACCAACAGTAGCCCACCATGGAAGAACTACGACGACTCCGATCAGTCGCTTGCGCCGCCACGATCGAGAACACCGCTGTCGCGGAGCGCATCCCTTTCTTCGAGCCCATCCTCGTTCTCACTGGGGAGCGGCTCCCTCTCACGCAAGACGTCGATAGTGCGCGGGCGTACTGCCGAGGCTCTCAAACATCCTCCACGGGAATGGAGGACAGACTTTTCTTTGAACGGAAATATATTCAGCGGGCTGCTTGGAGCCCGTAATCGCTCGAGATCATTCGGTGGCGGGGGAAACGGTGAGTGTAATCAATGCCATTCTTCTCGGTACGGGCACCTTGGTTGTTTCTCTAGTGCGCGTTCTGGTGCGAAGTGTTGCCCTTTGTAGGCGACAGTTTGCCCTCGTCGTCTCCCGCTTAATTGCCATAGATCTAGCGACTTCTCAGCCCGATCCGCCCATCTGTTCAGTATTGCAAGTGCCCGTTCTGCTCCATAATACCGCCGCTAACCCGTCGTGATCCTCTTCCGCATCACAGAGCCTAAAGTCACGCTACACCCATACATTCGGTATACGGGCCTAGCCAAACCCCCAATGATGCTCGACCTCCGCGAGTCCCCGAACACCATCCAGTTCCGCGCGCTCAAGGACCGGCAGTTGACAAGTTGGGACATGATGCGTTTCGTCTGTGAGCCGCCCCTGCAGCACATGCGCTTCTACCACGCGCACCTGCCGTGGTACATCGACGTTGAATCGCAGAACCCGGCCGGGGTGACGCTCTACGACATGTTCGCCACCATCCACATGTGCATGATGACACCGATCGAGAACGCGGACTACTACAACGTCGAGATGAACTCCGAAGCGCGCGCGCAGGTCGCAGACGCGTGGGCAGCACGGTGTCGGACGGAGGGGGAGCGACAGCAGGGCATCAGGCGTGTCGACTATCTCATGGGGCGGTGCATCATGGAGGGTATTCAGAAGGGCAAGGATGGAATGTGGGAGATACGGACGCGGAAGCCAAGCCCGTCGTGACAGTCGTTGTATTTGGGTTCTCAGGAGATCCTAGGTTGCTGTGTCGGGAACAATGGGGTATGTGTGTTCGTGGGTACGTCGTTCAATCTGGGGAAAGTAGAATGAGAGAGAGGAAGTCGTTCCTGCTCCCGCTCACCTGTGCATCTTCTTCGTAGATGCTGAAGTGAAGTGAACTCAAGTAGCCCGATTTTTGCATGCTATATTTATCACGTGTAGCCGGTCTCAAGCCATGTACATGTATTCTGTGTAAGATTCCTGCTGTTTCTTTGGACGGCTCTGCTACCATACCATATCCTCCAGTGCACGCAAATGTACCATACATTCAAGAACGGTGTACGTGCGCTTGCTGAAGTATCAATCGCCTATCAAAAATAGCTCGCTCGCAAGTCCATAACGACACGGCCGCAAGGACAGATCAGCATAGTAAGGTGTCCTAATTTCGCTTTTTGTCGTAGTTGATATTGCAATCATTCCGAAAACGACGACTGCTTATTGTACGTTGTGTAAAACGGACAGTGTTGCATCCTCGGCTGCGCTGACCCTTCTATTCCGCAAAGGCCTGGACTTAATGCTGTGCCGTGCACTGATTCAGATTGTGTAGTGCCGTACGATCTCATTTCCATGCTGTGATAGAACCTGATATTACGAAGATGCCGTGGCATCGCCATTCTCCGACCACACGTGTACCACGAGCTCATATAATCCATCTTATAGCGCTCCCAAGCCCACATCGATTTCCTCCATCTCCCCCTTCTTCATGAGCGATAGGCATCCTTGGGACATATACGCCGACAGCCTCTTCCACCTCGGCTTTGGGTATCCTCTGTGGAAGCCTGATCCCGCGCCAGGTTGCGGAGAGGTTGACATCGGTGATGTCGGATGGCTGGAGAATGGCGAGTTTCACAAACTTTTTAACACCACGAAGGCCCCCGACGATCCTCAGCCGAGAGGCATTCCCGACGGCTACAGAACATTCGATGTGGAGCGTGCGTTTATTCATGGGCCCCGGGAGGAGATCCAGCAATCCGTGCTATGCAGCCGGAGCATTGAACGTCTTGACGCATCGGCAGGCTTAACCGCAGCCCCCTCATCATTACCTAGGTATGTCGAGCCTCAGATACGCGTGTGGGTGATTGACATCTTGCGCTGTAGCCCGGTAACCCCTGTCTCTGCCTCTACCAGTTTCACATTCGAATGCTCTGACGACTCTGGCGCGATGCTTGTTCTGCATCCCTCTGCCGTCTCCAAGGACATCAAGTCCAGGAAGCACGTCGTTGCCTATATTCAATCGCATTTTCCTGAATGGATGGAGTTTGCGAACGGGAGATTCGGACTGGTACTCAAAGATGAGCAGCTCATGTTCGTATGCGGGACGACCAAGACCAGCAGATGGGCTGTCGCCGCCTTTCATGGAAGTTACTGCAAAAAGCAAGGGTCAATCTCTGCTAACCTCAGCTCCACATTCGCGTTCGACTTTTCCCTGGCTATAGCGAACGTCCAGCTCCCTGCGGCCTTCTACAGAGTCGGTCCGCCTCAGAATGGCACCCACAGCTCAATCCCCGGACGAGCTATGTCAGACGTAACCAGGGACATATCGTGGACTCAGCGCGATGCATTGAACAACGACCCTCTGTCTCACAAATTCGATCAGTGTATCTTCATCCACTACTTCAAGGCGAAACGTCGAACGTTTCTGCCCCTCCAAGTACTACGTGCTGGTGCTGGGCCAGATCAACTGCCGCCCGGATCGGATGACATACGTGACGGCAAGACACCGATCACAGCTCATCATACAATGCCAGATCGCGGCGAAGCGGAATATGAACTCTTCCCCCCGTCTCAAAAGGTTTGGGCGCCATCTGTCCAATGCCATAGTCAAGATATTGACTCGCTGACTATAGCCTCATGATCCTGTGGATGAAGTCCTTGACTATATCCTCACAGTGCGTATCTCTTGTCTCTTTCCTCAAACTCTGCAAGCTCATTGGGTTTCTCCAGTCCTCACATGCCCAAGTGGCAATCGCGTCGGATCTGGATATTCATGCTCTGTATGAGGTAGGCCTGAGCATTGCTATAACGTGTAAGGCGATATACAATTGCGACACTATCACTACTCAGGGCGCAGTGTCCCGTGAAGTCCCGTTAATCAAGCTGCTCCAAACCTGTGCATCTGTAGCCGTTGACGCAGATGGATGTACGTGATCACGACCGTGTTTGATTCACTTGACGAAAAAGCTCACGACGCCCCTATGCCAGTTGGAACGATTATTGTGCATACAGCCAATGCCGTTGGGAAAGACCTGGCTAACGACGACCTATTTGCCGCTGTCCCAGTCTCAACCGAACTTGAGAATGGGATGGACAAGTTAGCCATTGCAGGTAGTGGAGAGTTTGGCGGGACGCGCAACCCATACCACGACATGCATCCACTCGTCGATTCACAAGGCTCTGCAGCAATCGCGACTGATGACGCCAATCCATCTCCATCGCCCTCCGAGTCCTTCCGCCGCCGCCCGGCGGGCGCTGCATGGCCCCAGCCTGGTCGGAGTCCAGGTCCAACTGTGGGGCAGAGGCAATGGGAGTCACAAGCACAAGTGCGCGAGCCACCGGACTCATGGAGCGTGCCCATGCAGCCCCTTCTCGCGAGGCGTGCGGCCATTCCAGTTGCCAGCTTATCGCAGGGGTCTGCCTCCATAATGACTACTCCGACGGATCCTTGGGCGCCATCCCCCGCCTGGGGCCTACGCGGCCACACAATTCACGGAGCACAGTTGTACCCTTGGGGTATATTTTACATGTCGCCCTTACAACGGCCTGAATGGGGGTCCCAAGCACATCTTAGCGAGTCACGGACTCCAGAGTACTGGGGCATACCTTCGATTGTGGCTCCCCAGATAATCGGAGTGCCCAGGACTATGATGCCTCCAGCATACGGCATCGGCCGGCCGCGGCCCCTTGCATCGCGCACACCGGAGACGGATACTGACCCGCCGCAGAAGAGCCACGGCGACAATTTGAGTCTATCACCTGCCTCGCGACGATCGAGGAGATCACGGAGTGAATCCCTTTCCTCAATTCCTTCCATCTGCTCACATGATAGTGGCTATGCCTCACTGAAGGCGTCCGTAACGGGCAGGGAAGATGATGAGGCTCTCAAGCATCGACGTCCTCCGCGAGAGTGGAGGAAAGGCTTCTCATTGAGCGACATAACATTCAGTGGGCTGCTAAAAGCTCGTTATCAGGCAAACACGTCGAACGACGGGGGAAACGGTGAGTGTCATCGTTGTCTCCTTCCTATGGGCGTTTGCTTTGGATCTCTAGTGCGTGTTCCGGTGCGAAGTGCTGCCGTTTGTAGGGGACGGTCTGCCACACGTCTCCGATAGGTCAATCGCTGTGTCGGACATGATGACAACAGCTCGATACGCTGTTGCAACTGCCCGTTCTACTCCTTAGTGCCGCAGCTCACCCGTTGTGATCCTCTCCTGTATCACAGAGCCCAAAGTCACGCTACACCCATACATTCGGTATACGGGGCTAGCTAAATCCCCAATGATGCTCGACCTCCGCAAGCCCCCTAACACCATCCAGTTCCGCGCGCTGAAGGACCGGCAGCTGACAAGCTGGGACATGATGCGTTTCGTCTGTGAGCCGCCCCTGCAGCACATGCGCTTCTACCACGCGCACCTGCCGTGGTACATCGACGTCGGATCGCAGAACCCGGCCGGAGTGACGCTCTACGACATGTTCACCGCCATCCACATGTGCATGATGACACCGATCGAGAACGCGGACTACTACAACGTCGAGATGAACTCCGAAGCGCGTGCGCAGGTCGCGGACGCGTGGGCAGCACGGTGTCGGACGGAGGGGGAGCGCCAGCAGGGCATCAGGCGTGTCGACTATCTCATGGGGCGGTGCATCATGGAGGGCATCCAGATGGGCAAGGACGGGATGTGGGAGATTAGGACGAGGAGAACAGACCCTTTGGTAGGCTTCAACTCCGCTGAGGTGATCCGAAGGTGCGAGAGTCGTTGAGGGAGCCATCAATAGACGGTGGGTGGAGCAGATCCACCCGCGTCAGTCTTGTTAGAAGGGAAGGGGAAACATGGTGGCGGGACGCGCACCGCAGCAGTGGCTCCGAAACTTAGTGCATGACAGTAGGGTATATTTGGTAGATCCTAGGGCGAAATCTTGTGCTATCTGACGTTCGCTCGAGATACAGACGCAAGTATTCTGCTAGTGAAGTGGAGTGTGCGGATATTTGCTTTGAGCGAGTGTGTTGATCTAGCCACTACGTTACGGCGCCAGGACACGGATACATCCGTAAGTCAGACGGATACATCTGTTACCTTGACGGATACATCTGGTGAAATGACACCCTACGGCTGAGACAGTGGATTTAGGGAGGGTGATCTTCTTATGTGTCTCCAGAAAGCACTCTTGCCCGACTTCTCGACAGATCTTCCGAACACCTTGAGCCTTCCTCTGTGACTCCCGTGAAGAAGTTCGAGGGCAAGCGGGCACAAATGGGATTCGCGTTTGGCCGGTGAAAACGCGTGCCGTACATAGTACATACAATAGACCTTATATACACAGTAGAATAGGGGTAGATAAGGGCGCGGGTATCCGTCGGGGGGCGGGACCTGTGGCGCTCGTTCCGCGAGCTCGCCATCTTGACGCCAGGATTCCAACATCCCGCTCCTCATTGTAGCGATTGGCTGCAATATTGATGTATTTGTTGACAATTTAGAGTCAATATGAGCCTGTTTGGCTTTAGAGACAGCGTGATGAGGCATATTGGAAGGAGCGATCAAGAGGATATGTCGAGCGCTTGTGAATTCGATTAGGCAGATGTTTGATATACCAACCCGATATGGCAATACTTCAGATAAGAGATCGTGCATACGATCGGTTTCCTGTTGTGCAAACCAAATGGCTCATGCCGTGTCCATGTTTCATCCGATAATGAAACTAGCTCTTTCAGGTGAATATTTATCAATCATAATATCTTACAGGTGGCATTTCGGAAGCTAAGCATGCTCCGTCTTGTTGCGGTACGGTGACGGAATTTCGGCTATGCCGATTTGCGATGTAACTGGTAAGCTATAGTAGGATGTAGCTATGTGGTATACTCGAAACACAAGACATTAATTTCTCTCAGTAGGTCACAGAGTTTGAGGATATTTGGGTAGCCATAGATCCCACAGGAGCGCGAAAAAATTGGGAGTGTCCCGGGGACCCATGGTGTCCTGAGGAGCCGTGTATGACTGTATGCGCCCTGCCTGTCGTGGAGGGAGAGAAGAGGTACTAAATCAAGTTCGAGCATTTGGCATTGAGCGGGGCCGGTCTAGGCCCCAGGCTCAGGAGTCAGAGCGCGTCTGGTGGTTGAGCGCAGCCTTCGGTACTGATCGCACTCATTCCGAGGAGGGGCGGACGATTTCTCGCTCAAACATTGGGCATACTCATCACCGTCATTGTCTTATCAGCCCATGGTTCCCAGAGGTTCCCTGTGCTGCACGTTTGTATTGGTCGCACCGAAGATTGAGCGGCATCACAGGGCACCGTGCGGTTGCACGTGACCACGACAATGTAACGTTACTTAAACGAACAGTGACCGCGTTTGCAACGCACAGCTTCTGCGCCTTGCTTCCCCAACACCTGCTATTCTATCACAAGCGTATCTTCATTGTCCCTCTCCTGCCCGTTCGATACCCCAGCACCCCCCAGCACTATCCCTCATCTTCATCCCCCCTCCACTCCATATAGCTTGCAATAGCTTTATGCTCACCTATGATCCGCCTAGCTCTCACCCTCCACCGGCGTAGACAGCAGTGTACATAAGGCCTACCATAAGGCGCGACCTCGCCTGAGGGCACGAAATGGGATATTGAGAAAAGAGAGGAAAAGAAGAAAGAAAAAGGGATTGTGGTGACAGCAGTCGTGCATCACAAGGGGACTGCCCTGTCGAGGAGACCCGACCGAGGAGCAATAGACACACTACAGATTTCCGACGCAGAGGACCCAACTGCATCGTCGACACTGAGTCAGGGCAGACTGAGAGAACAGCACGGGGCAGAGGTACTGTAAGATCCATTACTCAACACATTGCGAGCGATCGTGCCGTTACACAGCTTGCCTGATCCCCTCAAACATCCTCTCCCCCGCCCCGACCATAAATCCCCCTAACAGTTTCCCGACCCTCCTCCACTCCCGCCCAAACGCCCCCCTATGGCCTCCATGTCCCCCACCCATCCCAGGCAGCGCACCCCCATTGAACCCATACACCGCCATCGCGACGCCCAGGACAAGCACCGCGCCCGCGACCATCGTCTTACGCTGCACGATCACGTCCGTCAGCCTCCTCGGCTTCCTCAACTTCCTCCTCCTCTCCCGCCGTTTGCGTTCGTGCTCCCGCTCCCGTTCGTCATCGGAGGGTACAGGCTCTGGGGGAGGCGGGCAGACGATCAAGTCCGGACGGAGGACCATGCGCTCTGCGTCGTCGTCCGAGGGGAGGTCGCGCGCGCGCTCGGACCACGTGTGCACGACGCTCTGCGGGCCCATGATCGTGCTGAGCGCGATCTGCGGGTGCGTCGGGGGGTACTCACGCATGAGCTCGTCGGCACGCGTGAGGAGCGTGGTGAGCGAGATACGTGGACGACGCGGGCGCCCGAGGGGCTCGGGGGAGGAGGTGCGTGCTGGCGTGGGTGGGAGGGGAGGTTTCTCCTCGTCATCGGAGATGGGCACGAGGAGCTGGTCGGCTTCTGCTGGGGAGAGCGGGGACTTCTCATGCTCGGCCAAAATGAGTGCGGAGGGCTCGGTGTCGTCGTCTGAGATGGATCGAAGAGGTGGCTCTGACCGCTGAACCTTCACGCGCACGTCCGGTTCGAGTGACGATGCCTGGGTGGTTACCGGGATGGTGGAGCCATCTGCCATCGGAGTAGGCGCCTGTGAGTCGACAAGAGTCTCGGACCCCGCGTCTGTCGACACCCCATCTGATGTATCTCCAGCAGAAAGTTCTGCTTGGATACGTGGAGACGCACTGTGCGTAATCTCGTCGTAGTCGTCTTCTTCAGGGATACTTGTGTCCTGATAACTGGGAAGAGCGAGAGCAGGGGTAGCGTTCTCGCTCACAGAATCGACAGCGTCGGGATCTTCTTCCTTGGTGCTCGTTTCTTCCATGTCTTGCGACGTCGGCATTACCTCAGCTTTATGAGGTTCCGGTGGATCGTCGCCCTCTTCGTACAGGTCCGGAAAGACGGTAAGCAGGGAATGCATCATGCCCTCTTCGCCTTCCTCTTCGAGCATTTGCACCTCTTCTCGGCGAGTGAGAGTCAGCTACAGAACCGACGTCGATACAAATTCTCAGAACATGGTTTATGTGTATAATGATTCGAAACACGCACCGCTGCAGCAAGGTATACAACGGCAATCGGCGGCCGGCATAGCAAATAATCAAATATATGTTGGATGAGTGGAAGCGTTGGGACGTCATGAGAGAAGAGCGTCAATAGATTAGACAATGCATAATAAGGTAACGGCGCTGTGCTATGGAGACACATAGTCAGTATGGCTGGTCGTGGCATCTGAACTTTCGAAGATGTGGTTTACCGTTCGAGTGACTCTGCGAAATGGGGATCGACGAGCTCGAGTAATCGCTTCAGCACCCTGTGTTGTGAATTGAGTGGTTGCGGCAGCGCACAGATTCACAGGGGCCCATACCGGAGCAGACCCACCACCGGGTCGAGATTGGGACCCATTGAGTCCCGGACGCGATGCAGGCTGAGCTTCTCCGTCACAGGGAGGTGAAGCTCTTTGGGCAAGGTGATGAACACCACAGACACGATGTCATGATAGCCCTGTCATGCGCATGCGAACGGACATGTATTGGTCAATGCATATTCATGAGTAGAGTCGGATCGAGGTACTCACCTGAAAGTAATGCAGGCGCGGTCTCTGACGGAATACTGACACGATTAGCCTGTTGAGCGCGGCCTGCAGCTTTTCGCGGCTGTCTACTCCTTCTGGTGTAGGATCGGCCGGACGTTAACATGAGCGGCGAGCGCATAGCTAGGGGAGGTGTGCTGTTCACCTACGGAGTAGAGGACGAAGCTGCGGTCGGTGTCAAGTGTTATCTGGCGCTCATCAGAGTGAGGATTCCCAGGCAACTCCTGCTGCTCCTGAGGTGACGTGAGGTCGAAGCTAGCATCAGACCAGAGAGAAGAATCTGGGGCGTCGCATTTGTCTCTAGAGACATAGGCTCGATCGTCTACGTTGAGCAATCTAGGCCTGTTCCTCATCGTATCAGAGACTTTCAGAGAAACGGGTAAGCGCACCATATCCGTACGCGCTCCTTTCCAAAGCCGTGCGGTTGAAGGCTCAAGTTCCTATACACCTGCCAGTCAATGGCATCCAGAGGGCGTTGATGTCGAGACTTCTCCACATCAGAGCTAATCATTCCCAAGGCCAGTAGAGATAGTAAAAGTAATGATAGCGTTGCAAGCGTTCAAGAAACGAGGGTATGCATGCAGGAGAGTGGTGGCGGCTGGTGGACGAGGTGTGGAGGTAACGGTGTACATGCGAGCTGTGGCCGTTGTTCCGGTCCTGGGCGCCTGCTTAGCCCCAGAGGAGATTAGATTAGGTTGCGTATAGAGATTAGATAAGATGATGATTTTGACTCGTCCGAAATTGCCGGCGGCCGCATAAATTGGAGCTTGCCATTCCATGCACATCTGAGTCGTGCTCACATCGTGCTATTCCCATCCCTCCCTCTTCTCCACTATCTGTTCAGTCTCTTTCTCCGTTCTTTCCTCATCTTCTGCACCTAATCTGGTGATTCAGACGATCTTGCACGCATACCCTTGCGTTCTCGCGGATATGAGCACTACCACTCTCACCCAGACAGGACAGCAACCCCTGGGTAGTGCGGTACCCCCATTCACGGCACATGCTATCTCAGTGTCGCTTCCGACGTGGAGAGACAATGTCGGTTACGAGGAAGGCGAGAAGCGTGTCGTAGATGCCATGGTCTCGGGATACCCACGCTTCTTCATCCATCTAAGCATTCAGAAAGTACGTACAGCACATTCCAGGCCTTCAATATGGTCAACATATCCTTCGTGCTCCATGAAATATACCGCAATCGCTGTGCCCGGTTGACTGTAAGCAGTCTGCCCCCACGGCCTTTGGTCTAACCGGTCCTCCATGGGTAGTGATTGAGTCACGTTTCCCTTGAGCTTTCTACAGAGGTCTCCCCGAGATAAACAAAGTGTGCTACACAAGCGTGGGCCTATAGCAGTGTGCGAGAGATATTCCTTTGTCTACCAACGTATCCGCCATGAACCAGGGCCATGGCGCGCTGCACTTGATTCAATCAGAATGTCCTGTTCCCCTCGATGCTCGATGCTGATACCTCGCTTATCCAGCTCGCTAAAATCTGCGAACAAAAGTTCGGTGTGCCCGGCGAAGCCTCCCTCCTCTGCCCCACCCGCCGCATCGCCGAGAACTGCCGCGCATTCATGCTCGATCGCGCCGCTAGGTCCAGCACCCCAACTCCTACAACTCTCAATGTCCGCCTGGTCCAGTTCACCATCTGCCCCGACGTAGATGATGATGGCCCGTGCGCCGAGCTCCACATTGTCTTGTTTCCCAAGGACGCCTTTCCACTCGCCAAGCAGTTTTGGCAGCATACCGGGCTCTGCGTCTCCTCCCGATTGGCGGAGCGCTGTCTCGCCATGCTCAAGGAAGACGTGACTAGCCCCGCGAGCCCGACGAGCCCGACGACGCCCTCGAGTCGGGCCCCAGTGAAGCCGGGGAACCGGCACTACGCCGCGAAGGGCTTCACGAACAAGTCCCCCCCGACCACACCATCGGCAACGCAAACACGCTTTACCAGCACCGATATTCCGGAACCATCCGCCGAGCTGCTGAACAAGGACCACATCACGTACCTCGAGGAGCGCTATGGGCGCAACATGCCACTCTCCTCTGCGGCCGCGGCCAAGCGCGCGCTCCGCCGCCGCATCGCAGGGGTGCTCGTGCGCGACACCCCGAGCGATTGGTCGACCGCGGGCGGGCAGGAGGCGCAGTTGGGCCCGAGCACGCGCGGGGTGGAGGGTGTGACAGAGGATGATGTTTTCTTGTACGCGACGGGTATGTCGGCAATATGGAGTGCGCACCAGCTTGCCCTTGGAGCGCGGCCGGTGGCGAAGAGTGTTTGTTTTGGGTACGTAGGGAGTGCAACTCGAAAGAGGGACGTCCGGGTTGATGATTCCGACGTGACTTGCAGATTCCCGTACACCGACACCCTCAAGATCCTCGAGAAATGGGGCCCTGGATGCCACTTCTTGGGACACGGGCTGGACAAGGACATCGACGAGCTCGAGGCGATCCTCGAGCGTGAGTCCAAGACGTCTTCTGGGCCCCCAATCCTGTCCTTGTTCACGGAGTTCCCGTCGAATCCGCTCCTCCGCGCAGCGGACCTGCCGAGGCTGAGGAAGCTCGCGGACAAGTACGACTTCCTCATCGTCGTGGACGAGACGATCGGCAACTTTGTGAACGTCGAGGTCCTACCCTATGCGGACATCGTCGTCAGCAGCCTCAGCAAAATCTTCAGCGGGGACGCGAACGTCATGGGCGGTAGCCTCGTCCTGAACCCTCACGGGCAGCACTACGCCGCGCTGAAAGCGCACATGGCCGCGACGTTCGAGGACTCGTACTACGACGAGGACGCGATCTACATGGAGCGCAACTCGCGCGACTTCCGCCGCCGCATCGAGGTCATCGATGCCAACACCCTCGCCGTCTGCGAGTTCCTCCGCTCCCGTTCCCTCGCCGTCTCTTCTATCTCGTCCCCGCCGTCTCACCCGATTGCAGTGAAAGACGTGCACTACCCGCGCTGGGTCACACCAGAGCATTACAACAAGTGTCGCGTGCGCGACCCCGTCACGGGCGAACCCAAGGGCGGGTTCGGGGGCCTCTTCTCGCTGACCTTCACCTCGACCGAGGCGAGCAAGGCGTTCTTCGACGCGCTCCCGTGCATGAAGGGCCCCAGTTTGGGCACGAACTTCACTCTGGCGTGCCCGTACGCGATCCTTGCGCACTACGCCGAGCTTGACTGGGCAGCCGGCTGGGGTGTCGAGGCGGGCCTGGTGAGGGTGAGTGTGGGCATGGAGGAGAGAGGGGCGCTGTTGCGTGGTTTCGAGGAGGCACTCAAAGCTGCGGAGGCGGTCATACCTCAGCAGAGCTAGAGTGCGGGAGGGAATCCTCGACCTGTAGGCGTGAGGATCTTGAGTGAGCTCGGGAGGGTCTTTGACCCGGAGCTGTAGCATAGCCGTTCAACCGGACATGGAGACAGTGTACAAGAGACATGTATCGTATAGCTTAAATACAGTCCCATCCAACTGGTCACAAAGGAGCTGCAACGGAGGGCGAGAGCAATATTGCGATGATAGCTTCACGCAATCTACAAAGCCATGTATCATGTCCCGACGTCGTAGCCTACGGTCGGATGCGATTGTGGCGAGACGCTGATATCCACCACGCTCTCCTCCGCATCCTCCCCGTTTTCACTCAACTGCAGCCCAAGTTTCTCGTTGAACGACGCCGGCTGACCCTCCACACGCTCTCCCAACTCCAACCCCAACTTCTTCTCTTCCACCTCCACTTCCCCTTCCTCCTGACCCTCATCATCACTCGCCGGCTCCTCGACGACTGCCCCCTCCTCACGCAGAGCAAGCCACGCGTGCTCGCGAACGGCGAGGTTCTGGCCCTGGCTGATCGCCTTCACAATTTGGCCTTCGTGTCGCGCGTGCAGTGTGCGGCGGAAGGAGCGCGTGATGAACGTCGACAGGATGCGCAGCGACCACTCTGGCGGGATCTTAGCGATCACGTCGAGCACGTCCAGGTTCATGGCTTGCGAGTTCAGCAATTTCGCCGTGCGGTCTGCCGTCGCCTCGCTGTCATACTGTTAACGTCGGTACAAAACGATGGGGGCAAGGGGACGTACCCGCCGCTCATGTAGACTTCCAGGAGAATCATCACTAGATCCTTCTTCACTTCCTCGTCCACCGTCTTCGTCTTCTTCAGCTGCGGCGCGCCCTTAGCCTGCCCCTGACCCTGCTTCCCAGGCGACGCGAGGGGCGCGACGAGCGCCGCCCACGGCTGCAGATTCGACCGCTCCCCGATTTGCTGTGCCGTCTTCGCAGGGACGACCTCCCCACCCAGCGTGCAGTATGCTTCGGCGGACGTCGAGTCGTTGAGGTCGTGGATGAGTATGGAGAGCGCGGAGCGGTGGTTGCCGAGCTGCGCGCGGTGTGAGGATGGTTAGCGCGGAAGACACATAAGGGACGGACCTTTCCCTCGAGAATGGCTAGCTCGAGCTTCAGGATCTTGGCATGGGCGTCAAGACGTGACCGAATCGCTGCGGGGTCATACAGAGTAGAGCCTTGGAGGAACAGTATGGTTTTCAATCGTGACCGCTTGGATTCCGAGTCGGGTGTTGTTGTGGAGAAGTAGGATATGAAGGGGGTCTCGTTTCTGCTGGAAGTATATGACGCAGCTGGACATCCACATTGGTCACTATGCTTCGGGGCAAGATGGGTCAGAGGCTAACCTTTCGCTCTCCAAAGTTTTGATATTGAGTCGTCGGCCAGACATGATAGTAGTTGATCGACATATGCTGCCGCAAGCTGTGAGTGCAACTCTGGGTCCTAAACAAGCACATCAGCCCGTCGATCCGCTAGGAATGCGGAAGATGTACACCCACCGTACTTCGTCGCTGGATGACGAGATGTTCCAGAAGCTGGGCTCCAGCGGCAGGACTGGCTTCTCGTATCTGCTGCAATAATGCCCTGTCGTCCTCCGCCTTCCGTTTTGCTGACATAGTAGATAGCAGAAGCTACAAAATGGTCGAGAGTGAGCCTCAACACGCAGCGTCCAAGTAGTCCACACACCTTCAGAGCACGCTCCGAATCCTTCTTCATCAGCCATGGTATCCATCTCTGGATCGGCGCCCGGTCTTTCTTTTCGCTTAGCAGGTCAAATATTCGAGTAAGCGGGTCCTGGACCTCCGTATCTATCCACTCCCCGTCCACGAGTTTAGACCACGCGTCCAGCAACTTGGCATCATCGCCATGTTGCCGATACAGCTTCGTGAGTACGCCGATATGTCGCGACTCCACGAGGACAGGCGCAATCTCAGACAGCAGCACCGAGTTGGGCTGGTCAATCAGCCCGTGCAAGTCGGGCAGCTTCCCAGCCGACACGTGCAGCTTCGCAAGCACTGTATCCACGACCTGATCCCGGAACACGCGTCAGCCTCTCGGCTCGCTGTCATACCTCGGAGCCGGAGCATCCAAACACTCACCGTCCGCAAGACCTCTACGTAGGGTGTCGCCCCGTCCACGGCAAGCTTCCGCCGCCATTTGCGTAAGAACGCCTCGAGCATGTCGCGCGCGGTCATGCTCAGGACAGCGCGGAGCTCGACCGCTGGGGGGGCTTCGCGCGTATTCGGGTGGAGGTGCGGGGAGTAGTTCCTGACTAGGTTGTGCGCAACTACATCAGTCCCGACGTGAGACACGCAACGGCGGGGCGGAACGGTAGTGTACGGGGATTCGTATGAGATTGGGATGTTGAGTAGCGAGATTTGGGGTTCAAGGCATTTGTGACGAGACCGCAAATAGGGAGAGAAGCGACGTCAATAGGGGGTGAATTGGGTGATGACCGTATGCCACGGAAGGAGATATGGGAAGCAAGAGCGAGAAACATATGGCACATAGGCAATCCTAGACAAGGGGGGGGGGGCATGCGGGACACTCACTGATGTCGTCAACAGAATCTTCCTGGGGCATATGTTCTGCCACACCGGCCATGATGTCCACGGTATCGTCCTCGGTGAAGAGGTCTCCTCGGAGCTCGGGGTAATAGCTGATGAGTACGCGAGGATCGAGCTCGCCTTCGTACAGTCGGTTCCCAGCATCCTCAAACAGGGTCTCTGTGAAGCATTGGAAGCCTAGCAGCTGGTTCACGTAGCGTAGCTCATCGAGCTTATGATACACGAAGCGTGAACGCGGGAGAACGTGAGGGCCAAATACCACTCACGTCATGCCTGTCCACGTTGAGCATAGATTGCAGCTTCTTGCGCTGCTGCTCCACCAGGTCCGCAGCATCTTCAAGTCTATGCGCTAGCAATAGTGCGTCCGCCTGAGAGATGAGGGTGGAAGGTAGTAGTGCGTGAACGGTATCCGATCCAACGACAAGTACGTTTGCCCGTGGAAAATTAGGATATTGTAGGGTAGCCATTACAGATGCATGACAGAAAGCCGACTTGATACAAGTTAAATCCGATACAAAACAGACCACGAAGGATGAGTGAGGGCCAAGGAAGAGAGAAACCGGTTGAAGCCACTAGAAAGCAGGGTGTTGCTAATCAACCGGCGCTAACTCGCAGGTGCAAAATACCGTAGTCCATGGTTTAGCCGAGTAGGTCCTAATTGAGGTAAAAATTTAGCCCCAACAGCACATGCCTTGAGAAAGCCATGCGGGGTGTACTAAGCCTACAAAGTGCGATATAAGACAATATATATCGTGGAGTAGTTGTGTTCTATGTATGAGAGACGGGTCACACCTGAATAGAGGCCCCGAGATGAACGCGGACGACCACTCGGGGGTGAATAGCATTGGCATCCAATGGCCTCCTTCAGCGTCCATACCTGTGGTGCCCACTGCTGGGATGCTTCCGGTGGCTTAGTACAAGCTGGAGTACTTGGCCTCAAGGCCCAGAGCTGGATTGGGCCGAATTGGGTCGTCTCACTTAATCTTAGGGCCAGATTTAGCTTCAGGAGGCTCGGAAAGGTCCCTTCGCATCAGTCAAGCGTTCGTGTAATTTACGGTAAATGACCTGCGTAAATCATGGCCTCCGGGGGCTCAGTCAAACGTGTCAAGCAGGCACCGGGTTCCCGTATGTAAGTACCCTAGAAGCCACGCATCAATCATGTAAGCGCCTATCTCCGATCCCAGCCTCCAGGCGCCCATGTACACCGTTCCTTGGCAATAGCCACCACCTTCACCGTTTTCCGTGGTGTGCCAACTTCGACTTCTCAGCGACACGAGACAACCACAGAAGCGAAAGGAGCTGCAATTTTACGACAGCGGTCCTAGCAATTGCTAATCATGACATCCGCCCCTCAGAGGCCGATTGATGTCCCTCCATACCAACTACAACCTCTACTTTCCGACGTGGTGGAGAGTCTAAGTCGTGAGGACCGGACGTAGACTCCGTTGCCTCCATGCGAGACTAACTTAGCTCTAGGCACAGCGGGACACACAGTGCACATACGGTGCGCGCAAGCAATTGGTATGTCGTTCTTTGTTCACTCCGGACAGCTTGTTTTGCCTTGGCTTCCTGTTGACTCTATCGACCATTTTCATTCGAGCATATGTTTCTCAGCCTCACGATGATTCTATAAGATATGGAACCAGCGATATGTGAACGATGCGGGTCCTAGACGGAGTCGCTCGCTCCATACACCATTCATCTGCCCTGTTCTCTTCGTCATACCCATATGCGCAAGCAGACACTCTTGCCTATATAGGTTGTCGTCTATTCATCTGTTGAAGATGCTGACCGCAATTTGATTTGTAGGGTCGGAGATCTACGTTGGCTGCGACAATGGTGAACTACTGCGTTTCGCTCTCCAAGCCAGCAGCTCCGAGGCAGTTCGTTCTCCTCACGACAATACGTGTGCTGCTAGTGATGATAATCCGATGCCCAGCCAGATTCGTACACCCTGCTCTCTCGGCAGTCACTACCAAACGAGAAACCTATTGATCAGATTGTGCTCGCCCCCAGCATTTCTCGAGCACTGATTCTTTCCGGTATGCTTAAACAGGCCGTGCTCGCGTATTATTTGCTCTGACATTTCTGCGGCAGACCGTCAGATCCACTTCTACACTCTGCCGGCGCTCGACGTAATCTCGCCCAACCAAATCAAGCCAATACGCAACGTTGTCACGTTTGCTGTGGATGAGCAACACCTGAAGAGGCCACCACAGTTCATGAACGACATTCCTGTCCCTGTGGAACCTATCGAGTTTTGTGTCGTCAAGCGTAGTGCCATCTCACTCTACAGTCTGCGTGAGCGACTATTCTTCCAGAAGGTGGGCGCATGTTCTTGCGGGAGGAAGGTTCGCGCTCAACTTGATTCTTGCAGGAAATTCCCCTACCCTCAGGAGGTTTTCTGGCGCGGCGCACTGGAAAGTACCTGTGTATCGCCGACAAGGAATACTACAACGTGATCGATTTAGTGCAAGCCTCCATGGTTCCCCTGCTTCCTATCTCGCAAGCGCCAGATACGACGGTGGCCGTGAAGCCTTTGATCACGGTCATTACGGAGAATGAGTTCCTCCTCCTGTCTTGGACGGGCGCCAGCACTATAGGCGTATTCATCACCGGCGACGGTGATCCGGTTCGCGGGACAATCGAGTGGCCCAGCCATCCCGAGGCGATTTGTGAGTGCCCTTGTTCCCTTCTACGTACATGCGCAGCAACACGTCCGTTGTACATTGTGTACTTACTCACTTCTTGTTCGCACGACCCTGAACCATCACAGCACTCGACTACCCTTACTTGACGACTCTCATGCCAAACGACACTATCGAGATCCACAGTATCGAGACGCAGGGCATCGTCCAGGTTATTCCCGCTCCCTCTGAGGAGTCTGGGGAAAATAGGAAGGCGCTCATCGCGTGTCTGAATGGGTTCTTCATACCGTCTACGCAACGATCAGAGAAGCTCCGGAAGACGCCCGTACGCTTGCTTGGCAGGAAACCAGCGAAGCAGGAGGAGGAGGAGGAAGAGGAAGGGGAGGATGACTGGACAAAAGCTAGAGGGGAGCTCGACACTGTGCCTGATATCCCTGCTCTGGATGCGTGACGGGTCGAGCGATACTGCTCGACATCGGGCGCCGTGTTGCGGTCGGTGAGCCCTTCTACTCTTACAATGCTTTGCGCTACTTCTTGCTTAGTGTGATCAAGGATCGCCGCTCGAGGAAACCGGATGATTCGCCTCACTTATCAGCTTCGCCCCCAGTACACCGGAGAACGGACCAAATGAGCAGATCTTTTCGTTAGACTCTCACTACTCAGCGGATATGGACCCTAGTCAACGCTCGAAGACGAGTCCTGAATGTGGAGGTGAGGGCGCTTTCCGCGTCGTGGCAGTGTGCGAGTTGCTACGCGCCCTTGTTGTTTTTCTCGCGCCTATTGTTGTCCTCTTGTTGCTTGAACTTGGTGCCACTCAACGATCTGTCCAATTCGACGGTCAGTATACCACACGCTACGCGTTGGCACCCTCGTCTACGTTCAACCGCGCTCCTGGCGACAGGTACAACGCGCTTAGACTTGTGCGTGCATCCATGTCAGGTAGGCTCAACTCTGACGTTGGGAGCCGCGTAACAACACTCTTCTGTACGTACTGAGGGAAAGGGGGCATACTTAAGGATGTGTGCCATAGAGGAGATGTTCTTCGGTTAACGTCTCTCCACGCCGACTCCGCGTCTCGTTGAACGGGACGTGTCCGAACCCCCTGCTGCGCTCCCAGTGACGCAGTGATCCCGAGCAGTCTTTACCCTATAGTTCGATTGAAGATGGACGGCACCTCTAGACTTAGACCGTCAGAGCCTCGCTCTCGAGCTGAAGATTCCATTGAGTCCCCCACTCCTCAATATGGATACGAGCGTCACACGTAAGTTCCTTTGTTTCTATCTTGACGTCCGCTCTTAAGCCATTGACGCCCCGATCACTTTCTCATCGCATGCAGACAAATTGTCGACATCCACCTTCCCGGCACTGCCCAGTCACAGCCTTATTCAAACGCCGGGGGGGCTCTAGGAAGTATTCTTACCACTGACTGTGTGCGTCTCACTCGAGACTTACGATGGAGCCCGATGCATCCGGAACACATACAGAACGTGAATACCTACGAGGTGCCAATGGGCTCTACCATCGAGTTCCGTCTGGCACCGGCTCAGCAGCCTGCTGTCCAACACGCTTCCTCCTCATCATCTACCTCTACTTCTGCACCTGGACCCGCAAACCCACAACCCACTGTACCAGCTCACCAGCAGACTCGGTACTCCGGCTCGCAACTGCACCATCAGGCAAACTATTCCGGTGCCGCCCAGGGAATCGCTGCAGGCCCTGATCCCACGGTCCACGCTGGTGCCCCAATGTCGATCGATGGGCCGCCAGACGCCCGGGATTTCCCCAGGGGGCCGGCGCGAATGGGGCGAACAGCGTCTACCACCACCGCCCCGATCACACCTGACGTTCTGAGGCAGGGATTGTGGAAGCTGAACGGGAACGAGGACGCCAGTCGGAATCGGAACGGGGAAGACGGAAACGAGGCGTCCATCGCCACATGCGATTGGGAACGAAGAGAGGTTCCTGCACGATATCAAGAACGCAATCCGGGCTATCGTCCTGAGAGCTCCCCTTCCACTGATTCCTCCCCAAGTTCCAGCTCTGGCACGCCGATCGACAGCGGAAAAGAGCCACCACGAGACGATCCTCCCCTCAACGGCGTTCGAATCATTACAGAAGACGGCAACACGTACTATCTCATGGCCGACACTGACGCTCGGAATGGGTTGGAAGAATACCAAAGGCTGCACCCCGATAGAAAGCTTCCTAGTCATCGTACCGCGAAGCCTGGCAAATCTGCCCTACGCGGTGCTCCCCAGAATCAGGAAAGAGATGCAGGTTTGTCCGCCACCACCTCTGTCACGAAGTCTTGCCGATGATCTACTATTGCAGCGCCACCGACCGCAGGAGGCGCTCTCCGACCTAGACAACAGCGCGAGTCCGGGCGACACGTTGCTGATGAAGACGGGTTTGTCCCGTTTGTCCCCCCTCGCGCTCAGCAGCGCACTCCACCCTACGATGGCGATGAGGAAGACGAGGACGAGTCAGCACCTGGTTGGGACGAGCGACGGGGTGCGCGCAACCGTTACTGTCGCAGCGTACGTCGAGTACTCAAGCGCGTCCGACGCACCGTCTTTCCCTGCACAGATTCGGAGGAGTCTCCGACCTCCTCAGAGTCAAGCGATCAACCGCCACCGCCTGCATGGTGGCGCCCACAGGCGCAGGGTCAGACTCGACGGCGCCGCCTACCCGACCCGCCAGTTGATCCGTATCCCAGAGCAGCCGGGGCACACGCTGGATACTATGGGGGGCCTATGCAAGGTCAGCCACCGCCTGTGATGACGCATCCCTTTGGTCACCCCGGCTATGGCTGGGTGAACTGCCATGTATGTCAACATCCTGCCAGTCATCGACTTGATTGTCCCGTATATGTTGCGTCGCATCTCGCCCACGCTACCCCAAATCCCCCGCCGCCGCTCGGGGATCCTGTTGGGAGGCGAAGCGCCTCGCGCGCGACGCAAAGAGAGGAGCGTAAGGAGCACCACAACCACTCATTCGAAGGTTCGTCATAGCTTTCATTTTCTCGCCTCATCTGCACGCCGATTGAGATCTTCTGGGAAGAACGCCACGCCACGCATCGCGCTAGACGGCATCATGGAGAAAACGTCTCCAGTGCGACGGCCCCGCCACCACCAGTGGCACCTTTGCCTCGAACGCCTCCCCCACCGACTACGCATGTAGCAGGTCAAATTGGGAACTTTGTCGAAGGCTCTCCAGCAAGGATGAATTACTGGGCGGCACCGCCAATAGCACGAGCGCAGAACACGCCAGCCCCTGATGAGGTACGTACATACGCACAATTGTCAATAACTGGTCAATGTTCCTAAGCCCCCATACCAGTCTCCTCCTGCTGTCATTCCTTCGCCTCCAACACAGCAACGGAACTGGGACCCCGAGCCTCCAGTCGTCCCAGCCCAGGCGCCAACTCCTTCTGTGCCCGTCGTTCCTGTGATGATACGTCAGCAAGCGAGAATCCCCCCTGTGGTTCCACCTGAACCCAGATCCCGCCGTCATCGGCGGGACAGGGTGACAGACGTGCCTGTGATACCGGATTTGACCCCCGACAGGACGACTATCAATACACAACTCGATACTCCTCCTCCCTCAAGAGGACCATCCCCAAACACACCTAGGGGGCAATTTAGACATCACCCTCCAGCTCAACAACCCGTACCCGCAGTTTGGGCACAGCCGTTCATGCCGGCAGGGTTCTCCTTCCCCGCAGTGTACCCAGCCATCGCCTGGGTGCCGCATCCACGACCCCACCCAAACATTCCAGCAGCTACCTTCTGGCAGCTGCCCTATGCCGTTCCGAGCATGCAAACACCGGCGGTCGCGAGCATGACGGGAGGATGGCCGCTCCCTGGCACCATACCAGGAGTCTGGCAAACACCAGCCTGGCCACCCCCAACAGCGCTCGCGCCAACGCCCGCCCGGGGGGCGTCCCTCCTCCCGGTGCCCACTCCCGTAGGGACTACACCACAGCTCATCCCAGATCCGAATGGGCCACGCCCCATCCTCTGCCCGATCCTGATCCCAAATCCGGGAAATACAACTGTGCCCTGGCTCGACTGGGACATCCGCATGCCGCCCTCGATGGCGAAGCGGATCACCGCACGCGAGGTTGTCGTGCGCAACATCAGAGACAAGCTCAAGGAAGTCGCCACGCACCCGCCCACGTCGCGCGTGACGATCGCCTACAATACCGCGGTGCCCGAACTGCTCAACCACTGGGGCCCGATCGTCGTCGACAAGGGCGAGGGCGGGACGGTCACCGTGGGCGACATCTTGGACGCGGTGTTTGACTTCTTCCAGGTCCCGCTCACGTATGCGGAGGGGTACGAGCTGCCGCGGGAGCACTCGGCCGAGTTTAGTAGGATGAGTCTCGCGTTCCATAAGCGATGCCGCGACTACCCTGCCATACCTGAGAAGACGTATGAAGGTGGCATGCTTCGCGTCGACGCGCTCACGGACCGATATAAGTGGTGGGGCATGTGGGTGCAGTGGAACCCTGACGGGTCGTGGTACCTCAACTTGGGCACAGACCTCAAGCGTCGACCACGATGAACGTAAAGGAAGGTCACTGCAGCCCATGCCTCATGGATGGTCACTTCCAAATCAAGTTCTCGGTCATTGCAATAGTGCAATTGTGTTGATGATCAAGATACGACTTCGCTTTGACGTGCTATCATGCTGTATCATGCTCTCGATGTGCTAACGACCTCTGTATTTGCTAACGTGTATTTCATGGGTGTATACTACTGTATTCTAGCTTACGCTCGCAATGTTCATGTTGATTGTCACGCCAGCGTCTCGAGTTGCTTGCATTCAACGATACCGAGAAGGTATGCATTGTCTACAGCTACCGACTCTCATACAAATTCCGCCGGTGTGATCTAATAGTACACCGACGTATCGACGTCGGCCAGAGACGCGGGCAGCATTCAAACTAACAATACAACAGATACAAAATAGCGCAATCGCGACTGCAGCCGAGTCGCCTGGTTACACACACAGCATTCTCAAATGTCCGCTCCCTCCTCGCCCTCACTGATTTCCCACATCCAATTTTGCGCTCTATACAGACCACGACGGCAGCGCGAACTCCATTTCGACTCAGCTTTCCACCGCCTTACCCTCACTCCGTCGGCACGGGCACACGCTCAGCCCACCGAGTATGCGTCTGGAACCCCTCGAAGCTCCCCACGGAGCCGACGCGCCGCTGGAGGCCCGTGCGGCTGCCCGAGCGGGATCGGGCCGCGATGTGGTCTCTGGGCGACCGCGGGGAGCGCGGCGAGTCCGATGTGGAGGAGGAGGACGTGGAGGACGCGCGCCGGTGGCGCTGCATCCGCGTGGGGTCGACGTCGGGTATGTTCGCGATGCGGGCGAATATGGCGAGTACTGCAATCCGATATCATGGTCAGCGAGTCGCATGTGCAGTCAGGCGGGGACTGGACATACCATCGACCACGGACACGATACCGCACAGGTTAGTCGGCGATGCGGAGGTGAACGTAGCTGCGCTTGACATCGGCGAATCCTCCGTGACGAAGAGTCGATGCGAGTTCGCTGATAAATAGATGAGTACCAACGATGGACGCATATACCCAAGGCAAAACAAAGCAACTCACTCGCGAGCAGCTTCTGCATGGTGTAGAGCAGCGTATTGTTCGGCGTGACGCTGTACACAGGAGACTTGTCCACCCCGTCCGTAGACCCGTCCGGTTCCTACCAAACCCCACCAAACCACCATCAGCATCCCCTCGACACGTACACCCCCTCGACCTCGCGCCCGCACGCACCTTGATCCGCGTGACGAGCTGCTTCAGCGGCGTGCCCAGGATCGCGTTGCTCTGTGCGGGGACGACGACCTTCCCGATGTCCGTCACGCTCACCGCGCTCAGGAGCCCCTTCGTCTCGTCGTCGACGACGGCGACGCTGCTCACGCCCTCGTCGCTCATCAGGCGCATCGCGTCGAGCACCTTGTCCGACGCCTTCGCGGCGACGACCGCCGCGTACAGGTAGAGCGACGGCAGCGCGACGGCGCTGAGCGGGACGGAGAGGAAGCGGAGGAGCGGCGGCGTGCGCTGCGCGTAGGCGGTGAGCCACGCGAGGAGCGCGCGGTCGGAGACGAGCCCGAGGTAGGACGGGGGCGAGGACGGGTCGGTTGAGGGGGCTTGGACGAGCACTGGGGTACATGTGTGTGAGTGGTTGAGCGCAAGAGAAAGAGGGGGCACGGGCGTACCTCGGTGCGTACCGCGTGCGAAGATGGTCAGGAGCTGGATGATGGTCGCGTCGTGCGGGAGGACCTCCAGAGGATTCTTCTCCGACAGGTCTACACTCGCCATCCACGGAGGATGTCAGCCCTTCATACAACTCCGTTGCATCACCAGATGAGGGGGAAAACGCACTGCTGATGAGGTATGCGGCGACCTTCCCGTCCTTGGCCGCGGTGAGTATCTCCTGCACGCGCGGCTTTTCGCGCAGCTCCTCCGACGTGATCTTGTGTCTCGTCGCGGCGAGTATGAGGAACGCGTTCACGTCCGCGAACTACGGGAAACATCAGAGGGCGCGCTATCACTAGCATTGTTGAGTAAGTACGCACGTCGAACAGCCCGTAGAACGGCGAGAGCTTCGGGGAGCGGTTCGCAGGCGTCTTCACGGCAAGACACGCGATGTCCTTCGACAACAGCAGCTATTTTCCAGGGCCGTTCAGCACACATCGAGGTCGCAAACTTCCTCGAACACCCACCTCACACGCATCCTCCACGCTCGTCTCCGCGTCCACGCTCACGACCGGGGAGTCAATGATATCTGCGCCACCCCGTCAGCACCCCATCGCCGTCCTCTTCCACACCACATGCGACACGCTCGCCCAAACACAGCCACGACACGAACAGCAGGGCAGCACGAAGACAAGGGCAGGGGGAGACAGAGGCAGGGGGAGACAGAGGCGCACCTTTCGCGAGGACGGCCCTCCACGCCGCGACCCACTCCTCCGAGTCCGTGTTCGGCGCCGTCTGGAGCACGAGCGGGCTCTCGCTGCGCACGCTCGACACCGACACCCGCTTCCGCGTTGCCATCGTCTTCCGCGCGCCCGGGATGTCCACGCCACCGTTCGAGCCCATCGTCAGAAAGGGATGAGTAATGTGCGATAGTGCGTGCGTCGTCTGTGCAGGAATCGCTCAGAAGAGCAGGTCTCGAGGAGGAGAGGAGAGGGAGTGGGGTTGAGGGTTGTCAGACACGCCGTGGCAGGGCTTACATGCCAAGCTCTGGGCGGGTCAGTTGAGCAAAGTGGATGGGAGCGAGCGTGCCGCGCATCTGCTCCGTCGGGGCCAGGCGATCAACGACGTTCGCCCTCGAGACGTAAACACCCTCCACGATAAGATAAGATTGGCGGCATCGTGACCTCATCCTCTCGTACGCGCACACCTCATACAGATACAGAAACACACACCGATGGTGGTTGGCATCCAGCAGTTCAGGACCGCAACAGGACAAGATACAGACACGACAGCTACTATACAAGTGCTCTAGGGTAACATGACATAACATAACGAACGAGTGTCTATGTTTTGGGAAGTGGGAGAACGCGACGTGAAGACGCAGAATCGTAGTGGGAACCCTACGACGTCTATCGGAAGAATCGGTGGGAAGAGGGTGGGCGCATGTGCGGGATCGGTGCAAAACTCAGAACGCGGATCGGCCACGGGAGCGAGCGGGTGCGCTTGATAAACTCATGCGTGACCGTTGCCGTTTACACTGGCAGTAGCTTCGTTGGCAGTAGCTTGCGCCGCCTGCCTGTTCTCCGACACGCGAGCCTTGAGCGCCCCGAGGATCTCCTGCACCCGCGCGTTCGCAGTGTCCAGAATGGGCTGGACGCGCTCCGTCACCGTGTCCCGCACCTTGTTCGCCTTCTCAGGGAGCGGGTCGGGGGACGTCAGGATGCCCGAGAGGTCGTTGATCGTCGACGACAAGTTCGCCGAGACGTCCTGGAACGCCGACTGCAGCGTGCCCGGAAGCGCCGCGGTCGAGGCCTGATCACGCGCGGCGAGACACAATGGGTGAGAACGATGAATGCAATCACAACGGGCACGACTACTCACTTGAACCTTCTGAAGTTCCGAGAGCATGGTGTCGCTCAATGAATGTACCCGAGCTTGCGCCGCGCCATAGCTCGAAGACGCGAGGTCGCTCAGGGACTGCGCCGTCGCGGACGCACGCTGGAGGATCGCGCTCTGCGCTTTGATCTGGTTAATCTGCTCCGTCGAGTAGGTGAGGAGCTGGTCGCTGAGCTCCTTCGAAAGGTAGTATGCGCGCTGGTACTGGAATTTGGCCTCCGCGGGCACTTCTGTGGGCTTATCGGGCGTGCCGTTCGGCTGCACCTTGTTCACGACGACCGCAAAGTAGTCCACAAAAGGGGCCAAGCTCTAGAAGAAGAACAAAGACGTCATCAGCGTTTCAAGTCCACGTGTAGATTAGGTTGAGAGCTAATTTGACGGGAACATGCTAAGAGTGGCGCATATTGCGTACCTGGTCGATGCCCTGCGCTATATTGTATGCGGGTGTGCGGACACGGGCATCGATGGTCTTCGTGGCGACGTCCCTCGCAGCGTCGCTGCGGCCCTTTAAGTCCTTGAAGATGTCCTCCGTAGGCGTGTGGAAAGGATAAGGAAAACGCTGTTCAACGAGGTCGAAACCCTTGTTGGCGAGTCCATCAGCACGGGTGAGGATGGGTGCGAGGCGCTGCTGGACAGGCTCGGTGTAGCTGAGGGCGCGCTTTGAGATCTCTGTGGCCGTGGTGTATGTCGGACGAGTGTAAGGGTTGTTGAGAAGGGTCGAGTTGATCGAGTTTATCGAGTCCGCGATGAGCGGGATGGACCCGACGCGGGAGAGGATGGTGAGCTCAGGCGTTGCGGGTGCTTGCTGGGTCTCGGTGGCCATTGCTGTTTGTACAGCAGCGAGTGTGGTGGGAGACGGGGAGAGTGGGAGAAAATGCAGCAGGAGTTGGGATTGTGATAAGCAGCGCGAGAGCGAGGCGTGCGTTATATGAGGAGACGCGTGGGGCATGTGATAGTGCCCCGATCGCCCTCCAGATCGCGACTCTTCACGTCAAAGCTAGACTAGCGCCCGATTGAGATGCCGGCACGGGCGTCTGTGCCTGCGACGTTCCCGTTTTGGGCGTGGAGTGCACGTGTGGGACTCGGAACTTGGCCTCGGTCGTCGCCCTCGTCCGCTGCATCAGCAGCTCGCTGCACCGCACGTTGCCCATCGCACTCGACAATTTTCCATCTCGCGGCCCATCTCTGCGCGCGGGGGCATCACCCTTCGCTCGTTCTGGTTGGTGAGCTCCAGAATCACAGGCGTGCGCGTTCTCATGCTCGCGGCCTCTCGCGGCGCGCACTCGATCTGTCTCGAGCTTCACATGCCGACATCTTCTCGCCATCGTCTCCACACACGCCTGCAGTTCTCGATTGTCACCGCCTCGCTTGTGATGCGCTTCGTCTTCCCGCCGACTTTCCTCCCGATTTCCACAACCACTTAGACCGACTCGTGAGCCAGCGATGTCCCGCTACGCTCCCCAGTTAGCGCAGAACCCCATGCTTGCGGTGCGTCCACTCTGAGACTACCCACGGTAGGTAGGCCACGTCCCCAGATCCTGCAATGGGGCTTGGCAGGCAAACACAAGACCGATCGATGGATGTGTACTAGTACATCACCCCTGTGGATGCTGGGGGTGGGGGCGAGAACGACTTTTCCCCACACACGATACCCCAAAGTACGTATCTGGAATAGGAGCTACTCAACGCCGTCTGGGTGCTAGTGTGCTATCTGACTGACCGTGGCGCATCGTAGGAATGCAATCACAGATTCACAGGTCATTTGGGTACGTTCGTATCCACCGCTACCCTAAAACTGCGCATGAATGTGTGACACGGCCAGCCAGTGCCGCAAAAGAAGCGGAATGTAGAACGTAATAGGCTTTAGTCTCCCTTCGTTCGGAAGCGCGTCTAGATAGAACTGCACTACACATGGAACCCTAGAAACCATACAATTCAACGCATCGTCCGTTGTCTCTCAACCGTACATCCAGTGCCATTCAACACTCTAGCAAACACGTGTTTTGCAGATCTGCGCTGTCTAATAGCACAGATACTTCGATCATACACTAATAGACCGCGCGCAAGTGCGGCACTCCCACCACCATTCACATCGGTCTATACATGGCATCCGTCGAGGTCACGGGCCCATGTCGATCCCCAGCGTCCGGAACGACTAGCTGTCTATAATCGCATCTTGATCCTGCACCATACCTCGGGACTAGCCACACGCAGCCATGTCGCGCACTCATCTCCATGAAGAACTCGCCGAATCGAAGGCTATCGTCACCGCAGACACACAATATGGCACCATCCAAGGCCGTCGTGCCGCGAACGGAGCCGCCGTCTTCCTAGGTATATATGTCGCTCGTTCATCAACCTGGCATCTCTGGCGCTGACGATCATCCGTATCGCGATCGTTGTCCTGATCCACTAGAGGTGCCATACGCGCTCCCTCCAGAGAGGTTCGCCGATCCTGTGCCGCTGCCTGCGAATTACAGATACGAGGCGAAGGAATACATCTTCGAGAGCAAATGTGCGTCATATCTTGGAGATCTGATCGCATGCTGATCTGGTGCATCATTCGTACACGCGCGAATCTGAAGATGCTGCGCAGCCCAAGAACGACGGGCAGGCAGGAGGTTCGTCACGATCTCTGCTGAGGATTCACTGCACCTGGTTCTATGCGGTAACATCTTGTGACGATCAGGAACGCCGTTCGAGGACAAGGTCGGGCTCGGGGAGCCCAGCGAAGACCCGTAAGCTTCAAGTCGCTCTCTGCACTCGCTTGTCCGCTCATTATATGCGCTGACAACCACCTATCGCAGACTGTTCGTGAACATCATCTGCCCACCCTCCTACCCCGCGCAGACGGGCTTCCCCGTGAAGGTCTATATCCATGGCGGGTGAGGCTCCGCCATAACATACCCCGTCGCACATCTGCACGCCATTGACGCGGTACATGTGCCCACAGGTTCCTGCAGTTCGGCTCGCCGCATGGGCTCGGATCGCAAGCGCAGTACGTTGCGGCCGAGCGTGCGGAAGTGTGGGTTAATGTCGGGTACCGCCTCTCTGCGTTTGGCTTCCTTGCGTCCGACGTGCCACGGATCGACGGGAACTTTGGGTTCAAGGACCAGTGGCTGGCGCTGCTCTGGGTGAGGGAGAATATCAAGGCGTTTGGGGGTGCGTTGTCACGTCCATGATATGGGGTTCGTTCACCACGAAGGGCGCTGATCGTATACCCCAGGAAACCCGGACGACATACAGCTGTCGGGGTTGTCCGCCGGTATGTCAGAGCGTGGTATACGACGAGCCGCTACTCACGATGTCGGTGCACCTCCCAGGCGCGCACTCTGTCCACCAGATCCTCCATCATGCGTCGCGTCTCCCCGAAGGCGTCAAGGCGCCCTTCGACTCGGCCATCATGCAATCCAACGGCATAGTGTCGGTATCCTCTCCACTTCCTCAAACCGTCCGCTCACGTTCTCGCACACCCCCATCAGAACGGCCCCAAAGACCCCCGCAGAGCTGCGCCCGCAATTCACAGCCCTCTGCCGCGCCCTCGCGCTCGACCCCTCCTCCCCCACCGTGCTCGACACCCTCCGCGACCCCGCCAAGGTCCCCTTCTCCGCGATCACGCACGCCATCGAGACAGACGCTCTCGGGATCGAGAACGGCACCTTCCGCGGGGCCTGGGAGGCGTCCTGGCTCGGGGAGTCGCCCGACCCGATGGAGTGGCAGCGCACGGGCGGGCTCGCGCGCGGGCTGCGTGCGCATGGCGTGCGGAGCGTCGTCATCGGGGACCTCACTGAAGAGTGGTATCTGTACTCGATCGCGCACCCGATCTCGAGCGTGAATGAGCTTTACAGGAATCTGGAGAGGTACTACACAAAGGACGTGGTGAAGAAGATGCTGGACGTCTATCTGGAGGAAGAGGAGGGCGAGGGGGCGGGTAAGGCGTTGGGGGAGAAGACGCCCGAGGAGCTCGAGAGGCTGTTCGGGAAGGTGTTGAGCGAGGGGCAGGTGCACCTCCCGGTGAGGCTGTTCGCGAGGGACATGCTCGCTGCTGGCTTTCCGGTAGTGAGATATGAGATCAGATGGACGCCAGAGCAATTGCGACCGTTTGGTGGGTCTTTTGGATTGCCGTTTCGCTGTCCAGCGTTCACTCGTTTACCGTCCTAGGTTACGTGACGCACGGAACGGATCGGGCCCTGTGGGCGCTGCGACTACCTGTTCTTGAAGGCGATCAAGGGACCGTCGCGCGGAACTGGATTTCTGCCATTACGCAATACGTCAAACGAGCCGAGGCGGGAGACACTCTGCCACTGAAAACTGTAGTCACTTTGTCGGAGGACAGAGCAATCCGCGAGGTGGAAGATTCCAAGTGGGACGAGTATATGCGGCTGCGGAAGACACTTCCTGGCGAGACATAGTGCCCCCATTTCTCGCAGAAGAGATATCACAACGTAGTGTCATATTCACATACATCCGTACAGGGTTATCTCCTGGTGGGCTCTTGGTTGCTTTGATCTGGCCAGCATGCACAGCGCTGATTGCTTGATCGAGATACTGAACTTGCATGTTAGGCGTTCATGTCATCAGGAGCGTCGTAGTTAGGCTACTCGGAATTCATAGTATGGGTTTATGTATCCTCACGGATAACACAGTTTATGCAGACAACCGTTCAGACCTTCTGTGATTTCAGATGGGTTTCCGCCGAATGTCGAAGGTGAGGACAGGAAGCTTGACAGTGCAACTCAGCGCTGTGGTCAAGTTGCGCCTCGTGGACCCGTCAGAGGGATGGGCTGCAAGGTTTTGGGTGAGTAGCAGGTGCGTCTCCCGGTGACGCTGTCTGCGAGGGACATGCTACATGCGGATATTCCGGTCGCCAAGGACGAGTTCATGTGGGGCTGCGACCATTCAGTGCGTCGTCCGTGTCTTCCTGCGCATTTCTTCTGACGTCCACAATCTGGTCATTTACAGATCACACGACTCATGGAATGGATCGTGCTCTGTTGATCCTGCATCTTCCTGTCATGGAGGACGATCGAGGGCGTATGGCGCGGAAGTTGTTCCCCACAATTTTGAAGTACGTAAGACGTGCTGAAGCGGGAGACACCTTGCGTCGCACCGGAGACTTGAGTGACCCTGACTGAGGATAAGGTGGGCCAGGTTAGCAACACGTCCTGCGTCGCCCAGGCTTGGACTGTATCGATGTGACTGGACTATCTGAGTATGGGTATCAATGATTCTAACCTGATTGATCTACTCATAGGTGGTCAGTGACAAGTGTCGCATTGAAGTCTCCCGCCTAGCGCAGGTCGTAAGGGGGCTTCATACGATGGCATGAACCTCCCATCGGCTCTCAGGTCGCAATTAAATCCCGAGCTGACGCCCTCACGTTCAACAACAGACATACTACAAGCGTAGGAAGATACACAGACGCAGTAGAGTACATATACATTTGATGGAAAGATATTATAAATCATACAATAAACTATGACATGTACACATCCTCTGATTACTCACGAAACACACAGGGCACTCAGAGAACGATAGAATCAGCGGGATACGGCACCAAGCCGGCATTATTGATAGGAAGCGGTGAATTCTGGGAAGGGGTTGCCATCGAGACCTCCAAAGTGACCGTCAGAGAATAGACTGCATTTGCTCGTAGGGCCCGAAGCAGGCATGTTGAGAAGGTTGGCAGGGGGCACTTGTGACGACCCTTCGGCCAGGAACATTCCCACCTGCGCATCTGCGGCAGTCGATCCTGATTACAATGTATCGACATCAGCTATAGCTCTGAAAAACCGAAGACGTTGAAGATCACTTGCCATCTCCATCCTCGGTAGCGATCTTCCTCTTGCGGTATCCACGCTTGGAGGAAGGATAGATGCACGACGCCGCCAGGCCGCGCCTCGTACATCTGTCGCACGGACGGCCTTCGTCGCAGGTCTTGTGCGCGTCGCAGCAGTTGTTGCACTGCATGTAAATGAGTCATGACTGCTCAACACACGGCCTGGGTCGCCGAATGGCACACTCACGGCGACTTTCGAGCGCTTGCTTTGGACCCTCGGATGTTGTCTGCTTTGTTGATCGCCACGCCTCCTTACGCGCCGCGGACCAGTGCTGATGTCCTGATGGTTCGAAGACGTGATGCCTTGCGGGGCAAGGGTCGGTGCCATCACGCCCGCGAGAGGGTCATCAATTGGTCCGATAGCGGCGGTGGGGTCGGTGAAAGGTTGAGACGCTTGCGTACCGGTAGTGGAGTAGGTTCCATGCAACAGCGCTAATGCAGCAGTAAGTCAGACAATGTCTTCTGCTGCGAGATGCATGAGAGTTCTGAGGGTGTATCGTACCCAAGTAGTGAGATACATGCATGGTCACGATTGCTCCGTCGTGTGGGAGGGTAGGAGCGGTTTGGGGGTGGGCCGGGCTCGTTATTCCGTGATGAAGGAGTCCAGTATCAAGAGGACTTGTCGAAGGAATGAAGGAGTTGTAGATGGTTGGATGTGCGGGGTATGACATCTCTTGGGTGCAACTAGATAGTGTGTAGTACCGGGATATATAGGTTGTGTTGGCTGACGGGAGGGTAACCGATGTAATTTGCATGGCCTGGCAATGAGGTTGGAGGTCGCCCGCTTTAAATGCCAGATAGAAGCGAACAGCCATTTCGACACCGATAGACGACGACCGTAGGGTGGTAAAAGGGGTCAGAATTCCGAACGTGGGGCTCCGCTCCGGGGGCGGAGTCTGCTGGACAACATATCATCCCAGTCACCTCACTCCGATCTCTGACAGCACAGGAATACCACGCGGCCAAGTTAACTTTGTAAGACCTCCGTCCCCAGACGCCGATAAATTTCAGGTAGATAGAGCGCGCTGTTTCGTGAGCACGGACTGAACGGAGGCATCAATTTGTCATGGGTTCCCCGCTGGCGTCTGTTAATCTTTGCAAAGCAACCGAGGGGGGAGACGAACGCAGGAAACGGGTGCTAAAAAGAGGTACACGATAGACTTGATGCGAGCCGGAGCGCGATGCGGGAGGAAAACGTGAACATCTGCGGGGCATCTGGAGACGCCAATCTTTTCCCACGAGCTACACTTACATAGCTCGCACCGCCACACAGCAATCTCCCATACTTTCCTCTTTCAGAACCAGAACAGCAACCCGCACCGTTTCATCTGTATCTTGGTTTTCCTCTACCATTGCTCGTGTCCTTGGCTCCAAACGATCTTCACAAAGCGGTGTTGGGTCGGCACTTCCGAGTACCTGTCACCTCCCGCGGAGCCCGACATCGGCCCGATACCGTATACGTGTCTATATGATGATTTGCACATCAAATCGACCACTGGTAAAGTTGGTACAAGAATTGGTTGTGGCCGTGGCAATCTGGAAGAGCCTTTCATCCTGACTCCATAGCAATTGGATAGATTTACAGCTCAGATCAGTGATGTCATTGACCACCGGTCTGGCCTACATATTACAATACAGAGCCAGTTAGCGAATGGCCACTCTGACTGACCAGTGAGTCACCCGTTCAGTGACGCTAAATCACTTAGATTGCTGTTTCACAGTGTCTCTCCCCCTTCCGCTTCGCCGGAGCTCGATCTCGTTCTTGCCTGTGCCAACTGGTCCTTAGGTGACCGCCTCATCTTCCTTTGTACTCCTCCATGCGCATCCGTCGCACCCGGGAGCGGGTTGATGCTTTGCATTCGGCAAGTAGCAAAGCACCTCCATCTGCAGCTGTGCCCATCTTCGGCCTGACGTTCTCATTAAAGATACACCCCATTTGGAGGCGCTAGATCATCTTGGAGGACAGCGATGTCACAACTGTATTTGCACGAAAATGTACAGCAACGACAACGACAACAACCACCATGTCTCCGCAGTCACGAAGATGTACACAACCAAGTTGCTTGTGCGAAACGCATCGAGTTGGTCATTACGTACGGCGCGTCTATCGCAGTAGATGACTCGAAGCCCCGACTCGGCTCGGACCCTTGCCGCTGCGACTTGCCGCTGGCTCATCGGAGATTCGCTTGCATGGGTGTAGGTCTCTCCACTTCTCGAGGCCATCTGAAATTGTCCTTCAACGACTGGTGCTACTCCGTCGGTGAGTATTATCTTGGATATCTCACACAATCTGATCGCATGCTGGTCTGGTGCGTTATTTGTACATGTGCGGAATCTGAAGTGCTGCGCAGCCCGAGAACGACGGACAGGAAGGAGGTTTGTCATGATCCTAGCGGAGGATACACTACACCTGATTCTATGAGGTAACAACTTGTGACAATCACGAACGGCGTTCGAGGACAAGGTCGGGCTCGGGGAGCCTCGTGAAGACCCGTAAGCCTCGAATCGCTCTCTGCTGCTCAATATACGCGCCGACAATGACACGCTGTAGACTGTTCGTGAACACCGTCTGCCCACCCTCCTACCCCGCGCAGACAGGCTTCCCCGTGAAGGTCTATGTCCATTGGCGGGTTGCATGCTTGTTCTACTTCTATAGTCTATCATTCAGGATACGTGACCCACGGAACAGATCGTGCCCTGTGGGAGCTGCGACTCCCTATTCTCGAAGGCGACCGTTGCGCGGAAATGGCTTTCTGTTACTACGGAATGCGTTAAATAAGCCGAAGTGGGAGACGTCTTGCTACTGAAGGCTGTGGTCGCTCTGACAGCTGGCAGGGATATCCGTGAAGTGGATGATGCGAAGTGGGACCAGTATATCCGCCTGCGGGAGACGCTTTCTGGGGAAACGTGATGGCACCTCAGCATGATATGTGGGTGTTTGATGGCTCGACCGTATGGTCACAAATCACGCTGATGGGAATTGTAGGTAATTGAACGTATCCGCCGCACTGGTAGGAGTGCTATGATAGCAGATGTGGTCGTCCAAGTACAGGGCCATTTGCTCACCCCCCACTACTCTAGCAGACCATCTGACATAGCGTTAGGCGGCTGGGTGGTGTTCTTGGCTGAGTTTCCCGGGCCGCTGGGAAGCGCGAGCCTTCGGATGGAATAAAGAACTTCACGTGGACTGGACCAGTACGTATTCTGTGATGGCCGTCTCCACTGGCCGGTATTCGCAAATCGAAGAGTGTAATGATATATCAGTTACGTCTGTCGCAGGCGGAGAGACTGCTTGTAACTATCGCGCCTGGGCTCTGTGCCTGACCCTCTAGGGTCCTCCTCACGTCTCAATACACCCAGTCCGGAGCCTGAGAGCTGGGAGTCAAGATGAGGATCATGTCGATACGAGGTAAATACCTAGTGTGGGCTATCACGGGTGCGTCGCTGTTCGCAGACTGCTTTGGGGAGTCGACGATACACAATGTGTGCGTGCAGCATGTTGTTGCCAGGCATTCCTATTACTGGGCTACGATCAAGGGGTCATGTCAGGCATTGTAAGCGACCGTTCCATTCATGGGTCTCTGTCCCGCTCTACCTAACCACTTCATAAAAGATCGGCGCAGAGAACCAGTTTGGCGAGGACTTCGGTCGTCCAGACCCAACTACGCAAGGAACTATCGTACGTCGTGGACTAGTCTAGTACCGATTCCTGAAGGCCGATGATGCTCTTGCAGGTTGCTATATACGTATGTCGGCTATGGCGGACATGCATGCATAGGTGTATTAACTGTAGCGTCCCGGGAATCCAGGATATCGGGTGTGCAATCGGTAGTCTGACAACGTTCTTCTGGGGAGAGAGCATAGGACGAAAGCGCATGATTATGGCTGGTGCGTTCACCATGCTACTCGGAACGGTATGCTCTCCTGGCGCTCCAGAGCTTTACCTCATGCTGATCATGCACCTCAGGCAATTCTCACAAGCTCTACCACGTTGGCGCAGCTATATGTGGGACGGATCATGACTGGGATTGTAAGATTAAAAAGCTGCTGCGATGCCATTCAAGAAACCCATACTTTCGCAGGGAAATGGATTCAACTCTTCGTCAATCCCAGTATATCAGAGCGAAATGTGCGGCGGCATGATCAGAGGAGCGCTTGTCTGTCTCAACTCGACGGTGACCATCATTGGCCTTGTGATCGTGAGTCTCGAAACTGTGGGAGGCTTTCAGCAACAGATTGACATGGCTGCGTACCAGGCTTACTGGCTAGACTATGGGATGTCCTTCGTCGGCGGTCCAGCACAGTGGCGACTACCCATCGGTTTCCAAGCTTTCTTCGCACTCTGTCTCTTCTTACAAGTTCTCGTCCTCCCTGATAGTCCACGTTGGTGCATGGCTCATGGACGCGGGGAAGAGGGCGCCCGAATCCTTGCTCAGCTGGAAGATCGTGACTCACCACATCACCCGGATGTCGTTGAGAAGCGTAAAGAGATCGAGGTCTCCCTTGCGCAAGAGAGTGCTGGGGGACCCTTCCGATACCGCGAGCTCCTTGAAGGCGGGCCTCTGGGCAACTTCAGGCGGATATGCCTGTGTATCGGCGTGAACGTCATGCAGCAGTTCACGGGGTGCGCCAGATACTAACCGCCATGCATACCGCTGCTTACCGGCCCCCTTCTATAGTGCCAATATGATCAAGCGAGTCTTGCAGGCACTCTTCATTGAGTCACGACAAACGAAGACTGACATGCATTTTGCAGCTACCTTGCGCCTATAGTGTACCACAATACGATGGGCCTATCAAGGAATCTCTCGCTTCTCCTGGGTGGCTTCACTGCTGTCACGTACATGCTTGCGTCGTTCATACCACTATGGGTAGGTTACCTTTGTATAGCTCTCAACCGTGGCTGACCCAGCATCGCCAGACCGTGGATCGGTTTGGACGCCGCTTCCTCTTGATGACGTCGGCAACGGGACTCTCTGTCTGCTACATCCTTGCGGCTACCCTTCTTTCAAGGAATACGAAAGGTGCAGCATACGGTGCGACAGCCATGATGTTCCTCGTCCAGATCTTCTTAGGAATTGGATATCTCCCAATCGTAAGCCTGTCGACTAGAAACAGTTGCACAAACCTCGCCTCTGATCGTTGTGTCGCGTTCATACAGCCATGGCTCTATCCCGCAGAGGTATCTCCTTCCCCTGCTCGAGTCTCCTGTCCGCGCTGAGTAGCATACGCGCAGATCACGACCACGCGCATTCGCGCCCGCGGCTCCGCGATCTCCTCCTTCTTCAACTGGATGTGCGTCTTCGCCGTCGTCGAGATGACCCCGCCCGCGATCGCGAACATTGGCTGGCGCGTCTTCATCATCTTTGCCATCTTCAACGCGCTTTGGGTCCCGCTCGTGTACGTCTTCTTCCCTGAGACGAAAGGGCTTGAGCTCGAGGACGTCGACCATATCTTCGAGAAAGGTGGTTTTACGGGCGGGGTGTGGAGCAGCCCGGGCGGACGGACGGTTGAGCGGAGGAGGATTGCTAGAGGCGTGGAGGACAGGGAGGGAGGTCCAGAGGAGAAATGGAAGGCGCAGGCGGATGTGCGGATTGAGGACAGTTCTGCTGTGAGAGCGGAGGCTGTGAAGGGCGAGAAGTAGTACGAAACATTGTGCTAACGGGCACAACAGTTATGACCTCAGCCTTTCTCTGTTGGACTGTACAACATGATATATATTCATTTTGTGATTAGACTCCCGCTTCCGATAGTGGCATACCCACGCACGGCCAAGAATGCAGGCCAAGAATGTATGCATCGCGTTCCGGGGATAAGGGCATCCTGCATCAACGGTATAGACACCAAGACTAGAAACTGACAGTACGAGACAAAGGCTATAGGGCTGACAAGAGACAAGGTAAAATATAACCGCCAAGGAGAAGGGTTCGCATACAGTAGATCAGCGAGTAGCAATGCTAGAACTTGAGACTGGGCTACGAAATCGAAGCGTAGTAAAGCGTAGTTGAGCAAGGGCCGGCAACAAGGGACGCAGTCTTATGGCGTGCTGTAGAAATATGAACTGTCGAACACGGTCTCGTCAGAGGTTGAAGATATAGACGTAGGCTGTAGGGTTGAAGGGTATGGTATTGTCGAGTCACCTCTACATGCTACTACGTGTGGTGGCACTACAATACGGAAGAACGTTAGCGATAACGTGAGCCGTCAGCAGGGAAGCTGCGGCAACGTACCAGGCGGTGAGCTCGAATCTGACATGCTCACGGATGATGTCGTGATGATGTTGCCAGACTTGCGTATTGGCGTAGCTCTTCGTTTGCGCCTGTGGTTGACGCAGCTTGAGCTGATACCTCGCTTAATGCAGCGTTGACAGGGACGACCATTGTTGCAAGGTTTCCTTGCCTCGTGACAGTGATTGCACTATGTACAAGTCCAGGATGCGAGTAAGCATTACCGCAATTCCCCTTGAGAGAGTCACATTCGGTCCACGTACAGCAACGTTCACTTTCCGACGTGCATGCCGTGGTGTGGCAGCCTCGACAGATGTTGACCCAGCGTCCGGTGCTGAGTCGACGATGGCTGTGCCCGCAGTCCCGGTAGCATTGTTATACGCGCTCGCTGAGGGAAGCGCCGGTATTGAGGGGAGAGGGACGGCAGGCGATGGCAGAGACGTTCCCGAGAAGCCGAGAAGATCTATAGGCAACCGTGCTGCTCAGCGACATGGCAGCCCGCTCGTGGAGTGATGGCACCTAGATAGTGTGAGACGGGCATAACGACGACGGGCCCGTCGAACACCGACGTGGGCTGTGTAGCGTAGACATGTGGGAACTGAGTCGCGACGGGGAACAGCACCGAAGACTGCATAGGCATCTGCGAATGCTCTTCCTGCGGCTGCGTCTGGTAGTTCGAATCCATGTGGGGGACCTGGAAGGGTTGAGTCATGGCGACAAGGAGCTTATAAGTGCCAGAAAGCGGGACGCACCACTAAGGTAGCGCTGCCGTCTACTTCCTTTCTGGTACGGACGCCAGCACATTCGAGAGCCTTCCATCGTCGTCCCCCAAAGGAAGCTGGAACGTGCGCACAATTTGACATTGACCGTGTGACTTTGCGGTCAAACTGCTGCGGCCACCGCCTTCCTATTGTGCCAAGATCGGCCGTCCGATGTCCATATCCCGCCTTGCCAAGATCGGATATTTGTGTGAAAAGACGGTAGCAATGAGGGAGACAAAGTGAGGAGTTCGGATAGAAACGAACGGGCAGGACAATGGCGATCCGATGATATATCGGGATATACTAGCAGCGCAGAAAAGCGGAATTTATCGCGTCCTCGGCCGTCTCTCCTACGGAGAATTGCCCACTCTAAGACAACGTGTTCCTCGTCAGACACAATTTATAGGGAAGAAGCACCATTCACAAGTTTTCTCCATCCTCTTCAAGCGATACCTTGAATGTTCACCCTCTGGAATCGTATATCAGAGCACGACATGCGGGCTTCCTTCCGTGATATAAGAGCACCATTACTGGGCTAAATTCGAGATATATGGAAGGATCCAGGTTGCAGACTTGGGCCCGTTTAAATGCTCAGTGAGGCAACACCTGCAGAAAGCGTTGAATTTATAGAGAATTTATAGATCAATACGGCTCTTAAAGGGCGGGCGGACTGAGCTCATATCAATACAGAGAAAGACCCAAGTTGTTGGAGGCAGCCAACAGCAAGGCGCGCCTAGATCATGATAGGCTGCCAGACATATGAGATGCAGACGCGATACCGAGGGCATATAAGAGGACCCGGTTCGTAAGAAGGAATTTCAAGGAGAGAATAGAAAATGCAGAAAGAAAGAAGACGAAGGCCGAGACGAACCGATAGTCCTGCTCTAACGCTTCCAACGGAAATCGAGATGAGAAGTACATGTACGCACTGAGATTCCAAGAAATCCATCTTTGCTCCAATCTAGCTGTAACACCGGACTCACAATGTGTTGCACCTCAAGAGCTGACGAGAACGGGCCGCTTGGGATTAGTAGAGAGTTCCTGTGAGACTTGTCCAAAACGGTGCATTTTCTGCAAGAGCCTCAGACCAGCGACGCTAGCGTATAACTCGACTAGAAGAAGATTCTTGAAGCATGGGGCGTCCAAGGCAGTAGAGGGTGTTGCTTGACGATAGTCTATATTGTCTCCGAGAGGGCAGCCACAGTTGAGAAGGGAAGATAGATCGGAAGAGCAAGGGGACCATAGATGTTCTGAGCAAGCGTATTGACAGTCGCGACAGGGGCGAGAGGCAGCGCTGTGGCTGTCAGGCGCCAGCCACGTGGAATGTGGGAGCGCCGCCACGCGGGAGCGCGGCTTTCTGGACTGAACCCATCCGAGGATGTCAATACTCCGAATGTTCACTCGCTCGTCAACAGCTCGTCTACTTGCGGTTATACTGCACCATTTTCCTCCTCTCCAAGTACTCTTAATCTAACACCCATAACTTCTGTATCTTCGCCACCAAGGGAGTACCGGTGTTCCCTCTCAATTAGGTGCTCAAGAGACAGCTGCGAGCAAGGCCCTACACACATGGCCAATCGCTCGATCAGCTATCGTCCTGCACATAGCGCTCTTTGGCATTAGTTCTATCGACGACATCCCGAAAGAGGTTGCCTCTCGAAGCTTTTTTCATGATCATTGCGGCTTTCAAGTCAGCCTCCCTGCATGTCTGTCTTTCCGAGGTATCCCAAGAACTACAGGAATAGATTATGGTATTGAACGACTCGGAGTGCAAGACCACCTCAATGACAATACGACTACCCGAGAGGACGCAGGTCAAGATATGTATACGACCATTTCGCCGCTTACCACAGCATCCTACACGGCCTGGTTGCGATCAACATGTATCCGCAATCGAAACTCTTCAATTAGTTGATCCCATCCTCTCCTGCTTCTGCGATGGAGCGTATGATGCAAGCGAACATCAAACTCAATTCAATTGCTCGATACTTATTTTGCGCTTTATAACGATTGCCTCCGCGACAGAGCGGAAGACATGTTAGTGGATTGCATACTTGTGGGGGAAACGTCCAGGTATGCGGCTCTGGTCAATTGGAATCATATCGCTGATAGCTCACTCTCGGTCTTCCGATGGGACGCCGTTCGCGCGGGGAACGTACGAGTGGATTGCGGAACGGTTGTTCACTGGGCTGGACTTTGATTGCTTCTACGTGTGTTCTCTTGCTTTTCATCTCGGCACAGTACTCTCTCTCACCTTGCTCTAGCTTGAATACGCCACAGACGATGCGGGGAGCATTGAGCCGTTGAGGTATTTCCCAAGAACAAGTACCTTGTACTCGACCCCGTCTCTACGAGATGCCAGAAGAAATGTACTTTCGTCCCGCTTGTCGCCGGTGGCTGAAACGTGGAGATAATCCTGGCGTAGCCCGAGGACCGAGCAGCGCTACGCGCGCGCATCATGCAGGCAGCAAACGTCATAGCGCACAGGGAGGTTCCGAGGCCGGTGGAGGAGGCGCTTGACCAGTACGTACATTTTTCAATACACGTTGACATTGCGGGCCTGTCCTGAGGGCTAGTTGGGTTTGTCGCTAGCTGGTGGTGCTAGGGTATCCATCAGCCCGCAATGCCACTTCGCGTCGCACTCGCGTCGCTTCGCTTGGATCACTCACGAGGTACGCGTCCTCAGATATGTCTTGCGTCACCGCATGAGCTAAGCGATCCTATGTCGGCGCACAGGACATGTTGAAGAAGCTGGAGCTGGTGAGGGATGTGGCGCGAGGGGTGGGGGAGGGGAGAATCCGCAAGTCGTAGCGTGCCTCCACTTCGATTTGCTCTCGTAAATCACGATGGTACTGACCCATCAGTTAGTCAACGAGGACTCCCCAGCCTGCTTTCACCTCATCAAACTGCCGACTTGAAGTTGGTGACCAAACTCTTCGCTTACCAGACCGAGCTACATGTTTTCCGTCACTATTTGTATTCTCGGTAAACAGCGAGTTTAGCTTTTGACCTCGCATCGCAAACGATACTGATGGTTTGGCCTCATGGCAGTTTGCGTGCTCGTGATATGATGACATACGCCGTACGCGGTGCGCGAGCTCTACGTCCGCATTCCTTGTCGATTTCAAAGTGGATCGACATCACCACAGACCCACTCGCAAGGTTTCGTATGTTTGGGCTGTGCATTGGAGCCTCTGCTGCTGGCGCAACTCATGTGACCGCGTCAGGTCCTCTCCAACTCCCCGAACCTCATCCTGCAAAGGGAAGTGGCCACTCAATCGCATAACCTAATCCCGTCACAGTGGAGCCTTATGCTTTGACTCAGTGGCCCGAGGGTTGGGAGCTCTGAATGCCTTCTCCAGCTCCAATGCTGCCAAGTGGCTCTCTCACTGGAAGCGTGTGCACTGGTGCGGGATCCACGGAAGACAGTGGTACATAATGACAGAGAGCCGACGGAAGGCCACTCTCCATCCGCTGATGCGCATGTGCTTAGTCAGTCTAACGTACAGAGAACCAAGTATCGTCGTCGAGATCACGAACGAGGTCTGCCTCGATGTCCACATCGCCGTCGGCCGCACTCAACCCGAGCACTAGTGCGCATGCCCCCCGCGCGTTCCACGTCTCGTCTCGGGACTCGCGGCGTTCAAGGACAAACCCACGCTGCCACTATTCGGCCGGTCAGCAGGCGCAGACCCAGGGTCACAGTGCCGTCTGCGATTGGACGGACGGCTTCCGGAGAAGAGCAGCGGGCGCCAGCTGCACCTGCGAAGCACAACGGAACTTCGCGCGAGAGCTAAGTAGGAGCTAGGAGCTAGGAGCCGGGCCACCGGACGCTCGCCCACGAGAAAGCCGCGGGGCATGGCGTAAGTGCGGGTTCTTACATAAACATGATGCTCGGAGGCCAGCTCACGAATGTCTATGTTGCGGGGTGGGAAAGGGGTAAGCATTATGGAGGGGGATATGGGACGCTAAGTCTACAAGAGGGACATCGAGGTGTCGTAAAAGTACAAGAGGGGTGGGGAGAGAAGTACAGAGGTATACGTACATGGACGATGGTGGAGATGGCGATGATGCAACGAAGCACAACACTGTCCAGGGATAGACATCGTTTGTGATGAGACGTGAGATGCGAGGTGAGATACGGGAGCGGGCAGCAATGAGTGGAGATGCGATCCAGTGCTGGGAACGATACAAGGAGAGTGGGAGTTTGCCAGATGGGACAAGAGCGGGAAACAAACAGGCGAAGAGTACATGCAACGGACAAAACCGACGCCATGGTGGCGTCGCTCGTAACAACGGGATCTATAGTTCCTCAGCGCTGCGCGGTGCCATTGGCGTCAGCACGGTCGCTCCAAGAAAATGAGACAGGAACCGTTACTCACCGTCACAGCGCCAAGTCAGTCATCTCCACGAGAACGGGATCCTCCCTCGTTCACCGCGCGCTTTGGGATGGCATGTGAGCGGGGCCCCCGACAGTATGTCTGCGATGCAACTGCTTACCCTGGCCGCTGGATCCGCGCGAGTCCACCGAACCAGAGCCACGGCTGAAGATGCGCGCGAAGAAGGCCTTCTTCGGGCTGTCGTTTGCCGACGAGGGCGAGCGCGGCGACCTAGGCGACGACTTGGGCGTCGAAGTGTACACCGTGGCGGCGTTCGGCACCTGAGAGTGGACGCACGATGTGAAGGCACGAGCTCGGTCAGCATCCACCCAATCTCCGTCAAGGTTAACAGAATGAAAGACATGAGGTGAACAGCGTCGAGCGATCGGGACAAAGGCCCGAGATCGCGCAGTACGCAGTGAACCCTGCGCCCACGTTGGGAGATCTGGGGAAACAGGATACTCACGATGATCTGGACCTTCTGACCGGGGGATGGGAGGACGTAGTATGTGCTGCCAGAGGTGTCGCTAGACGTCTCGCTTGCACTGAGAGAAGGAGTGGGCGATCGGGTGCGCGGATGATCTCGAGAAGAGCTCGGGCCGCGACTCCGCCCTCGACTCGACAAGTGTTCTGTCGTAGATTGAGCGCGCTGGCGCGACCGATGCGACGAGGACCCTTGCGAAGGGGGGAACGGCGTGGCACCAGCACGCGCCTGGGGAGAGTACTGCGTCGGTAGAGGGAATGGATCGGATCGGCTGTAGGCAATTCCTGGCGCGGGCGCGCGATGGTGTCCGTGCGACGAAGGAGAATAGACAATAGCCGGGGGTTGGTAGTTTGACCGCCCACCGTGCCTACCCGACGGCGCGTAAACGATCGCAGGAGGAGAGTACTGATAAGGGAGTCCAGACTGTACTCTAGACGCAGCCATGCCCGGCTTTTCGTAGAATCGCGAACCTCCGTTATGGTGTCCGGCTGGCTGTGAGTGCATCTGGGTAACGGTGGCGGGCGAAGCCGCGATTGGAATGGGTTGGTTGGGAGATGTAGCATGACGGGCCGTGGGCGCGTAGACGCTCTGGTTGGAGGTGTGAAGTTGATCTGCGAGGGGAGGAACTCTATCGTGGATCGAGGGTTGCTGGGGGAAGGCATGCATCTGCGTAGACGCTGCCGCCATGCGCTGAGAATCATCGGGCTGCCGCGACGGCAGGATACGTATGTTCTCGGGCGACCGTGAGGGACTAATCAGAGGTTGGCCCGAAGGGCCTGCAGATGCATACCGCGAACCTGAGGCGTAGGATAATGATTGAGCATGACGAGCAGGCATGGGAGGCATGTCCGCTGGCGCAGGAGGGGCGAGAGATCCAGATCTAGATCGGGTGTGGCGGGAGCTCGATTGCGCAGATGGTCCGCCCCTGCTGTGTGGCGAATGACTATGAGAGATGGGGATATCTGGACGGCCGTCTTCATACCGCAGTAGCATACGAGGTGGAACGGAGTGAGAGCTGGATGCGTCCGACTCGCTGGGGCCGTAGCTTAGGACGCCCTCCTCGCTGAGAACCGACGGTGGGGAGGACGGCGAAGCGAAGTTCAGGCCTGCACCGTGGACGTTGACCCAGTTGACAGTACGCTCCCTGGCAGTAAGGAAATCATGGATGGCCTCGGGATCGGTAGCGTACTCAGTCATCACGGGCTAGAGCACGAAAGGGAGAGGACAAAGCAGCGATGGTGTGGTGACAGCTCGAACAAAAGGGTAGAACGCCGAGGAAGATAAAGATACTTATACCCTCCGGGTGGGACATACGACCCAGGGCGGCGGAAGGGGACGAACTCTGTAGGGGCGGGGATTACTGAGGTCACCTCTGCAGTTATCGAAATGAATACACACGAATTGCCATCTCCAGGTTATCGAGCAGGAACGTGTTCCAGGCGAGGCAACCGCGCGCGCATGCGATTATCGAGAACCGGCTAGATTGCAGCCACAGCATTCGGGCGCCGACACGATATTCGCCCACCGTGCCTCCCCTCCGCCTCACTCCGCCTCACTCCGCCACGCGTATTTGCGGCGCTCTTTCCTCTCGTAGCTGTCTTCTGATTCCTATACCTCTGCAGGATAGTCTGCTTTCGCCATGCTCGGATCTCAGAAGCCTGCGACACAGCCAAAGACATCTGCGGTTCATGCCACTACGACAACTGTACTGTATGTATACCGTGGTGGCACCCACAATCGCACCGCCGACCGAACTCGTCTACATAGCCGCCCAAGCGGTACGATGTATTCCAGACGCCGAGCCCACGCTTCTAGGCGTCCCGGTTTCTCATGATCGGAGAATCTCTGAATCGCATGATCAGGCCAGTCCTGCTCTGAAGCTCCCGTGTGCCTTTCGCCGCCAGTCAGGGACGCCCGCTTACGCCCACTAGGACATTCGAGCGTACGCTGACGGGTGGCAGTTGAAATCCATCGAGTCGTCGATGTCGGCTCGGCTTGTAGATAGATTGTTGTTCTTGACAGACATCCAGGAGGCGCGAGAGATAACTCAGGTAACCCAGAAAATTTACCGAACTCGTTCATCTGGGAGATTTCTGACTCATATCGCCTGCAGGTTTTCATTTGACACGCCAGCGGTCATCAAGCTCGGGCCTGACAGCGGGATGCTCGTGGGGCTGTCCGGTTACCTCCTGAGACGGGCAGGCCTGCGCAGGTAGGTAGGGCGACCACCTTTCCGACGTCGTTTTTCGGCCTCGTGTACTGACCGTTCGCTTCACCCTCCCTTCGTTGCAGGGTGTATCGAGTATCGTGGATGCACGCACACGATCCTCCCGCTGTCAAGCCTAATTACGCCACGTAACGCTAGGTTACTTTCGCGCGTCCTGTCTCCGCAGACTTACCGCCTCGGTGTCGGTACCGTCTCTTTCCTATCTCGGATAAGCCCTCCGGATCACCAGACATCGCTGGTCGGAAACTGTCTGGACACGGTCAGCTCTCCTTGGATATACATTCAGCGATACCTAGGATTCTTGGAAACGGTCCGACTCGATGCTCGACTTTGAGCTTCTCCTGCCGTTCTTGTGTCTTCGGTTCACACAGATCGACATGTGATGGCTCGTGGTTCTCATTTGCCGTCTCGTGAGCGGCGATGACATCGCACTGCCTCCAGTCTACGAAAGCCTATCCAAGGACAACCTGTAAGTCCTATACGCGCAATAGTATCTTGCCTTTTACATCACAAGGACGCTAACTCATTAGCGCAGAGATGGTGCAGGAGAAGAGAACGGCCGCAGTGCGATGCAGCATAGATAGCGTTTTGGCAGAAGCGCCGAAGGAGACCCACAGGTCTCCTGCTACTGCGGTACGCATGGCGCTATACAAAACTTTCATATGAACATAATGAACAGAGCTTCTCAGATGTCCAGCGGTTCCTGAGCCGCGGAAGCAAAGTTAGTCTTTTCCACGATACATTATCAACATCCCGGTTCGCCGCAGGTCAAGTCCAGCCCTGTGTCGCTCGCCGCATCGGCTTCGCAGGACCGTCCCTTACGCCCGACCACGTCTTCTCTACTTCATCCGCAACGCCCCACGCTCTCCTCGGCGTCGACGGCGTCGTCTCTAGCTGGTAACAGTGGCCACGCACGGACTCCCCGTGAAGTGGCGACACGCCTGGCGGCCGCTGCGACTTTGCCTCGTTTTTCATTCCCAAGCCTTCGCGAACCCATCGCGCCGCGTGTTCTGTCACTCGCTCTGAATACCCCATGGGCTGGCCGCGCTTCCACGTGGCGGACTGGAGTCTATTTGTGCTGCGCTGAACCTTACGTCCGTTCAGCCTGTGGTCGTCGAGTGCTTTGCGATCCACCTCCCACTTCTTGTCCGCGTCACTCTGCTGTTGTGGTCTAGCTGTGGTCCGGTCCTGTCTTCTCGTGTGCTTCCGACTGGTCGGGGTTCCGATCCTGACGTCCTCATCGGCATGTCCGGGAGCGCGCGCTTTGTTGTGCTTCGGGTGCTTCGACGCTGTCTTTTCTCGGGATCCCCAACACTGAGGGTGCCACCTTCACAGCCCACGCCGTTGACAGCATTGTCTTGTCGCTGTTGACTCCATCAGACTTTGTGCCATCAGGTACGTCACGCGCAAGACATCATCCGTCTGTATCCTCCTGATTGGGGATATTGGTACATCCCTGCTTGACGGAAGTCCGTTGATCTTGTCCTGTACCTGACACTTCAACACTTTGGCTCGCGGTTCCGCTTGCTGTACATACGGGACTTATGTGTAGTTATGGAGGTTCTTAACGGGCACATTAGTAAGTACGCTATCAAACCTTTAGGATCCTTCAATTACTCAATTTCTCCTATTCAGGCATCACGAATAGTTTCACGGGCGAGATGTTAATTATGACATTCAATTCATGCTATTCGATAATAGTTTATTCAGTACGTATCTCGCTCAATATCCAGTTTCGTAGGCCCAGTGCTTCCTTGGATAGCATTCGGTCAGTGCGGCCCGTCCAGGCTGCAAGTATGCCTCCGGTTGACAACCTACTGCCTCTGGGCGTCTATTTTGAGCGCGTGAGTACGTTGAGTAGTGACTGACGTCATTGTACGCTCATGGAGTCCACCTACTTAGCATACAGCAAGCCCGTTGCAGCGGCCACTCTCAGTCTCAGTCTCTTTACTCACAACACAAAGCCACCTTCTCGTCTACCGTTGATCTCATTCAGATGTCCTCCGCGCCGGTCGCCGTATCTGTCGCATACTCGACAGATTCTGCCGGTATGAATCCTTCGCACACGCTCCCAAACAAGCTTCGCGCAATTGCAGAGGCGGGATTCAACCAAGCAGAGCTAGGATTTCCGGATCTCGAAGCATATGCGGAACAAGAGTATCCTGGTTATAAGCAGCTTGACAGGAGTGGGAAAGGCGATATCGACAAGCTAGTCCAGGTTGCCGAGAACGTCAAGAAGCTCTGCGATGACTTACACCTGACAATACTCGCTGTACACCCGTAAGCTTCACTTTTCTCATTGAAATGTCATGGCCTCTCATGAAGGCAGCGCTGTAGCTTCGACAAATTTGAGGGGTATCAGGATTCAGCTAAGAGAACCGCCGGTTTCGAGAAAGCTGCTGCTTGGTTCAGAGTGCTGAAGGTAAGACCGTTTTCCTTCCGAATCCAGCATCGTACAATCTCAGCATCTCTACAGGCTCTTGGGTGTGATCTGCTACAAGTAGGTTCGACGCCTGACGAGTCTACCAGCGGTGATTATGACGTCATCTCCGGGGACTTGAGGCAGCTCGCAGACGAAGCTGCGGCTCAGGAACCTCCCATCCGCATGTACGAGTTCTCACTTCTAGAACCGTCCGAATTGATGACCGAGATCCCAATAGCGCTTACGAGCTCTGGGCTTGGGGTGCGCATGTGTACGTCACGTCGGTCTAGACCTCATATGAAGGTCTTCGCTCACCAAGCTCATAGAAACCGTTGGGAGCATGTCTGGGAAGTCTGCAAGCGCGTGGATAGGTCCAACTTCGGGTTATGCCTTGACACATTCCAAATCTGTTGTGCGTCGTTCGGAGCAATCACGTTTCCTCGGAGCGTCCCACATTGCTTGGCTGACGTCCATCTTGCTGCCTAGCCCGCGACTACGCTGACCCGACCTCCGCCAACGGTCTCCTGCAGGATTCCCCTAGCGGGTCTGCCCTAATAGAGCTTTCCTCTTCGCTGAAGGCGCTCGCGACCACCATCCCTCCAGAGAAGATCTTCTACTTCCAGATCTCAGACGGCTCGCACAAGGTCAAGCCGGACGCCTTGAAGCGGACCGCGGCAGAGCAGGGCATTAGTCCGCTGTACGCGTGGTCTAACGCGTGGCGCCCTCTCCCATACATGGACGAGGTGTGCCCGAGAGAGGACAAGCAGAGTTGGGGCGGGTACCTGCCCGTTCTGGACGTGTGCGACGCGGTCCTGAGGACCGGCTGGAGGGGACCGTGGTCTTATGAGGTAAACGCATCGACTGTCTCGCCGTGCCTTCGGTACTTGACGAGCGTTGCAGGTGTTCTACGAGGAGGATATGTCCGAAGATGACCAGCAGATTCCCACGAAGTGGGCGACGGCGGCGGCGAAGAGCCATGACGTATTGGTGAAGGAGCTGAAGCAACGCGGATACTAGAGAGCATATCCATGACACATCGATCATATTCGACAGTAGTCGAAGGAACGTCTTGTGCAGATCGCCAAACATAGAGGGCTATCGTAATGAGAGGTCTCCAGCAGTGTGCGAAGCAATGAAGGAAATATGTACGGTACACAATGCTGCGTGGTGCGTGCAACAAAAGGGCTCATATCAAAATTCGGTGCCAGACCATAGCTGAGGCTCGAGGATCCATAGCCGTGCACGGCCCTTACCCAGTCTACAATCCATCAGTAGAAGACGATGAAAACAAGTTTAGAAGACGCACTACCCAGCCGTTGGACATATGGGTAGCTCTCCTCGATTGCTTTCGGAGAGGATACTTGCATTCCAACCCGCGCTTCGTGCAGCGTCCGCATGGGCGTCCTTCATCGCACGTTTTCCGGACTTCGTGGCAATTGACGCACTTCGGTGGCGTAATCTCGTTACCCCTAAGCCAAATAATGTGCAGGAGTAGACTACCCACAGCGATCTTACGGCCTCCGACTCGCCGCGAAGGCTTCATGACCGGCGCTACTGGCTGCGCAAGAGGCATTACATCGCCAACAGCCGCAGATCCCGTGGGCATATGCATATCAGGAGGTCGAGACATCATCAAGTCGACCGGCGAAGGTGGTTTCAGGTTCTGGGGAGGGGCAGTATTGCGAACTGGGTCGCCGAAAAGCAGATCTGTCAATGTCATGATCACTGGTCAGCAGGAGTGTCGGAGCGTGCACTGGGCACTCACCGAGATACTCTGAGATGGGCAAGATGACATATGGTCCGCCGCTCAGTTGCATAAGAGGAGTTGAAGGATGATAATTGATAGTGGGAGCTTCGAATGTCTCTGCCAGGCTACGGGGGATGTTGGGGGGGTCCAACGACATGCATAGTGTGTGTGGAAAGACGTTATGGTCTGGGAGAAAGGAGGGAAGATTCGCCATGTTGCGAGTATCGTTGGAGCCACTAGCAGCGTAGGTGGAGATCGGGAGGGGGATTCGTTTACTAGTTCCGGTGCTTCAACTAGCACAATGAAGGTAGGGTCTTTTATGTAGGAAGGTAACAGGCACCCCATAAAGATGCCGCCGAGCCTTCGAAGGGTCATCGCTAGCCGAGTACTAGGATGCGGCATCCGCCGAGTTGGGGTTTGCTGAGGTACGGGAGGTCCCGAGATGCGTGAATAATAAGCGAGGGGATGGGAGCACCCGAGCGATGCTGAGTGGGCGAATAAGTAGAAGTCGCTACGACAGGGCCCCACCCATACGGCATGAGCGCGACGCCGGTGCGGCGGGTCCCGAGCAAATGTGGCTGAGCTTAGGCACGACAATGCCGGATAGCATTATGTGAGCGGGAACATCGCAATTGAATGTACGACATTCCAGCCGAAACACGGCGTATGGCGAGTCCAGAAGACATGCAGCGCTCCCGGAGAGGTCCGACACTACATAGCCGACGCGCAGAATCTGCTGGAAGACATGACCGAATCGGAGGCTGCTATACTTATATCTGACCATGGCCATGGTCAGCCTGCTGCAGCAATTTTGAGTAGCCCGATTGGTTGTTAGGGACCCACTTGGCCAGTCTGGCTGCTGTGTATCAACACGATTAGCTTAGTTGGAATACTGACCAAGCGACAACGCCTGAGATGAAGCACGTTGTAGCGTTTCCAAGATGGTCCCGTGTCCCATTTGTAACAGCGCGTATATGTGGCATGGTGCGCATCGCGGCGGAGAATTCCGAACCACGTAGTGCCTTCGACAGGTGCGGGAAGGTGGGAGCGACAAGACGGCCCGAACTGAGCTACACGGGTCAGTGCTAGTGTCATGGGCATCTGTTGGTAATACGACAGCGAGACGCTCACCACATCGGCATCCCCCATATGCTTCCCAGCAGCTGTCAAATTCTGGCAAAGTGAGTGATATGGGTTATTGAACATGCGCAGTATCAGCTATGGGTCTTTGTCATAGGACCTGGCAGGGAGTCTGAGGCGATCACGCACGGCCCTGCCCGCGCAGCGCTGGCCCAGCACGGGACCAGAGCCAGCGAACGACGAAGGTAGAGCCCCGAACCGTCGAAGAGAGCGAAGGGAGTCATTGATCCACAGTATACGATATCTGATATCAGCCCCGTCGCAGGGGTACCAGTCTTCCTCGCAGTTGATGGTTAGTCGTTTGTGAATGCATACTGTGAAGCGGTGAGCCATGTGGGGGCATAGGGAATTCCAGAATGGGGAGGTGCTGTCAAGGCAAACCTTGAGCTTAAACGTTACGAGACCGAATGCTCTGTTTGCCTCGTCCGTAGTCTCCACCCTCGTCCACCGCTCGTCCCGGTCATAACTCTCGCGCTTCCATGGCGCTTGGGTCCCCTAGCAATGTGTGCCGGGCTCTCCTTACCGACGGCAAGACGCGTTGTTCTGTAGCGCTGCCCTTCGAAGGACTTTCATGCGCTACGCATCGCACGGCATATGACGCAAGTTACCAGAACTACAAGGAGGCCGAGAGAGAGGTGGAGGAATCACGCAAAGCAGCGCGCCTGAGCCGACGCGAGGTCAGACGTCTTCTCCTGCACGAGATAGATCCGCGCATGCAGAAAGTCCGCGTGCATGTGGACGCGCTCTCGAAGGAGCTAGCGCTGCGGGAAGAACACATTTTACGTTTCATCGGGACCCGTGAGTGTTATAGTCTCTCGTAGAGACGTTCTAAAGTCATGTTGCTCCAATATGCGCGCATATAGCCGACATAGGACATTGCCAGAGACTCGAGAGACTGAGAAGACAAGTCACTCACCATTGTGGGATTTTGCAAGCCCTCCGCGAGCGAAAACGAAGGCTTTGCCAAGGTACCAAGCGATACACCCCTGCTCGTCGTACGCTAGGCACAAGTGGTTCGCGAGTAGCTTCTCCTGTTGAACAGGCGCTGGTTTACACAGCTTGCCTAACACAGCCGTCACAAGATATGGAACGGCACAGCCGGTTACTGCAATAACCGAGGCTGTACTACTCATGTGGTACACACACAGCTTCGCTGTGTACGCACTGCTTCTCTGTGCGACTGTGCATCCTGGGAATGTACTGTATAGTACTACGTAGCCACAGATGTACAGTAGTATATATAGGGGACCTCTCGTACCCCCAATCTACAG